GTACACGCACACTATAACATGAACCATGTTATTATTTGTATTTAAAAAACAAGGCTCTTTATTTTCTCGTGAAATTTCTATAGGAATACTCATATTTTTCGCTATTTTCCCTTTGACATTTGATCATTTTCAAGCAACAAGTAAAGATAAAATTTGATGTTTACTCTCCGTACTGACTAACATCATTATTTCGACCAGAGATTTTTTTCTTGTGTATACTCCCTACCACTTTTTTCATCAGTCTTCTTATCGATACTGTTGTTGGAGATAAACATCGGTGATGCCAATGACTGAACAAAATATTATGATCTAGATTGATACTACAGAAACTTGTTTGTTGTTTAATTAAAGCATAAAGAGAAATATATTCGACATCAAGATACACTAAATACAATTTTTCCTAGGTGGAACATGAGTTCTGTAGAGTATATTACACAGTTTATTTTCTTGATCATATAAACGTAATAAAGAAGGTTAAATCTTTTAATAGAATTTGAGTAAAATTTTCATTAAAAATACATGCATAGTCGCATATAAGGACCAATTATTTACACGATAAACAGGAGATTTAGTTATACAATCACATTAGTCATGAAATGTCTGACAAGAAATAACTTATTGTTTATTTTCCTCATTTAAATATGTTTCGAAGAAAAAAGTAAATCATTCATTTCTTCACACCGCCTATATTTTTCAATTGTTTTGTAGATTTTCGGGAATCTTTATCAATTGATATTAATCGTTACTATGAGAATAGACTAAATAATATTTCTTTGCAGACAGAATATTGACTAGATAACTTCAAAATGGAGAGAGAGAGAGAGGAAAAAAAGAAAGAAGCATAGTATCAATATTACTATGCTTGGCTAGAACTAATTTAATTTCTGTAATAGATGTCAATGTTACGGTAGCAAGAGTAATTACTCTATGATTGTATGAATTGAAATGAGTTTTTATGGCAATATCAGAAACTATATGAGAATCAAACACATCATTATCGATTAGAGTGACACCCTCTACATTAATGCAGCAGATTAGCAGCAAGTATGACAACGATGACATCCAGTATAATCAGTAAAGTTCAGTCTTTTTTAACGGTATCAATGAGTCGAGTCAAAGTCGTAGGAGCAAGTGTGACATATTTTAGAATTCATTTCTCACATTAAATATCAAGAAAACACGGGATTCCGAAACTTCACCAATAAGACTCTCGCTAAAAAGCACTTTCTCCAGTAGCGAAACTCCACTGTACTTCCGTCAACATCTCTCCTAGAATTTCGCCAATGGTATTGTGAATTAGACTCACATATATTCCATGTTAATATTGTTTCATGACAGTTGGCGCAAGTACAATGGACGTTCGCCAATATACCACAAACTTTCGCCACTGGTGAGTGTACTTTTGGCGAAATGTCTTATTGGCGAAGTTCCGGTAACCCAAGAAAACTATGCGCATTCAGCAATTCAATTTATCGAAGCGATACATTAACTGGAATAGAAATCTAAACAGATTTCTCTTAAACGAAATATAAACACAAAGAAGAGAAAAAGGATGTATAGATGACCGTCTTCTTTAATAGCATCTTGCTTATTGTGTACTCAATCTTATGATCATACGTCTTAATTAATATACGAGTATTGTCTAAAAAATAATCATTCAATTATTTCGGAAATCTTCTATAAATAAATTGACTACTAATAGAAATATTCTTCTGTAACGAACTAAGCTGCTCAAATGAATTAAACTTTTTGAGAAGCGATCATAGTACTAACATCAAGAAGCAAAATAGCACTTTACTAAATATTGAATTTCAAGCTAGAAATAGTTTTATTCGAAAAAAGAATCATTGGATTATGCATAATCTACAAAAATTTACAATTCTTGCATCGAACTAAGTAACATTTAATGCATTTCGCATATAAAAAAAGTCAGCCACAGCTTAACAAGTGCTTGGCAGCTTTTTGTTTTATTATCTGATCATTTTCTAGAAAGAAACGTATAATATTTGTCATGAATAAAATAAGATCGACTGAAACATAGAGTTGACGTAAAAAGGAATATAAATAAATTAATAAAAAGAACTAGGAAAAAGATAAAAATAGTTTTTTTAAGTAATTCTTATTGATATTTCTGACATTGAACGTCACTGCTAAACTACATGTTTCTTTTTGAGAAATACCAAAAAAAACGATTTCATTTTGTCTTGTAAGAATTTAATTTGAATGATTTTAAAATCGTACGCGTAATCTTCAATGTCAATGAAACATTTGTCTGAAAATAGTCCTGTATGAAAAGAAAACGAGGGTGACTTTTTTTTCTTTGTTTTTCTAATATGAACTTAACCACGAGTCATCGTTCTTGACAGCAATTTGGCAACTTTTGAATGAATCCTTCTTTTACTTGAATTCATCGTGATCTTTTATCATATTATTGATAAATAAAATTCTAAGCTTAGCATTAGCAAATATTATTTTATTATTAAATTATATTTAATTTTATCTGTTTTGTATTTAGCACAAGAGATTTGAAAGATGTTTTATGAACACTAGTTTGACGATTATTTGATTAGAAGAGAATGCAGAAGAAATGGCAAGTCCCTCACAGCTCTCTTTTACATGGATGCTCATGTGAAAATGAGTCAGTTAGACGGGTGCCTTTCAGTGCATTTAATATCTTGTTTGCTCCACTCACTAGTTTTGTTTGAGAAGGAAATAAAGAACTTAACAACTCCAACTTCACTTCTCATCATACAGAAAAAGTTTTGTATCAAAAGTATTTGATTTTCTTGAATAGTATATTTTCAATCTTATCAAAATGAATAAATCTATTGCACAACGTTATACTCATTTTAAATCATATTTACACTTAGAAGAACATTTAATCTTAGTAGTAGTATTTCTTCTTCTTCTGTTTTCGATTTAATATGATGAATAGTCGAGTTGGAAAGAAAGACGTAAAAACAAAAATTATCGTTTGTAGGAATGTATTCGAATACTCTATTTTCAGTAGTAAAATAAATACTTGAAAGGGGTCAAGTTATGCAGTGTAAGGTTTCTTCATTTTTACCATTTGATTCAGCATACTATTAAAAGAGCATTTTTCTTTATGCGTATTTAGTTCATACTTGTTATCGAGTAAGTTTGCTTAGGCCAACCTACTTTTCCTTTATTTTATTTTTTTACTTTTTTGTAACACACTTTTAATAAAATTGGACTACGCATATAATGTTGACGACTAACATAGGCAAATATAAATTTTAAGGCGGCGAAATAAAATATGTTTTGACGAGTAAGTATCGCATTTCAATTGAGAAATTTTCAAAAAATACTATTGATAATGAAGTATTTTTAATTAGAGACACAACAGAAAATAAAAACAATATAAAACGAATCTGTTAATAATGACACATGCAACTTAGACGAATTTCGAAAAGAGAACATGCCCATTTTGAAAGAGTGGTGGATGATTTTTGAAAATAAAAATATATTTACGAGAGATACACGTAAAAACAACAGCAACTGGCAGAATAGTATATGAACTGAAACTAACACATCACTTCTTTGATATATCATATTAATCACAAGTATTACTTTAGCAATATTTTTTTGTTTTCTATTAGATTTATTCGCCGATAAGAGTTCTCTTGCTAAAAACCTTTTCTAGATATTTCATTAGAATAAATTTGTAATTTTTTCCCATTTCATGAGTCAAGCAAATTACCAAGATATGTCAAATTGATTCTTAAGCACATAAAAATAAAGTAATTGACATCGTAAATATTAGAAGTAAAAGGCCATGTGTTTGATTATGATCTCTGATTGAATCGAATGTAACCAAAAAAATAAATAACTTCGTTCTATTTTTTATTTTATTTATTGCGAATAGAGTTGCTCATTATACATTGATTGATGACGATCGATAATCATTCAATGAATGATATATGAGCATGTGAGTATTGTCTAAATTATTCATTCACTATTCGAGTAGTCACATCACGTTTTATTTTTCTTTACTACTCACGCAAATATTGCAAATTTACCATAGATTAGTATTTGTATAAATTTCATATATAAACACACAGAAAAAAATAGGCAAATAAATATCATTCGATGTTAATCAATAGACAAATAAACTATTAATCAAGTAAGTCAATTTATGATTCGAAATTATTTTTTAAAGAGAAAAAGTTTGGATTGAAATTAGAATGACAACTTTTGCGTTATTATGTCTGAAAACAGAAATTTGAGCATCGAAGTTTCGACATAAATCTGTCCGGATTATAAGTATCTAATTGAATGCTTTTCATAGAAATACTTTTCGAATTTAAATGAAGAGAAAAAGAAACAAGCGTTTTCTTCTATTAATTAGACTAGAATAATTGTGCGAATACCTCTGATTTGGTAGCTAATTAAATTTTTTTATTAATGCGTTTATCGATGTGACGCAGAAAGTACTTTAACGGGGGAACCCCACGTATTATTAGTATGATTTTCTATTTTTTGTTGTCAAATTAACCCTTTACATATTATGATGTCATATAAAGAAGTAGATGAGACATATAGCAGATTGATATGTTTAAGCGATTGGAAAATATATTTTTTGTTGTAAAAATTTCATAAAACATTTATGAAGAAAATGCCATTCAGCATCTGCTACGAAAAGAGTGTCATATATTATCATGTTTTTCACAATCTATTTCTTAGTTCATGTATATTTTTTGTTTTTAAATTCTCGATCTGAGCATTATTTCGTATCGATCTTTTCCAAGTGTTTAATTGGTTTTTCAAAATTTATTTTATATTTTTCTTAATATCTGTCAGAAGTTTTTATATACATTGACGATCAGTAACGATGTGTACATTTAACAATAATAATATACAAAAAGAAAAATAGTTGAATCGATATTAATCTATGATGAATATTATCTTCTAATTCAGATAAGAACCCGTCCATACACATTGATGATATATAATAATAACAATATTATTATTATTTACTAATGTCCGAATCAACAAGCGATAATTTATTATATAACAATTCATATTGTCCTGCTTTATTTGAATTTTTTTGTTGGCCACAAACTGACGCAGATGAATTAGTGAATATTTCTTGTTCTGCATTGCGCCACCCAGGTGTTGATTCATCAAGTTAGTATTAATCATTTATTGAAGTTTTAACGAAATGTGGTTGCTTTTTAGAATTTTTCAGTCGATATTGTCTTCCATCTGGAAAATGGTCTAATGTTAGCTTTGCACCATGTTTTTATCCGGATATTTTGGCTTTATTGGATAAATCATACATTCGAAGACCACCAGAAGAAAGAGAAGTTTGTGAAAAAAACAAAAAGAAGTTCATTGAGTTTTATTTATTTGATTCATGTTTTGTTTTGAAAAGGTTTTCGAAAGAATTGTTCGAGCTCTTCGTTATTTTGAATTAGCTGGACTATCTATATCATTGACTAGTATTCTTATTTCACTGTTTATATTTTTTTCCTTTAAGTAAGTCGGAAAAAAGAAGAAGAAAAAAACCAAAAAAAAATCGAATTTTCTTTTTCTCAATAGATCATTATACTGCAGTCGAACAAAAATTCATATCAATCTTCTATTAGCTATTCTCATTCAAATTATTGCTCGATTAACAACATATGGGTACGTATTTACTCTAAGAAAAAAATAAATCAGTATTTTCTTTAAACGAATAAATTATATTAAGCCTTCAAATGGTTCAATTGAAAAATTCACCGAAAAATGAATGCGATGTTAATGGGAGTGTTTATATGTATCCTAAAACAGCTATATTTGATGGTATTTGTCCATTATTCATTTCATTTTTACAATTTGGTATAACAGCGATGTTCATGTGGATGCTATGTGAAGGAATTCATCTACATAGTATTTTAACTGTGAGTGTTTTTAAAAACCATTTCAAAACATATTATTTTCATATAATTGGTTGGGGTATGTATCAAGTATTATTTTTTTATGTCTGAATTTTTATTCAATATATTATTTAATAGTTTTACCATTTTGTTTAACATTAAGTTGGAGTATCATTATGTTTATCAAAGAACGTGATCGCAGGTAGGTTTAAATTGATGTTAAAGGACTGAATATACGCTTTTATTTTATTTTTTTTATAGATGTTTCAATAATTATAATCATTTGAAATATTATTGGGTGATTGATGGACCTCGATATGCAGTGATGATTGTAAGTTTAATTTTAGAATTGATTTTTAGAAGAATTTATCTTTTATTATTATTATTCTTTTAGATCAACATAATATTTTTATTAAATATTACGCGAGTTTTAATGGTTAAAATCAAAGAAGGTTCAGAGAAACAACTACGTGAAGAGTAAGTTAAAAGCCTCTAAACTACTTAGAAAATATTAATTTTAACAAAAAAAAAAGAGTTGAATAAAATTTTCTGCTAGGGTTTTATTATTGATGACGGTTTAATGTTAAATTTATTTTAGTAAACGTCGCGGTTCAATGAATGTAAAATCTCTTCGGTAAATATTTGTTTTATTTATTTATTCATTTTTATTTATCTATTATAAATTTCAAATTTTTAGAAAAGCTGTTAAAGCAGCTATTTTTCTATTACCTTTATTAGGTATTACATATGTACTTGAAACGTTTACATCAGCAGGTAATTAGTTGAGAAAATTATCTATAGAAACGTTTCTATTTGTTTTCTTTTATTCTTCTGTTGTTCAAAGATGACAAGCCGCTTACCATATTTGCGGTCTACAGTTCAATAAATGTTTTCCTGATGACATTACAAGGATTTTTTTGTTCGTTACTTTATTGTTTTCTTAATGTTGAAGTAATATCACATTTTCTTTTTATTATTGAGATAGTTTAATTGATTTCTTCAAGGTTCGTGAAACAATATCTAGACGTTTAGAAACAACACAATTTTGGTACCGTTGGAAACAATATCTAGGGAAAAAAGATCAATTTCGGAACAGAAGAGCTAGTGAGGAAAACCGAACATATTTAGATCCAAATTCAAATTCACCAGTAGAGTTCATCAAACATAATGTATATTTTGAAAATTCAAATTTTTTATTTTCGTTTATTCAATAGAAAAAGTCTCCGATGGAATTAGAAGAATGTCATCTAACGGCTGACATTGATGGAAATATTCAAAATTAACTTGAATCTTGGATTCTCTTAGAAAAATCTATCAGAGAACAATTAATCTTCTTTTATTTTTATTGATGAATCTATTGTATTTCTTTTTTGTTTGATGTTTTTCCTCTTTTCAATGAATGAAAAGTAAAAATCTCTGTACATGTTTCGCATTCCTTATTGTTTTTTCGTTGTACGCCCAAAAAATTTTCGCAAAACATAATTACTTAAACGATGATTAGGATGACAATCATACGTAAGAATTGCATTAATACGAGGTAATTTCGATAAACGAACTTCAGTTATACGATGTGAATAAGTTCGACCATTAAAAAGTACAAGACCACCAGCTTGAAAATCTGTTCGACTGATTATTTCATTATTAGTTTTTGTTTTATACTCGAATAGGCCTTCATTAGAAATTGATGCTCCTTGTAAAATAAGATTCACAAAAAAATGTGAATGATCAGTATGCCAACTAAGTTTATTTGATTGACGATAAATATTTATATATAAAGCACCTAATTCATCACAACTTGGATAAAGATTTGGATAAATCTGAATGACATCTGTTATAAAATCGATTAATGGATTCCATGAATAAATTTTACGAAGAAGAGATTCATGTGAAATTTGATCAAATGCAATTATTGTTTTACTACTTGACTCAATTTCATTTAAATTTGTTTCAGGTGATGATGTATTATATAGATTTTCTGTATGTTCTACGTAGGAATTATATAAATTTTGTGATGAATTAGTTAATATAGAATTAATTTCATTAAGAATTGTTGAACGAGTTTCTGTCGTTAAAAAATGAGGAAGATATAAACAACCGGTTGAAATAAATTCTTGACGACTTTTTAATATTAATTGATTATATTCAATTGATTTACGATCATGTAATGGATAAAGTTTGTGATTAATTAATGTATGATTTCTACGTAATATCGATGTGAAAATTCGAATTGACGAAAAATTTCGTAATAACATTATTGTTTATGTATTTGTATATTTTACATGTAGATTTGATGTAAACTATAAGGAAAAAATGTGCTTGATGATAAATGATAGATAAGTTGAGTTTAATTTTTTTATGAAGAAAACAAAAAGAGACAACAATTATTTTAAATTACTATCTTATCAGACGAAAATGATTATCATTCATCAATAGTTGAATATCTAAGAAAAACGAAAAGATTTATTCAATATTTTTAATTAGACTCAACTTCATTCAAACGTTATATTCTGATGACTTTCGCTATTTTTGAAAGATATTAAAAAGAAAAATAACGATTTCGTGTTCGATCATTAGACTTGAATCATAGAAGTAAATCAATGATGTATTGATCATATATTCATTGTATAACGTTTTCTTAAAAGAAATATTAGATTATTAATTTGTACAAGATTTACTAACGACATAGACATTTGAAATTAAATGTCGATAGCGAAATCTCACTAATACTCTAGCACAAGCTGTCAGCTCTGAAGATTATTTGAAATTAAATCCAAAGAGATATAAATGCTCGTGCTATGTTTTTCAATATTAACAGAATAATCATAAATTGTAGAAGTTTATGTGGAAAAGAGAACCACTAGGCAAGATAATATGATAATCGAAAATTCAACAACGAGTAAAAATTGTATTCTTTTAGTAGGATTCGAACCCACGTTATTCACACCCCATAACAGATGCACTATCGAATATGATGTCGAAATACAATTATTCTCGTTGGAACCTTCATTGCCAATAAGAACTACTAAATATAGACCCAAATTTTTATTTTAAACCAGTACTATGTTGAGTATTATTCTTCCTCTTTGTTTTGCATGGGTTCGCACTTATCCAGAATGGCGTACAGTCTTCATTTATCATTTACAATTGTTTTTGTTCCGTCTAATATGAATTATGGAATTTCTATTCGAAAAAGTTAAAGTGAAAGAATAAATATAAAAATATCTTTTCTAAAAGGTTTACCGGATGCATATTTTATATTAATATTTTTTTAAATGAAACACGATTAAATAGTTTTTTTTAAATTTTGTGGTGTTTACTTTTTCATTTTTTAATACATATTGAAATATTTGATAATTCCATTATCTCAATTAATAACACAAATTATTCGTATTCAGCTATTTTTCTTACCTTATTTAATTGATTTTCAATAAGAAATTCACCAAATTTTACTTTATTTAATACAATTTCTTCTTTCATCAAATAATAAAAATTATGGAAAACGATTGGCTTTTTATCTGTCAAACAAAAACAATATATGTGAAATATCATGAGAAAATATAGCGTTGAACATTTCTATTTTTCTCTTATTAAATAAAAATATATATTCAATTATTAAAGACATTTGTTTTTTGTATTATAATTCTATTCGAATAATTCATGATGAAAAAATAGCAAATTCTATATCATCATGGTATTTTTCTCAAATAAATCAATCGATTGTGGATTTTATTGAAGGAAGATCTCTTTTAATTTAGTTTCGAATGTTTCATACTCGGTCTTTCCTTATTACAATAATCAAATTTATATTAAAACTTTGATATCTTTAAATCTATATGAATATGTTTTCATTGTACAAAACAAAAAGTTGACGAGTTTATTTATATCTGTCATATCTGACAATGATTCATCAGAATATAATAACTAATTTACAGGTTTTATAAATAATTATGATCAAATTAGAAACTTCAGATAAACCTATTAATAATCATTGGTGAAACTAGTCTTTAAAAATTTAGAAGCTGTTAATGCAATCTCTGCGGAATAAAATATGAAACACAATGTAACTGCTGGTGTCTAATCACAGAGAGATTGATAATTTTTATCTATTTTATGACACATGTCTTCATCGACCTTTTACTTAATCCTCACAAGATGCATGTTTCGTAAGCGTTTGCAAAAATTGTACAAAATCACCAAAAAAATGTATGGATGCCACGAATAAAATTCAGCATGATTAAAAAAAAATAAAGAAGTAGTTCGTATATTATAACGAGATGTTATTTATGTATGGTCTTGAATTTTATATCAACAACTTTTGTCACGGCCGGCAGGGGTCATGAGAACTGGGGAGGGGTGTAGATTTGCACCTTAGATACTTAAACACTCGTTTTATATGTTGTTCCACAAATATGATCGATAAGGTTTGTTACAATTTATTTTAATGTCGATCATTATTATAAACTTCAAATCATTTGGATAGTTTATTATCAATTTCGAAGTATTTATTTGATTGTTTTTTTTCTTAAAAGATTGACTCATCGGTGTGTGTTACTAGAAAAGATCCTACATGTTATATCGACAACTTTTGAGAACTAATTTAATAAGGAAGATGAATAGATGTTTTTAATTTTTGTTTTCTTTTATGCCTATTGTTTTGTTGAAATACGTTGAAAAAATCGTATTTTGTTTTAAAAAGATAAGGTTTTATAATATGAGGAAACAACTTTTTCATTCATCATTTGATTACATGGGCACAAAAGTAGATATAATAAAAAAATAAAATAAGAATTTCAGTTAATATAAATGAGCTCTTTGAACATATCACATTTGATATTGATGGTGTCGCAGTTTTCGATGGACAACCATCTCTATTTATATAATCTCCCCAACATGCAGCATATGCCATTTTATGTGCAATCGTACTTTGCTCCATGGTTCCAATAAATAAATGACTCCAAGGTCCGTGAGCATACACAGGTACATCTTCGCCACCATGCGTTTCAGATTTCATGGGTAAAGCTGTTGGAGCTAAATATCTAGTTGAATTAGTATCAAGAGAATAGAGGTACGTTGCATTTCTTGGTGCTTGAAAATTTGGTCCATTTCCATAAGCAATTATATTAATAGGTAATTTATCAATATCACTTACATTGTATCGTTCTAACGAACTTAAACCTAAAATATTTGAACCACGTGATGAATAAGCACCAAAAGTAAACACATGTGAATGATCAGCAGTGACAACAAGTAGTGTATCATTAAAAATGCCTTTTTCTTTTAATAATTGTATAGCTTTTCCAATTGTCGTATCGAATTCAACAAATTCATCTAAGGCATATCTTGGTCGTGTTTCATGATGTCCATGATCAATTTTTCCACCTTCAATAAGGAGAAAAAAACCTTGATTTGTTTTAGAAAAATGTTCAATAGCAAATGTTGTCATTTCTGATAGACTTGGTTCATCTTTTCCTTTTTCAATTCGATCTGATTCATACTGTAAATGGTCCCGATCAAATAATCCTAATATTGGCGTTGATGAACCTAAATCGATCTTATTCATTTCAGTTTTATTCCAAATGAAACGTCCACGCCAATATTCATCAATAAGTGATTTATTATCTGCACGTGAATTAAATAATGTTGAATTTTCAACATCACGTGTTGTACTTGGGAAAAAAAATCGACGACCACCTCCAAAAACAATATCAATCGGTGGAGAATGTAAGACAAGTTGATGTGCAATATCAAGACAGCCTTGCCTAACTTCATTATCACCAAAAAATTGCGTATCATACCCTTCCCAGTTACGTTCAGGTGCATGAGCGTAAGCAGCAGCTGGTGTTGCATGAGTAATACGAGCTGTCGTCACAATACCAACTTTGTTACCTTGAAATTAATTAAAACTCACACAAACGTTTCGAAGAAAAAAACGAACTATGAAACTATCTACCGAGTTGTTGAGCCCAATTTAAAATACTTGTAATATGTGTACCATGTGAACTTGAACAATTAGCACGTTTTGCTCGTCCATCTAAGCCAAGTGTTCCCAATTGTGCTTTAATACCACATAAATAAGCTGTTGCTGTAGCTGCTGAATCAGGTGTTTGATGATCAATGTTGTATCTAAGTGATTATTTGAAATATTAAAATACGAAAAAAAAATTTAAATAATAAACATACGTTTTAGCTAAACCTAAATGTGCGAATTGTTCCATTTCAGTAATAAAATCTTCTCCCAATTCTCCTCTAAGTTGTCCTTTTCGGATTCTTCCTGCAGTCACAGTTGACATACCCATGCCATCACCAAGAAACAGAATTACATTTTTTGCGATCTTTGTATTTTCACGTCTTTTGAGTGCTTCTTCAATGGATAAGCGTCCGTGCTCTTTCCAAAACGAAGCAGTTTTTTCAATTGTCCACTCGGTTCGGCCGCCATTCACAAAATTATGATTTGACAAAATGAAATAAACAATCAGCAGCAGATGTTCTGAGAAGAAAGACATTATTTTAGATGTGCTATCTGTACAATTATTCTTGAAGCAACAACTATATCATTTGATCATTACTAGCAGCGTGTTGAGTGTTTCAAATAGGATATTGACATAGTTTATTAGACTTCTGTTTTTGTTTCAGCACAATACCAGCGAAAGAAAGAAAGAAAGAAAGAAAGAAAGAAAGAAAGAAAGAAAATAAATAAATAAATACTAACTAAAGGGCAATCTTTTAAATGCAGAACTATTACCATGCATTGCTATGATCAGGTTTATTGTTCTAAGTAGGTTTTCTTTTGCAAATGATATATACAATAAAACGAAGAATCAAGGAAAGAATAATAAACATATTGGCAAAAGCAACAACAGTTATTCTCGTTTGTCAACAGCTTTGTTAATTGGATTGATTCGGTTAATTAAGCGAAATTTCATATAGCTTTCTTTCAACTAGAAAGGCATTGCTAAATCAAATCAAATACTATTCTATTTATTACTTGATATGTAATTATATTCAAATTAATTTTCAGCAGATTGTCTTAACACATGAAATATTTTTACAAAATTATAGTATCCTTTCTGTATTCTAACCTTTCTTGTTTGCGGACTTCATGAAATACTTTCGGAACTTCAATAATACATAGAATTCGATGAATGGAGTATAAAGTGATGGAAACTTCAGAGTTTTAGTTTCTTTCTTGTGAAATATCTTGAAAAAGTACGAGCTAAAAATCACTTGCCCTTCCTGCTACGGTTGTCTGATCTTCTTAATAAACCTCGAAAGTTTCAATGTTTTTGAGTGTTTCGAATTCTAACATTTCAGTTGTCGAAGAATATTTTATTGGAAATAAACTAGATCGAAGCGGTTATAATGTTCTTATAATAACTATATATTTGGAATATAGTATTCTAGAAGACTCAAATAATTTTACACTTGATAGAGAGAGAAAACTTTCAGAGCAATATTTTATTAGAAAAGAGCTATATTGCATCTAATCTGCTTTGACAGGATATGTCTGTCCTGTCATAAGAATGTTCTGTCTTCTCTTTCGGTTTCATTCTATCACGTTTACAATCCGTCCATTCTTCGTCTGGTATCTATTCTATTTAAGTGAGTGTTTATGTTTAAAGAAAGGAAGATTACTTCTTGTGAGAATGCAATAATAATAAGAAGACGAAATAAAGAAGAAGATTGTAACATAATCTAAGAATTTTTATTAGAATTTCGATACACAAACAATATCGTTCTATCGTAATTTCAATATACTGTGTTGTAACTCTCGGACATCTTATCATAGAAAACAACATATTTTCTCTGTAAAAGTAAAACAAAAACATTTTTTGAAAAACGTTTTTGAACACAATTTGCTCTTCAATTTGGTACGATAGTTTCAAGCACTGCTTTTTAGTGTGGCAAAAAGATGATAAGATTATTTTGAGAAAACTTTAGGATGAAAAGTCTATTTCGTTAGTTATGTAACTAACAGTGCATCTGAAATGTTAAACAATGTTATTGTTTCTGGATAAAAACAGTTGGAATTCTGGAAATGCCATCAGTCGAATGATGTTTATTGTATTGCGACCTAAGTGCGAGAAGTAACAAAAATATCTTCCTTAGTTGATTGAACTAAATGTGGAAGAAAAAGTTAATCTTAATCAACTGTATAGTAAGGAAGAAAAGACGAGAAAACTTCACGAGGTTTGCTTTAAAGTTTTGTTTGAAACAAAATGCAGCAACATGCATTATTTTACAAATTAGTCACGAGGGCTCTTTTCTCAAAATATTTTTCAATGCAGAAAGAAGACTCTGAATCAACCAAACGCTTCGATTAGACAGAGAATATTTACAATTTCGTAGGTACCATGAAAACAATGAAAAATAAATTACTATAAGTCCACAATTGAAAAAAAAGCAGATCTCTTTAGAAAATATATTTACTGTATGCTAATGTATCTTCGGAACGAAGACAGAAAACTGTTTGGTAAATATAAACTAAATTATTATTTCACTTACTTATATTTACCATCGGAGTGAAACTAAGTTTGAAAAGATGATTTGTCAACAATATTTCGCTTTAGTAAGATTATGACCGAAGAAATATTATTTTTAAATCGATAAGTGACCAATTGAATATAAATTAATTGATGTTTGAGTCTGAAAATAGAAGCTTCGTGATAAAAAAAATGCACATCTGCCAAGTTATTAAACATTTATATTAATCAACTGATCTCTTTTTTAGCTTGTTGTCTCTCCTGAGTAAAAAAATAAAAAAGGTTACATGAATAGGCGATAAACTTCGTATCAAAATACAATAAATGTTACTTAGATGATGTTGCCACTATTGTATTACAAACTATTAACTCTTCATGATTATGTTTTCTCTTCTCTGTTAGTCAATGTAGAATCAACTCTAATTTTAACGTGAAGAGCTAATGTTTAGAAGTAGAAAAATAATCGATTTTTATTTTCGACAACTGTTCTACTTAAATTCTATTGCGTTATCGTGTTGTGAAAAATTATATACTAAGTACAATTGTTTATTACTAATCTTTAAGACGATGTGCATGCAAGTGCTTATAGAATTAAAAGCTAATAAAAAGAGAAATTATGATACTAATATAATAATCCTAAAATTTCAGTGTTACGTAAGTTAAAAATCACCTACTTTATTTTTCCTTCTAATCTCAAATGTGTATGGCTATAAGAAATCGATAGAGAATAATTTATTCACAGAGTACAAAGTTTTCGAACGAATTCATGAAAAAACAATTGGTTCGAATCGACTCATCATCGTGTAAATATTTCTTGTCTGAAATACTTAATTAGATTATAGTCTTTTACTCATATGAATAAACTGCGTAAAAAACAAACGGTTGTTTATTATAATTATTCTCATCTAGTATACAAAGGAAGGAAAGTTAATGACGATCTTTCACACCACTGATGAAGAAGTATGTTACATGAAGACCTTAAAGTTATCGACATACTGCTATGTTACATAAATAATTTCAATACGATACAAATAACGAAGAGCATCGAATGTGTTTCAATAGATAGTAGACGAAATAAATATTTTATTGAGTAAAAGGTTTTTTATCTATCAACCATAGTATTGATATAGATTATTTCGTCATGATGTTTTTCTTTCTCAAAAGGTCAGAAATACATACGGAAAAATAGAACAACAACATAATGAACTCGTTTTCTTATTATCGATCGCTAATAATAAGATTTCAAGCTGACAACGCACATCGCTATCGAAATTGTAATTCCGGTTCATTCCATTGCACATTTTTTCTTTGATATAATCGAATAGGATTCATACGCTCTCAAGAAACGTTCTATACAAAGCACTTCTGTTGCTATTGGTGCATTTAATAATTTCCTTAGTTGACGTAGAAGAGAACTTGATAAATCATTTACTATTTTAATTACTCTAACATACAAATATTCGTATTGTTTTCTAAATAATAGCTCATGTTTTGTTGTTGCATTTTTTTAATGTGAAACTGATAATAACAAAATAGAGTGCATTCCGCTGTTCTCCAAGCTAAAAAGGTTATATTGGCATTTATAGATGCGTAACTACATCACTGGATAGCATTAAGAAAACATATTGAAATACATATCTCTATTATACTTATCACTAATGGAATAATTAAAAAGATCTCAATGCTACAAGAATAATATTAGGTTTAATCAAATACGATAAAATATTCAGCTAAACTTTAAACATCTTCTTCGTTTTCTATTTGATTATTTAGTTCGCTGAATAAAAATATTTCTAAACGTTCATCATGCTGAACATAATATATTCCATTGTCAGTATGTGTCTCCTACGATCATTGATCAATTGATAATTCTATAAAACTTTTTGAGATGGGCACTATGGCACTTTTTTCTCCACATAATCTTTCTTTTACTGAACAAAACGTTTTAACTAATAGAGAATTTACCTCATTTTTTAAATCAGTTGTTCTGTAAAACAATTTAATGAAATCCCTCTAATGGACGTTGAGTTCAAGATTTGCATATTTTTACTACGGGAATCCTCTATCTGAGAGTAAGCATTTCTTCTTTCGTATTTGAAGTTCCATGTTTATAATTAGTTTTTAACTTCAATATCTTTTTTTCTCTATTCAATCACATTTTTTAGACAAATATATACAAATAACCAAATAATACATTGAACTGAATCAATCGAATTCTATCTCACCATAAGAATTCAATCAAATCTGATTGAACTTTGCCAGGATCAGTGATACTTAATCTCGATATTCTGGGGACAATTAGATTTCAATAAAAACGAGTTACCACATCAATTGCGTTTAAGTTCGATTTCACACAATTCATGCATAGAAACTTTTATTATAAACACATATTGGACAATAAAAGACTAACTCTGAGTTATAAGATCTATATTATTGATTCACTTTTAACAGAAACGTCATCAGAAACATCGTATAATATGTCTGTGAATTAAGTTAAAATATGTGGGTGTGGGTGTGGATGTTTTTATCTCTCTTCTCACTCACACCACACCCAAGATATTTTTTAAGCTAACTTTTTTCTTGTCACTTATCGTCATTCCCAGCTCGTATATACTCTTTCAATTAATTGATAAGTACTTATCAATTATAGATTGCGTTCAAATTAATTAGACAGGTCGATAAATTCATTGATAGTCATTTGTTAAAAGTGATAATATATTGAATTAAAACACAGAACACTTTTTCATTGAGATATTTAATTCATTTAAAAGATGCTGAATTACAAAATTAGATTAAACTATTTTTTTAAAGGCATCCTTTCACCAGAATAGATACTACTGTATTAAGTTAGGCAATATTGATATAATTTTAATACTCTTATGGTCTAAACATATCCAGTTTTGGCCAACATTCCTTTTTCTTCTTGGATATTCATGGTGAATAGTATTTAGCACCAACAATCACATCTAAATGTGTCAGCATCACGATAAAATTTTTCGTGTGATACTCAAAAACTATTAATATCAATGGGTTCAATGATCTATAATGAAAAATTTACTACGAAGTAATCGAGAAGCATCTTTTTTTTCATCAAGAACAATAAACTATCATACGAACATGTTTATTTTCAATTCTGATCGATAAAGAGTTGATGTTCAAAAATAAAGGTCAAGAAAAAGTCAAATTCAATCCAATCGATACATAATTGATAATTGTTAGTTCTCTGACTGGAATCGCTATCTTGAAATAATCACTGGACTGGAATTATTCTGAAAATACCTATTTTCTATTCTAAAATATTCTAATCTTTTTGTCAAATATACAACACCAATATATAGCTGTAACATCTGAGCAAGTTTTTGTGTTGAAATAATAGCTATTTATTTTTGGGAACAACGTTTATTTCTATGGCTTTCAGCTCCAAGTAACCATGTTCTAGTTAAAAGAAATAATTAGATAAATATACATATGTACCAGAACTTGTGATTATTATTCTATTTCTACTACACATAATAATACATAAGCATGATCCTATTCAGCAATATGCATTAATTATTGATTGATAGAAATCATTTTTTATACATGGATTAATTAGTAATACTTGCTTAAATCTTTTCTAGTTTAGTTTATTTATGTTTATATAGTACTGTATATTCGTTGACTATTATCAAGTTTCATTTGAATAAAAAAAAAGCAAATATAGAATACGAACTAATAAACGAATCTAATAATAAAAATCACAACAATCATTATATGGTTAAAAAATAAAAAATAAATACAAAATATCTAATTGTGAAAAAAAATCGTTCTGTTTGAACTCTCTGTAGTCTATTTATTTAGTTTATAATCTGAATCACAAGTAAAAAGAATTCAAGCAGATTAATATTTATAACGAAGTTTTAATTGTTTTTTCTTGCATGTTACTGTTACAGATGCTCCCAAAAGTTGATCTGATGATGGTAAAGCTATCATAACATTAGTAGTAAGATCCGATAGTACAATGCACCCTTGCCCATAGCCAATTCTGTCAATATTTATTGTTACGATTCTATTAATACGAGTTGGATGAGAAAGTGTGGCTGAAAGGTCATTCGTAGCCTCATTAAATAAATAAGCACCGGCATCATTTAATCGAGCATTTATTTTGAAAAATGAATTTTGACTGGAAAACATTGTCATTGTATTATTCCTTAATACGAATGATACACGCCGTAGAGTTAGCCACGCCATTGCGTGAAACAAATCTTGATTGGAAATACATGAAAATATCTCGTCATCATTATAACGCTTAATTAATTCGGGCATAGACTGAACTTTAACATTCGATAAAATAATATAGCTATAAGTTCGAGTATACGGTCCCAATCCATGACTAACCAAATAGCTACTGTCCGGCTAGTTAACTTATCATTATATGGTCCAATTGTATTGTAAGACGCCGTCTTCGTACTAATTTCTACTCCTAATGCTGAATAGAACTCTTGTGTTTGTAAAACATAACAAATGTCATTAGTGCCGATATGTACTCATTGAACATTGTCTGACGTTTTCGTTGTATAACGAAATGAATAGTTAATACCGTCGAAAAGCGTGATGATAGTACCATTAAAAAAGCCAATAGTGACATTACCTGTTGTTAATAAACGGCTTGCAAGCGGTGTCCATGCTTTATTCTGAGTAGAAACTGTTAAATTACTTGCTAATGCCATAACTGCATCATCGTAAAAATGCCATGATCTCTTTACAGTAAGATTATGAGTTGCAGTATCCATCATTGCTTAACCATAACTACTATCACTAACACCTCCGACGAACTCTAATTTTATCCAATTGAAATCTCCAGATTAAGAAGGTTCAATTGAAATATCCTGATTCACAGTGATTCCATTGATGGATTTCCAATCCAATAGAGGAAATATTTCTCGGTAATCCGTAGCACTTGCAGTGTAGATATTTAATACACCTTGACCAAAATTTTCATCTTGTTGATTTTCATCATTAATACATTCAGTAGGTTGAGTTCAAATCGATTGCATTTTAATAGCTGTTGTCCAATTAGCACGACGATGGACTTGATAATCAGATGTATAAAAATGTTTATTTCCAATTAATAAAACAGCATCTGGTTTATTTTCAATTCGATCAGCAAAACTAAACAAATTCATTTTAAGATTATCTTACTTCACGAATTCTGCTAATAATCGAATCCAATTTACTTCAAATACAACATGTAAAGAAGTACCTGGCCTATCAATAGCTCTACCAATAGATTGCCAATCCCATCTATCATTGGTTATCATCCAAGCATCACCTTGTATTAGAAGATTAGTAAATATTATTATTTGCTGTTGATTTAGTTCATATTGAATAGTTCTTGTGCATAAAATAAATATAAACATAGCGAAAGTCCAATCTTGTCCATATAGGCACCTGATAATAATTGTGTTCTTTGAAAATGATAGGACCAATCATTTTGTATTCCTTGCCCACCTAATGGTGAAACAACAATATCTTGCCACATGCGTGTAAAACCTTGTTCAATACCAGTTCTATTATTTGTTGCTAAAGATCGATATAATTCTATTTGAAGCATCCAAACGAGATTTGCTCCTGTTCCTGGATTATGTTCCCACCAATCCGAACGAAACGATATTTCAGTAATTTTCTGAACTTCAAAATTAGTTGTATTATCACCTAACATCAATAATTGACCAGTAACTAAACGTGGAATACCTATTTGATTAAACCATCAATTTCGATTCAACCAATCACGTACTAACCATACGTTGAGTGCACAATGAGTGCCAATCGCTAATCGTGGTTCATTTCTTACACTAGAATTCGGATATGTTAATGCTTGCATCATAGTATTTACTCGTTTTAAATGTTCTTCTGTAGCCCAATTGGCTAAACCTCTATCTGCATAATTGATATCTTTTCAATAACATGAACTATTCAAATTTTTATTGTAAGAAATAGCAGCTTGAACTATATCGGAACTAGTGCTCATGGTTGGTCACATTATCATTTCTAATACACGTTCTCGAATGATAGTAATATCACCATCAAATGATTAACAATTATTAAATGTTGGACATGAGAATAGAAGAAGAAGAATCGACGCTAATCTTGAACAATTCATTATTCTGATTATGAAAGCATTATATTCTAGTAAATAGTAAATTGATATGCTTGATACTAGCTCTTTTGCTTATTCATTCTTATCATCAAAGAACGAAAAAAGTAAATATCAAGTAATGTTTTCTCTAAATCATTTGTAAAGATAAACTCTTTTTTAACTTAACTTTTTAAGTTTTCAATACTCAAAGTATTAAGCTTATGAACTAACAATATTGTTTGTGTAATTGAGTATTTATTATTATTGACTTTCGATTCGATTTATTTCAGATCATAACGTCGATTGTTGAGTTCACACCTGACAATCAATACGAAGTCTGATTATCCAATTCTAATTTATAACATAATATAATCAACTAGATAAGAAATTAATTATAAGTCTGTATATTTAGTAACTTTATTGATGAAGAAACATATTCTCTTATTTTAAATTTAGGATATAAACTCAAATGAAATCAACGACCAAACTATTAGTATTTTTCATTTAATCCAAGCCGATACACTAATGAAATTCTTATAAAAATAATTTTATGGACTAGAAAATAATTGAAAAATGAGCATAGAAATCTTTCAGGTTACTGTGGGTTATTATCCGTAATAATAATAATAATAATAATAACTATATGAATACAAATCGATTTACAGATAAGGGTATAGGAAGTCTTTTTTTGTCTGTAGTTTACATGATAATACAGTAAATCCACAAAGTGTAATCGGTGGAATTATTGATTTTAGTCAAAAGAGTAAGAAGAAATGATAAAAAAAAACATCTTCTCTTATTACACGATATGCTATTTTCTATCGTTTATTGCTTTTTTTTATTTCTTATCTTACATTTGAATTGAGAAGAAAAAAGACGAAATGCCAAAATTTTAACCTTTCTTCATTCTAAACTTATTACGGATAATGCTTCGTCGTGCAGTCAACGGTGCTCAAAGTCTTCGCCATGTGGTTCTCTTTAAATTCAAAGATACTGCAAGTCCAGCAGATGTTGCTAAAATTGAACGTGAATTTCGAGCATTAGCAACTGTCAAAGTACCGCAAGTGCGACAATTTGAAAGTGGAACACATGTTGGAAAAGAAAATTTGAATCAAGGTTTTACTCATGCTTTCTTATTAACTTTCGACAATGAACAAGATCGAGATACATACATAGCTCATGATGATCACAAAGCTTTTGTTAAACTTCAACAAGGAATAGTTGATAATAAAATTGTGCTCGCATTTTGGTCAAAATAAACTTTTATATCTCTAATCTATTTTAAAATAAATTCTTAGTTTCCTTGTTGTTGATTTTGCTTTGCTTTGCTTTGCTTAAATTATTTTTATGTTGAAGCAATCATGTCTAGATTATATAGTATACAAGTTTTGTAACAAAATAAATACCTGCACTCATTAATTACGCTATATTCAAGTAAAAACATTGTTTTCATATTAATAATTTTCATTCTCAGAAAAAATATACCTATGGAGAGTAAACAAAAAAAATGTCACCAAATGCGCGACCTCTTTTTTCTTTTTGTTCAACATCTCGGATAGTTTCTAATAACAGGAGGCTGCTGCGTAGAGGAAGAATATGCCGATGTAGTTAGGTTTGATTGTATTTTGACAACAGTGACGTGTGTTGATGATTTAAAACATTAAATACTGACGGCATTTCATTGATGTTCACATAAGATAGATTTTCTAGCAAATGTAGATTATGGCAACCAAGTCTCTCACACCTATTGATGCATCCGATAAGAATAAAGACATCGAATATAAATTGAATCTCGTAATTTTCGAATTATTTTCTTCGTGCCATATAGACAATTCTTTTCTTTTTCTAAACCAGTTTGGACCACAAGCTGCTGGAGATTGGACTAGAGCGATTCATCACGAACTTAACATAAAGCGACGAACATGCACTACATTTATTCCAAATTTGTCAGCAACTAGTGATGGGTATGTTATAAAAGAAATATCAACTCTCACCTCTGTGAATAATAATATAAACGAAATCTTGCTGATAGAAATGCAAACAATATTCCATGTGGTTGTAAACGTCTTCGTCGTGAGCATTCTTGGGATGCTACGGATGGAAATGATTCTAAATGGGATCGAAAAAAACATACGAAATCTGCTTATAATAATGCATATGGATATATACCAAGTACTCATGCGCATTATATTCGATGTGACATTGAAACACAACCAAAAATTCTTGCTAGTTTAATGTATGATGTATGGAAAACGAAAGAGCCAAAATTAATTATGTGTATAATTGGAGGAGCTAAATATTTTAAACTAAACGAACGACTAGAAAGAGAATTCATTAAAGGTATTATTCAAGCAGCATTGAGAGCAGGTAAAAACAGCAAGAATGGGGAAAAGAAAAATATGTAAAAAATAAATCTAATTAAAATGTTTTCTAAAGATGGTTGGATTGTAACAACAGGATTTAAAACAGGAGTTGTACAACTTGTTGGTGAAGCTATTCATGATCATAAAGTAACTAATCCGCGAAGTCGTATTATTGCTATTGGTTGCTCGAAGTGGGGTGCAGCTAAACATAGAGAATCACTTATATTGGTAAATTTTTGAAAACAGTTTCCGTTTTCCTTATTGATTCCCATATGTTTGTTTTTAGAAGAATATTTCAAATAAACCTGATCTAGATGTAGCGACACGAAAAGCAAAAAATACGAAAGGTGAACAAGAACTCGAACCTAATCATACACATTTTCTATTACTTGATGATGGAACGTATTTTGGATACGATATTGGAGATTATCGAACAAGATTTGTCATTGAAGCTTCATCTTACAAAAACGAAAATGGTAATTTTGACATAATTTTAATTTTTCATAGCTTATCAATATTTCATTTAAGTTCCTGTTGTGACTGTTGTCGTTGAGGGTGGTCCCGATACATTAACAACGATTTACAAGGATCTTTCTAATGGTATACCAGTAATATTGATTGATGTTAGTATTTTCCTTTATGTCAAAGATATACAATTAATAAAATATTGTCTGTATAGGGTAGTGGTCGAGTACCTAATCTTCTCGCTAAGTTTCTTACTCGTACAGAATCGATGATTTACCGAAGCGTGAAAGATGATAGTGATACTAATTGGAAACAAGTAATCGACGTCAAAGAACCGGATCATGTTGAAAAGTAACATATTAATGTGTTATTATTTTTTTAATGTAACGATTGATTACGAATTATTTTTCAAGATTAAAAACAAAATTTCATTCTTATGAAGATGAAATATATGATGGTTTAAAAGAAATATCAAAAGGATCTAAAACGTCAAAAGAAGAAATGGATCGTTTATTTAAATATTTTCTTTATTGTTTACAACCAGCTGTTAGATCTAAAATCCGAATATATAGTCTTGATAGTGATCAACCATTAGATGATACCATTTTTGAAGCTATTATAGAAGGTAGATTAAATTCAATTTAAATCTAAATGAATATTTTTCTTTCTAGCAAAACAAGAGAAAAGCTTAGAAAAAAATACAGTAGTTGATCGAGAGCAGTTATTAAATTTAGCATTGGCTTGGAATGCTATTGAAGTAGCGAAAGATCATATAATTAAAGATGATTTAAATGATCTTAATGTAAGTTACGAAGATACTTGAAGAAAAATTTTCTTATTTTTAAATCTTAATATTTTAGGCAGCAGTTAAAGAGAAACTATTCTTGGAAGCACTCATACTTGATCGGCCACAGTTTGTCAATACTTTTATCAAATTAAATTTTGATTTAGCTCAAATATTTTATCAAAAGAAAATCAATCAACCATGGGAATTAAAATGGCATCAGTTAGAGAAACTATATGGATATGACGACAAGAAAAGTGTAAGATAAGAACAAAATAATCAATGATTTAGTTCATAACGAATTGCTGCATTTTTTCTCTAGAGGGAACGTCTTTATTTACTCAGCAGATGTTATGATAACAAGCCCATCAGTTCTAGAGAAGATCTTGATATAATATTGAAAAATTTAATAGGTGATTATGTCAAATCAATATATACTGCTGCATCAGGTAGCTTGTGGGAACAATTTGGAAGGTGTTGTCGATTGTCGACGGCACGTGTTTCGGATAGTCGTACAACTTTATGTCGAGACTATATTGACGATGATTCTGAAGTACCTGACCCGGAAGAAGCTCAAAAAGAAGTTCGCGAATATGTTTATCGGGATTTATTTTTCTGGTCAATATTAACCAATCGAATTGAAATGTGCAAGGTTATTATAAGTCATATGCAGACACGTATATGTGCTGCATTAATAGCATCCAAAATACTTAAATCTTTTAAAGAATTCGCTACCGATAACGAATCAAAGGAAGTTCTACATTCTCAAGCTGAACAGTTTGAACAGTATGCTATTGAATCTTTAAAGTGTTGCTATAACTATGACGAAGAAAAGGCTTGCGAAATTGCTATTCGACGTATTTACATATTCGGCGGTGTTTCATGCCTTCAAGTAAGATTCAAAATCAAGAAAGAAAAGTTACATTGTTTTCCTTTGCTTTTATCTTCAGGTAGCCGTTGATGCTGATGATAAAGATTTTGTTGGTCAACCATGCTGTGATCAACTTTTAAATAATATTTGGTTTGATAAAATGAAACCATTTCAATTTACATTACGTGAACGTGGTCAAGTATTATTGAGTATTTTTACATTTGGTTTATTAGCACCATTTCTTATTAAATTTCGTGAAAATAAATCAGATTCAGCGAATTTTGATAATGATAGGAAAAAAAATTATGAAATGACTGTTAATGAAACAGAACAAGATGAAAAATCATTATTACGAAAAACAACTCGGAGGTAAATATTAACTTAAGTTAGTAATCAAGCCGAGTATTATGCTACTTTTTTCCTTGTTTACAAAGAATGTAAATTCTATATTAGAAACAAGATAGCGACGAATTCTAATAATAACACGAGGCATTGTTTTGTAACAGCTCTTTAGCAGTCTTTTGAGCATCGCCCGTATTCATCATTCATCGAAGTGGTTGACAAATAAAGTTCTGTAGTATTAGGCAATATTGCTATGAATATCAATTGAAAAATTGATTGTAGGTTGTTGTAAAATGAAAGCAAAAAATATCATCAGCAATTGCACTTTTGATTTCATTCTAAAATGGGCTTCAACATGTTTTGGAGAATACAAAAACGATCCTATCGGATCTTATATTTCTTACAAAATGAAAGTTAAATTTTTTTATCGAAGATTTCTCTCTATAACTTCATCTTTCCTCTTCCTAATAGCTTCTGTCATATATTAGATTTTTTTGGTTACACCATAAGACGATTTATAATATCAATTTCATCTGACGTATCATATTTAGATTACATAGTTATGGTATTAACTATTCTGATGGTCATGTATGGAAACAAAATTGTTGTTCAAAAAAATGGTCGAATCGCTTTCGTCACTTAAAAGACTTTCATGAATCTCCCTTTATTAAATTTTCTTATAATGTCGTTAGCTATATATTTTTTCTCTTGCTCTTTTCTTATTTCTTATTATTTGATTTCAATCTGCCAACAGATGGAGTTCCAAGTATACATTGGACAGAAATATTAGTGATTATTGTTGTAACAACAATGCTTTTTGAAGATGTTCGACAAGTAATTCACTCTAAATATCCGTATTATCGAATTGTACATTTTCTTGTTCATAGTTCCTCTGTCAAGAGAGTCGATCAATACCTGGAAAGTTCACGAATTATTTTATAAAAAACCCATCTTTTAGTTTAATCCGTATTGGGCCGTATGTTCTTTTTTATATTGGTCTTATTCTTCGTTTTGCATATGCATCTACCAATGAAGAATTATCAGCCGCAAAAATTATTTTTGCTTATGACCTTGAGATTTGGTATATTAGATCATTAAGTTTCCTTGGTGTTGCACGACAAATGGGACCCAAACTTGTCATGATACGGAAAATGGTATTTTAAAACATATTATTTCATTTGCGTTTGTTTTGATTTATATTTTTAGCTAATCGATTTATTTTTCTTCATATATATTATTTTAATTGCTATGATTGGGTATGGTGTTGCTTCTCGATCTATGTATTCATTTGATGATCCAACGCAGAATGATTATTTAACGTTCGATGGGCGATCAATCTTTCGACATATTCTGTATCCGACTTACTATCTTATGTATGGAGCAACCGATACAGAAATAGGAGCACTTGATCGTATTTAGTTTTTGAATAAAAAAATTCTATATTAAATCTTTTCTTTATAGAAAATCCCGATTATTCTACATCCATTGCTACACAAGTATTATTAGCTTTTCATATGCTATTTGTTAATGTTCTTCTTATCAATCTACTTATTGCAATGTTTAGGTACGTGGCCATTTCATTTTCTAAAATAAGAAATAGAAGGATTTCATTTTAGTTTTACGTTTAATGCAGTTCAAACTCAAACTGATCTCGTTTGGCGTTATGATCGATACGGATTAATTCGTGAATACTTTGATCGGCCACCATTGTTTCCTCCGTTTATTATAATCACCCATGTTGTGGAGCTTTTTAAACTAATTTCACGACACGTATCTAATGTAGATCATTCAAAAATGAGAAGAAGACGAACAAAAATATTTAGTAAATTAAAATATTTGAAGCTAAAAATAAAGGTGTACACTTTTAATTTATTTTATTTCTAGAAATGGTTGCAGCTAATCGAGAAATAGATAGAGAATGGTCAGAATTTGAAAGCTACGCAACAAATCTTTATGCGAGAACCATAGTTTCTGGTCAACCATCATCATCAGCAGCTCTTGTACCATCAGCGGCACGTCAGGAAATTCCACAAACAGCATTCGATACAATGAACACTTCATTAGCATCGCCAAATGTAGATGTCAAAGCAATTACTGATGAAATAGCATCAATTAAAAGATCTGTCGGAGATCTTCGTACATATGCTGAAGAAGTTAGATCAAATGAAATACTTGTTAAAAAAAACTTTATCTATTCAATATTTTCGTTGTAGATGAACCGATGTATGCAATGGATGATGGATGCTATGGAGCGTGTTAAGATGTCGAAAGAGCCAAAACCTAAGCTGAAATCATCACGAACAACCACAGGTACGATTATTTAATTATATAGTTTTTAGTTCATTTTTAAGCTTTTATTTTATTTTAGATCTAACACCATCTGACGAGTAAATTGTGATATAATTAATAATTACGCATTTTTCTTGTCGATTTTTTTATTTTGCTCATTCTTGTTATTACTTTTGAATACTTTGGACACTAATATTCTTTTGCTAAAATTCTATTAAAATTCTATTAAAATATGCGTAGCTTTTGATTTGTCTTTTTCAACAATTCTTTCTCTATCTTCTCGAGCAAACTTATAACGAAAATCATTCTACTACGTAGTATATCAATTGAATGTTCGCCTCGCTCATAAATCCATTTATGATTGTATCTAGTCGATACTTTACAAAGAGACTATGAAACATATTCATGATCAAACATTGACATAAAGAAGTGCATTGCTACGGAATATAATCAAAACAATTAATTGTGCTGTTGAAAATATTAGTTGTATGTTACTATTCGATAGGTAATAGAGAAAATTTTCGATTGTAAATTTCTAAATATTTCTATTCTTCTTATCATATTGTCGAGGACACATGCTCTTCGTAAACAAATTTATTGAGGAATGTTCTGGAGGCTTCATCTCATTAAGCCATAAAATAAATTTAAATAAATATTCAAAAGAAAAAGAGAATTTATATTATGAGCATATCTCATAAAAACAGAAAAAAAACAATACTGAATGATCAATCAGTCTACTAGACAATCCCTTTTGTCTTTGTATGATTCTACGCACAAAAATAAATATATCAATAATGAAAATATGTCTCCCATATGATAAGTCTCAATCAACCAAGATATTGTTTGTCTTAATAGTTATTTGAAAGAGGAGTGCGCTATGCATATCCATCGAATAAAGTCGTTAGACTAACAATCAATAGTTCACAGGAGAACATCAACTATGACATATATTTAAATGAAACAGTGTTTCATTTAATAGAACATAAAAAGCAGCCAATTACTAGCTTTTAATTCACTGGTGGCATATTGAAAAATGTGATAGATAGAAGATAACAAACTTTTTCTGCTCTTTCACAAAATAAATTAGAGAAAAAAGTACAATTTTCTCTGTACTAATGCAACTGTACTAAAACTACTTGTCATCAGTGTAAATTGATAGCACGTTTCAAGTTATGCTCATATTTTTGATATATTCCTGTAGAAAATCGGAATGTTCACTTTCATTTTACCCTAGTTCTGCATGAAAGTTTACTGAATTGTTTAGTGATATAAATACAAATACACAGTAAAAATATGATGGTATAAAATTTGTTAGATAAATCTTTGGCTAGACTAGTATTGTAGAGTGTTGATATAATAAATATGCGCTGATTATGCATCAAGTTTAGTCTAACGTGTTTAAAAATGATGTTAGGTTGATTATATTCCAATTAGCTTGTTTCTAGAATACCAATTTTATAAAGTTATTGGTATCATAGCTCTTTTTTGAAAATTATCAAAAGTGTCAGTAGAAATTTCTGTATTCGGCGGTGAAATATTTTATTTTTGTCAAATAAGATGAATCAATAATAAGTGATACATTATTTATTTTTAGCATTGTTTGTGTAAGACATCACATCGCTCAACGAAATTGTATATTAAGATTTTATTGTCGTTTGCAATGTCGGTAGGCGCATTCGTTTTTTAGTCTGACGAAATCCATTGATGATAGCTGCTCGACAATGCCAGAAGTGAAAACAAAATGCGATGGCAGTTATTATTAGAAAGATAAGGAAAAGTCCACCCAATACATCCAGTGAAAACGTTTCCGTTTTCGAATTATCTTCTTTATTCTCATTGTTTGATGATGATGATGATGATGATGATGATGGACATGTTCTATGTCTCAGCCATGCATTTTCTAATGATTCTAGTTTTTGTGTTTCGCGCAGAGCTAAAATATGAAGATCTAAATCTCTTTTGTAGAGCCAATTTTTAGGTAACACAATAGCAAATGATGATTTAACGAAACCAACACCAGCGATAATCAATTTCTCACAATAATAATTGTTAACAGCATATTCAAGTACAGATGAATCCCATATTGATGCATCAATTGTATGATCAAGTAAGCGCGAATACATCTCTTCAATTGTAGAAAGAGGTTCATATTCAGTTGAAATATTTTGTATATAATAATCTGATACAGCTGAATTAGTCACGATACCTATACGTGAAAAAGGTAATCGACCATTTTTTATATCATCAATACCAGAGATAGTTGCTTGTGAACGATTTAAGGTCAAAAAAGATGAAAGATTAGCAGTATAAGTTGCAACAAGAATAATGCCCAATGCGTATAAACCTAAAACTGTTATTCGGCTTGAATGTGTTGATAAACGTATATTGCCATCCATAATCAAAATACTAGTCATTGCATGACATATACCAATCAGAATAGATTTGAATTCAGACTCGCAGTGTTCAGTTTTTATATTGTGACGCTCAAAAATATAAATAATGAAGCCTGAATAAATAATAACTGCAAAAATAGCTGCCCATACATCCCAAGTAAATGGATTAAAACATGAGAAAAGACTAAATGATGTGGAATATGGATTTGGGCGAGTAATAATTCGGAAAGTATTTTCATGATAAGGTGTTGAAAAGTCAACTTTAAGAAGACGACTCGAAGTGATTCTAATATCAGATAAAATTATATCATATTGACGATTATCATTCGCTACTAATGAAACAAGAGAATGATAGTCTGTTGATAGATTCGCTACATCAATGGTGAAATTAAAATGCATTTGACTTTGAAGTATACGAATAAGATCAGGAACAAAACCGTAGATAAGAATGTTAGAATTTGTTGTCTCTAGAGGCTCACAACGAAAATTGTTGTGTTTAACATTATTGATATTGTTCGAGAAGTGACCTTGATTTGAAAAATTGTGTATTATAACGAAAGGAGGCGCTTCAATGACAAGAATTCGCAGATATTGACCTGAATGTAATTTATAAACGTTCTTAAATTTATTGAAAAGATATGAATTTGATATTTCTGTGTTCTTTATTATAAAAAAAAAAGAATAGTTAACAGTATTGTTGAGTAGATCTACGCCAATAAGTTCATTGGTGTCCGTTTCATGGCAAATAACTACTCTCACACTACTAAAGATATCCGTCTTTTTTAAACAACTTTCTTATATAAACTTCTTATCCAGTAACAAACCTTTACACTATAATTAATTATTTAAATGTGAAAATACTGAACTGATGAAGATGTATATATCAATATAAGTATGAATCTCTTCTTACTCCATGTCCAGTAGACAATCGATTGACACATAATAACAGCTGTATGATTGTCAACCAACAGATTACAAATATCTAACATTGAACAGCAGTTTTTAAATCTAATTAACTCATTCAAGAAAAATATTCTGTTCGTCATCGAATAAATCGTTTCCAACTATCATCTGATCTTAATGGATTTGCTTCTAATCAATATTATACTTTAATAATATTTTGCAATTTCTTTTTTTGTTTGTGACTCAATATTCTTTGCGTTTGAGTTCTCTAACTATAAGTTCATTTTGTTTTCTTTTTGTAATTAACATTTTTCCTAACCTTGAAGTTGTGGATAATCAGTAGGCACTGTGTTGATTGGATTTCTTGGCCAGATGATATTCAGTTTGTCTGGGTTAGTATAATTTGTCCAACTGTGGCTCGTTTCATGCCATGTCATTATTTGCTCATAGATTACTTCTTTTTTCTTAGAGTTGCCTTTCGATCGCACACTATAAAGAACATACATACCACCATGGTTATCTTCATTTAAATCGTGTTTAGAAAAGTCAACAATTCCTGATACACCAAAAAACCGAGTTTTTTGCAGATAATCAAAATATGTGGTATAATTTTGCAATGAACTATCAAAACATGAAGTTGCTTTACTCATTGAAGGCGATTTCTTATCAATTGAAGACTTGTTTAATGCTTGAATTAAAGCCCAAGTAGCATCAAATGTATACATTGCAAATGGGCTGACATCAGATAACTTTTCTGGAGCTTTTTTCCCCTCATACGGTCGATTGCGCCAAATATCAAATGCCTCTTTTTGTAATGTTTCATTAACGCCAGATGTACTACTATTGCCTATGATGTGTACCACAGCTAGAACACCTGCTAATTTTGTTGGATCATATTGTTTGAACCCATTGAAAACAATCTGAAAGTATTATTGGCGCAAAAAAACATGATCAAAACGAATATATGAAAAAATCATCATCGAAAGACAAAAAAGAAATAAACCATAGGGTCTTATCAGGAATGAATATGTATCTATAGACCTTTTCTAATCTTTTTTCTGAGTTTTGAAAAATCCCTGTTGTTAATGATTAGGATTTTCGAATCAGAATATCTGTGAACTTACCTTACTAGTCATAATCCATACATAATTTCCACCGATAAGTCCGTCATTAAGCGCATGACGAATGATTCTTGTTGTTGAATTTTGACATGCCCAAACTAATACAATGCGCGATCGACTTTTTTCTAATGTTTCTTTTAAATTTGCGTGAAACTTGTCGAGTCGCAGATCAAATATTAATCTATCTTGAATCGACAAATTTGAATGGTAAACTTCTGATAATATTTTCAATCCACCATAACCGTAATCATCTTTTCCAAGAATTATTATACAGCTTGACCACGAAAAAAAATTAAACAATTGCACAACAGCTTCAGCTAACAGAGTATCCGACGGAATGGTGCGATAAAATGTTGCATAATTATATGCATCATCGAGATCCGCATTAGTTGCAGAATAAGAAATAAGTGGCAAATGTATGCGTGCAGCAAATGGACCAAGATAACGCACCTTTGTTGAACTAGCTGGTCCGACAACACCTACAATATCGGAGTCTGTTCGATTGCACATTGTTCGACAGACAAGCTCAAGTTCTGCAAAGCCATTGCTCTCAATATTAGTATTGAGAATAGTGGAAGCTATGGGTTGTCCATCCACATAGATTTTGTAGTCACTGGCAAGAACAATAGCTGCACGAAACATTTGCATACATTGATTTGTCCAATGGCCACTTTGATTAACATTTGGATTATGAGACAGTGTATCGCCTTGTTCAGGAAAAAGACCGAGAATTTGAACACCATTCAAAATATCGATAGATAGAGCAATACAAGCCAGTAAAAAGAGAAAGCGTGACATTACTGGATGCATAGAGTGAAATGGTATCAAGTATTTTCTTAAATAACTTTTATAGTAATGAATGTTTTTTTCTACATTTGTTTGGCAGGTAGAATATCTTTTTTGTTGAAATTGTAAAACAAAATCATGATTTATATGATGACAAGAGAAATAGCACATTAACATTGAACTTTCTGTTCTTATCTCTTTCATGATTTGTTGCTCGCAATTATTTTCAGTTGACTATTTTCTAGGAAAATATAAAGGTGATTGGCATTATTGGAAACGTTATCTTTTTTTATAGACTTGTTGATTCAAATAATAGCGCTTGAAAACATTTGCAAAAAATACTTTTTGGTTTTATCATTGGCCAAAACGTTATCTGCAAAATTAGAATGATCACATCAGTATCTATTTAAAAATATTCCATTTATGCTGATTAAAATCCTCCGAGAATTCATTACAATGTCTTAAATAGCCATGATGACAATTTGATCTTCATAATAATTGTTCTATTATTGCTAATTCAGTTCAAAGGAGCACATTTGTGAAATGATGAAAATAAATAAACTATTAGAGAAAACATTGTTTTTTTTGTAATGTCTAACAATGAACACTGTTCTCTTAAAACACGCTCATATGACATCATTCGAAATCTGTTCATTATGTTGCAGATTAGAACAGAAATAAGAATATTCATTATTCTTTATTATGCTTTCATCATATGAAGTAGTTATTGTCGAATAAAGATGGCGTAAGATTATTCCTTTCATGCTAAGAACATTTGTGCCAGAGAAAGCGCAGTAGAAATCTTGTGTATCATTATGTGCAAATCAATTTTATTTTTTTAAAGTAATCAAAAATATAATTCAAATCTATAGATTGAATCCAATAGACTTTTAGTTATCTCAAATGAATGCCAAAAATAGTTTTAAATGTTATATGTTCAAATGTAATTTATTTGAAGCATTATGATTGCTTCAATTTCTTCTTCATTGCTTCATCAATTAATATCAGAGCTGTTAATGCATCGAGAGGAATTTCGATTGCTTGCCTTTTACTTCCCTTTTTAGAATAGGAACTAATCCGTGAATGTTCTTCAAATGGATTGATCCGAATAAAATCAGCTGTCCATCTTGGATCAGCGAATGTTATTTCACTTTGTATTCTCACGGTTGGAACAGCGGTACCAGCTCCTAATTCAATGATTAATAATGTAGGTTTTGTCGTAGCAATGTTGGATGTAAATTGTCGGTAATTAGAAATTTGTTTATCTAATCTTTCGCTTAAAAATTCCCCATCACCAAACATCAGTACATTTGGTCGTGCTAATGCGTTGCAATAAGGACATGTAGGTAAAGTATCAATAGCACAATCTGTCTTTGGATCCACCTTCAATTGCAATTCATTCTTAGTATCCCATATAGCGTTACGGCACGAATCAATACATTGCATATAATGAACAGAACCATGGCATTCCATAATTGCTGATTCATTCCAACCTGATTTTATCCAATGGCCATCAATATTACTAGTAAAACTGAATGAAGATTTTACATGATTCAATTCACTCCATTTTTTTGCAATTTCATAACCTAAATGTGGAGCAGCTGATGTATAAGCATTGTATCTGTATGCCCAAAAAGCATAACCAAAGTTAGCCGTATTGTGTTGATCACTATTTCCTTGCGACTTTCTAAACCATTGTGGATTACTCATATCAGTGAAGTCTAATTTTGGATGTTTCAACAAAGGTGGCCAAACACCAGCTGCAACACCTCTAAATGTGCCTAGTCCACTACTGACGCCCATTCCAGCACCACTAGTAAACAAAATAGCCTCACAATTCAACACTAAATCCGCTGATTTTTCAATAAGTAGTTGCACTGCAGCATCTATTGTTGGTTGAACATCTGTTTCAATATTTTGTGATAGACTTGCCGATGTCATAATTAAGATATATTCGATATCTAAAAAATTCATCAAAAGAGAATCGGTGGATATTATTTAAACTGAATGTGAAATTAACATTGACACTAATCGACAAAGAAAAGTATTGTTTATAAAATTCTACGCTTAGTTTTTCTATCGAAATGATGGATACACTTTAACGAGTAAAAGCACCAATCATCTGTAGAAGATTTCTCTCGAAAATAAGACTCAGGTCGAACGTTATATTGACATTAATCAAAAGAGAAAATGTTTCTACATCCGATCGTACTTCCGCTTTTTCTTTCTAAACAATGCTTGCATGGAGAAACAATCTGACCAATTAAAGCACATTGGCGCTGTTGTTGTTGTGTTTCTATGATAATAAACCGATGATTCATCCGTATTTCAGAACCAAGTCGAAAACATTTCTCTTTCTTTTCGTTTGGTTACATGAAGAAACATCAAAATTTTTTAAATTATCTGACAAGAGACCAATTTCATTCAAATTTGAAGTTGAAAGGAAATGAAACAAAGTAGTATTTACACCAACTTTGCTGCATTGCTTTTGTTGTCAGAAAAAAATATCATAACTCATAATAAATTGTGTACATGTGTCAGACAAAACATTGGAGTGTCATAAAAAAAAGGCGGAAGAATAAATACAACCCTGACTTTTATTGGTGTACACAGACGTAGATAATAATTGATTCATTGATAAATATTGTTTTTTTTATTTATTAAAGCAAAATAAGTAACCTTCGTTGTATGTGAAAATGTAAATGAGTCATTTCTGAGAACATGATATTTTCTTCCTCTTTATCTTTTATAAAGTTAACTCAGCAAAAACCCTCCAACACAGACATATTAACTGAGACTGCCACATCATACATCAACAACTTTATCAAGAATGCTTCAAATAACCTTAGTAAATAATTTATATGACGCTGAATAAAAAATAAATTATAGTTTTAATATAAATTGGCCGTATTGTTTCTGACGCTTATTTTAAAGATATGTTTTTCTTTCGTTTCATGCGTTAGTTAAAATCTTGTCCACACTGATCACTATACTATACTAAATAGTACTTTTCAAAATAATATTTGTGACAATTTCTGATGTAGTAGACGCTGCGTAAAGTGTTATTCAACGAATACTTTATTAATCTATCCAGAATCGTGCTGCACTGTATGTTTCTCGTTTCTTATATGCCATCTCGTGCCACAGCAGAGGCTTAAATGATACAGTGTAAGCAATGTGAGGCGTAAGGATAAATTCAAAAGTTACAATTAGTATCACGATTGATGAGGAACGATCATACGAAGAATACCATTTAGATGTGTACGAACAGAAAAGATCGTGGTGATTGTAAACAATGTACTAGTGAAGGACACATTGATAGTGCGCTTCCGAAGTGCAAATAGAAGAATAATAGTGTATCGCAATCATTTCAGTTAAGAACAAACAATACATTGCAAGTTCGGTTGGATTGTTACAATATTGACTGTTTCAAAAATATACGCACACCAGTTGATACAACAAGAACAAGACATGCTTTGACTGCAACAGAACTGCTTAGTTGACGTATAAAAAACTAGATGTACGCCTTGAAATTATTCAACTTTATCTACTAAACCAATAGCAATGCATCTATTGCTTATAGAAATAATAATAGTAATAATAATAACAGAGCGTGCAGCTTTTCTTATTTAAGGAAAAACTAGTAATAGTTTGAATACACATTGAGTGCAAGGTGCCCATCATTTGGCATAGTATGTAGAGAAAAACGAAGATGAATTTTCGTCTGGTTTAAGATAAAGTATGATCATCAAATAAAAATATACAGCAGTTAAAAAATGGGATCATTGCTCATTACATACACTTTATAAATGCGATTCAAAAAATACAAAATGAAAATGCATTGCTATACAAACAAGCAACAACTATAGATGCACACTGATATTGAAATAAATGAATTGGCCAATAAAAATATTCAACTTCAGAAAAAATGAAGATCAGTTATAAATTTAAAAAAGAATTTTTTATTAAAATTATCGGCTACTCGAGACTGTAAGTCTTAAAATCTACCCGAACACCGACTACTTATAATGATTCATGATATTGACAATTTCTAGTACAATCCATCGAACTATGATGAATTGTGATGGTAGTTTTCATTGGATCTTGAACCTTCAATTAGCGGCATTCATTTTATCTTCTGCTGACTCTCGAGACTGTTGTTGTTTCCTTGTACTTAAAAGATTGATATCATCGACTCTTGCAGTTGGCGGTGCTCGTGTCTTTTTCATCTGGGATGGACTATAAAAACCATTTAAATTCGATTGAGAAAATTTATATTCATCTTCTCTCAAGTTCTGATTGAAATCTGAAACAGCATGAACTTTTAAAATTTCTATGTATCAACTAATGAAAACTTACTTTCGAAACCCTGAACGCTTCTATACATGGGCGGCCTTTTCCTGAGAGATACTGTTCTACTGCCTAAGTCTAATGAATTTAAAACCATATTTTCCGCACTTTCTTCACATCTTTGTTCTATTAAAGGAATCAAATAAGCAGCACCAACAAAAGACTTATCAGACGGAAGGATGACATCAGTTTTTTTCCAACGGTCACCTTCGTATACTATCCATTTACTCAGATTTAAAATAAATCTTTTAGAGTACACTTGTTCTGTCCACTTCTTAGGAAGACCTTCGTAACCATAGTACGCACCAGCTAACTGACCATATATAGCAGCTGTGGTATCAGTATCATCACCTAAATTTACAGCAGCAAGTACACCATTCTCAAAACAATCCTCATCAGACCAAAACGCCCAAAGAGCAGCTTCAAGAGCACTAACAATATAACCTTTCCCACGAATTCCTCCGGCATAGCCATTTTTTTTCTGGTAAGACCCTTCTGCAATCGATCTTACTTCTGCACAAAGTGTCTTCTCACCAAACCAAAACCTATGTTTATCATAAAAATTCTTATCAAGTAATTCATCTTTTGTATAACCATTCAATGCAGCATAGATTAGAGCTCCATAGTATCGACAAGCGTCGTAAGCTTTTATGTCGCCGTGAGTAATTTGACCACTGTACCCAGAATATTCTATTGCTTCTTGAAAATGTTTGTAGAAAAAAAGTGGTAAAGGTGCAAGACGCATAAGAGCTCCATTCCCAGCCACGCCTGGGATACTACAATGCACCTGAAACTTTTGTATCAGAGATCGATCTGAAAGATAGTCTAATCTGTTAACGGGAATGCGATGTTTTCTGCTGAACACTTTTTGACGGCGAGTGAATTCATTCAGCGATTGCGATGTAGCTTCACCAATATCAAAGCAACGTCCAGTCGATGACATGTAGCCATGTTGTTGCCACCATTTGTAGCGAACTAATTGATCATAAGGTACAAATGCACGACGAGTCACTAATGACGAAGCCAAACAAAGTGCCATTGACGTGTCATCTGTGAACTAAAGTATTTACAACTTCTATACTGATTGTTACAAAGTTCTCGACAATATTCTTGAATATTCAAGAAAATTGCTATCGTGATTATTGTAAAAGCTTGTCATTTCATTTGCGAAAGAAACTCTTAGTTCACTTGCTGCAAAACTAAATAATTACATCACGCATACCAATGAGGTTTATCAAGAGATGATACAGTTCCGTCTCTTCCTATATGCTTTGTACTCTTGACTATATCAATATATTCAAAGCTCAGAAACTACGTGAGTTTTTCCTATTGTTTTATTTGTGAAGTGTCACAGAATAACCATTAGCTATGTTGATTAAAAAAATGAAAGATATTCCAACAGAAAATAAACAATCTATTTTTGTGACATCTTCAGTAGGAATTTCATTCAAAGTGTATGTAGAAGAATTGTTGTATGGAATATTTTCTTTGAAAACTTTTTTCTCAACTCATTCATATATTTAGATCAAGCTGATTTGACTTTTTTCAATGGTCTATCAATAATGATAGTCAAATAGCAAGAAATTCTATCGAGCATTTCGAAGGTCAACTATATCGACAACAAATTTCACGAATAGTTTTATACTAAGTAGTTATCTGTATCACAAAATACGCTCAATATAAATAATACCTGCCCTTTACTAAGACCCCATGTACCACCTCCTTCGAGATCTGTAACTGGATTTGTAAGTAAATATGCATGAGGACGAAATTCTGCATGGGCACCAAGAGCATCACCCAAAGCCAATCCAATTAAAGAACCATAGGTTTGATTCAGTCGTTTTTCATCGATGGGATCAGGTGGCTCCTGCATTTCATTTTCAAGTTCATCAGGCTTCTTAATTTGACCGTTTTTATGAAATTGAAGATTAAGCCATCGTTTTTCTAAACATAAAGTGCTTGAAGATAAAATCGCTGTCTGAAAAATAGAACACGCTTATTCTTACCTGTTTCAAAGAGACATGATGGATAGCTAGTTGATCGATTTGGTCCTACAACAATCCAATATATGAAAGAATAAATTATTTATGTTTATTGTGAAAGAAAAAGAGCTAGAACTTAGATTGTTGTATGTGAATCTTGCAAATAGTGATCTATTCATCGAACATAAGAAATATTTCGTGTAAACCCGATTGAAATGTTTTCCTCGAAAAAGATGTACTTTTAAAATTTAGATTAACTAAAGTAAAACTATGACTAAAAAATATTATTAGGACGGTACTTAAGTCGTTATTTTCCTATTAACTATCGCATCCTTGTGGCAATCCAACGAAAGATATTTTCAGTTTTAGTTTCTTTTATCGCATGTGCTTGATTGCCAGCAAGCAAGCCATTACTAAGAATTACCAGCTGTATATTATGTTGTCTATAGACGATGAAAATATACTAAATCAATTATTCATAGCGAAGAACGCATCAATTTTGATCGAAATGATTTTTTTTAAATCTGTTTTTGAACCTCGTCAATATCAAAAACATTCATTAAAATCTTACTTATAAAATGTTCTCTTAACCATTTAAAAGGATTGTGACGCTTCTCCATGTTATAAGACAAAGAAATGTGGTTGCTTTCATTTTATATATATTCACAGGTAGAGGTGCTTTTTTCTCTTTCGTTCTGTTTATGCGTTTCTACATGATTTTCCCTCCCTTTTTTTTACATTGCAAAGAATGTCATGCGATACCGCATTATTCAAACAGATCTCTCCTCTATCGATTGACAAATAGTGTCGAAAAAAAACAAAATCATGCATAAATAGGAGAAAAAAACAAGAATGATTGTCATGATTTCATTAGAAAATCAAACTCAATTAGTCACTCGGTAGAAGTAATGAGTAATATGCAAATGTAAATTTTTTATTCTACAGTCTTTTTAAATTTTATTGCTAGTTGCCAGTCGATGCAAATCTTACATTTAAGTTGAAAAAAAACAGTGCTTTTGAAATATTATCTAGATATGAGCTGATTAATTTCCTCAGCTGTCGTTTAGATAGCGCAAACGATGAATAAATTATTGTTATTTAATAAGTTTCAACGCTTTATATTTATGAAATTCAATAAGACTTCTAATTTATTTCTATCGATGACTCATTAAAACTCAACTCGATATTTTAGTGTCAAATATTAGCATAATTTAGATTTTCATCTTTCTCAACTTTCTATTGACAAAATACAATCATTTTTAGTAAAAGCGTAAGAAAAATATTACTAGTATCTGTACAACTGATTTCAAATGTTTCTTTTATGGAATCATTTAAACATTCACCTTAGGTTTTTAAGAAAATAATTTTTCTAATATAAATTTGAAGATTCAATTATCTAGTTCAGAAACCAACATATGTTGAGTAGCAAAAGTTTCTACAGAAAACAAAAATTAATTTGGCTCTCACAAAAGTTGATTTTGTTTCTCAGCAAAAACTTTTTTATAAATATCTCTACTAAAAAATTACGTGCCACTATAATGGTAGTAATTCAAATTGACTGGTTTTTATATTTTTTGTGGATTGAAGCTGGATGTTCTACAATTTCTTCAAGAAATATATTAGATAACAGAATCAATCAGATAAATAAATTTGGGAAGATGGATTAGGATACTTTTGAAAAAATTAGGATCTTAAACATTATGACTTGAAGACAACTATCAAAGTACTGTTATATCATGGAAAGAAAAATATTTAAGTATAAGTAGAGTTCTATTCAAACAATTTCGCTATAGTTGACTTTTATTCTATGATTCTTAAAATGTCCACCTGCAACTTTCTGTAATTTTCGAGAAACCATAGTGCAGTAAGTAAACTGTAGAACTGCTAAAGTTACATATTTGTATTCAGTCAATACATGCTTCATTTAGGTCTGTAAAATTCTCTCTGAGATTTCAGACTTGGCCTATGGTAAGAAAAAAAATCAACAATAATTTTCAATAGACTTCTCATAATTTTCACTGGAACTAGTTTGACTCGATTTGAAAGAGAAACTTACAAGAAATCATTTCACGATTGAAATAGCTTCGTTTGATAAGCTTCCTTAACAAAATAGAAAAAACAATACTGATCTCTAATTAGGGATGCAACGGTGACGATTAATCGTTCACCGTTCTACCGCTTGAGACCGGTGAAACGGTGGACCGGGCCCCGGTGGGAGCAGTGAAACGGTGGACCGGGGCCGGTCGGAGCTGTAAAACGGTGGACCGGGCCCCGGTGGGAGCGGTGAAACGGTGGACTGGGCCCCGATGGGAGCGGTGAAACGGTAGACCGAGGCCCGGTTCACCGGTGAAAGCCGGTGCAGTGATGCTACCAGATCACACTGATAGAGATATCTCTGAATCTTAGAAAAAACCGGCCTTCACCGTAGGTGTTTCGTAGTCTTTCCGACTTTCACCGCTTCCACCGGGGCCCGGTCCAACGGTGCACCGCTCCACCGTTTCACCGGTCTCAAGCGGGGAAACGGTGACGGTGGAACGGTTTTTGATCGTCACTGTTGCATCCCTATCTCCAATGATTTGCATGTTCTATATGCAGAGCAATCTTTTTGAATTTATGCTTGTTATTTCTTAACTTAAAGAGAGTGTTTAACTACAAGAAATTTGTTATTTTTCAGCCTATACAGTACAATAATATATTGAAAAGATAAAAGACAATATTTTTCTATGCTAAAGAAAATTTTGTTGTACTAACAAAGTGTAGAACGACTTTTGTAACAATTGATATAAAGAAAAAGAAAAAGAATAGTAATAGAAATATCAAAATAGTCTATACAAGTCGACTTCGATACGAAGAACTGTCGGAAAAAATCGTTTCATTACTCAATCGCCACAGATGTTTACAAGATAACAGTCAATTTTGGTTTTACTCCACCACCTCCTCTACGATGTCTAGTTATTCGACAACCAAAGTATCATACAATTAATATAAGTAAAATTAATAATTATTCATTTTGTAGTTGATATTCTAGATAGAAGCAAATAATACATTGTATAAAGGTAAGCTCTTGTATTTATGACACAGAGAAAGACAATAATATCAGCAAACTAAATTACATTGAAAAATCTAAATTTCCCGAACAAATTAAAAGGACAAATAAAATATTTTTCGAGAAATAGAAAAAGGAAACAACAAAATTCTCTTTGTTTTTATCTTATGATTATATAATGAACCGAAGGTTTCAATCAATCATGCAGTGCTTAAAAGGACCACGCTCACCGCATATATGAAACGAAACTATTGGAGGCGACTAGTCGCTCAGTTAAAAATCTGTTGTGATTATAAGACTACAGGTCTTGTAGACTTATAGAACAGTTGCACGATGTCTCGATCAGAAAAGTTGAAGCAATTGTCGAAAGTGGTACAAACCTTCAAGTTATTCCGAAGGAAGGCTGTGAAATAATTGCCCTACTCGTGTGAAATATTTTAAATCTATATCTATCGTGATTATTTTAATAAATCTAGTTTTTCCTGATTGCGAGTGAATTCGATTCAAAAGATGTAAATGTTAGATTTTTCTGTCTGTGAGCGTGCACGAGGGAATGAATATATGCATTCTAGACGGAAAACGCGCCGAAGCAAAATGAACCCAGATGGATTTGAGCAAAAATGATGATAAACCTAACCGAAATCGAGTTAAAAAGAAGTCAGTTTGATTTGATCTATGATTTACTCGTGCAGATTCATGTTAAATATCTAGTTGATAGACCGCAATTTGAGTTGTAACTTTACTAAAATGGGGTATTTCGATCATAGCTCTCCTGAATGGGTCTTTTACTTCACTCCATTATCAAGCTGATCGAAAGTTTTTGGGGGCATATCTTGAGCTGTAGCAGACCGGATGCACTTAATTTCACTATCGCCATAGAATATTGGTAAGTACTACTTAAATGCCGTTTTCTTGGTGATACTTTCCAGCAAGTTTTCTATTTATGCTCGGTTGTCAACCGTTTTTTCCATGAAAATCATTTCGAATCTATAAAATGTGAAGTCTCTCAGCTAGATAGTTTTGCATAGCTACGTTCAACATGACTAAATCCTTTCAGTAGAGGGTTGGCGACGCTAACGCCACGTTACCTTATAGTATAGTTCTGAATCAGATTTGCGTTACTATGAGCAATGAGCCATTGTGAATACTAAGAAGAAACCCGTGAGTTTGTACAGCATGAGAAGCTATTCTGATTAACAAAATCATTAGATTTTCATGACATATATCTACCATAGCACATAATATAACATTAAGTACATGGTCAAGCGAAACTCACGATATGCTTTCTGGATAAGTCTTTCACTTTTTCAATCGTGCAACTTTTTACAATAGACAATTGTTTATATTAACTTTGGAAAACTTCGTCTAGATTTTTTAATTACGAAGAAATTTTCGAGAAAGTATCTCCTTCCAAAAAACTGAAATCAGATAGATATATTTATGATCTTTTCATGATCTCGAAAAAAAAAGTTCTTTGTTATCTGAGTTTATTGTGCAATTCGGAAGTATATTAACATCACTATTATAATCAGATTTTTATCATATTTTTGAAGTATTTTCATTTCCAATTCAATTTTAACTCTTGTTTAACAAAATAATAGAATCTTTTATATGTAATAGAATTCGACTTGTTATGTTCTCAGTGAAAGATGCAAAACGGAAAATATCAAGAACAGCTTATGTAAGAATATTTGGATATAATATATATTTTCTTCTTTTATTTTCTCTGTAATATGATTTTCTCGATAGTCATCAAATAGATTTCTCCAAAAGTCATATCATTTTCGATAGACACTAACGATATAAAACTGTATTCATTAAATTGTCTAATCACTAAATCATAGTATAAGTCACACCAAACAGTGTAAGCAGTAAATTGTGCTATGCTGATTTGGTTAATCATAGACATATTATCAATATTTTTGACTGCTTCGAATGGTTATTTCTGGTAAAGTTAAATCTAGATACTTTTTCAGGAAAGAAAACCTGTGATCATATATAATCGTATATAACTATTTTATTGTAATCTTTATTTATTGGCAGTGAACATAATCACAATACAGTTAGTATACAAAGCCTGATATTCATTTTTTGTTTGAAGTCTTCATATATTTTTAAATCAAATCATAATTCTAATTCTAAATGAAAAATATTTGCAGCCTCAGTAGTCAAAGTAGTGTCATCATTGTTAATATCCGGTTCATATTTGGATGTTGGCTGATCAATCTTTGGTGTATAACGACCACTTCTATTTTCATTTTTCGCTGGTCCCCATTCCATATCGGGTTCACTTGCATAAACCAATGTTCGCAAGTACTGTGGCATATTTCCAGCAACCTTCAGTATACAAAAAACATATATAGATATAGATATAGATATCAGTATGAAAATTCATCGAAACACTCTTTTTACTGGATAATTCGGATTGCTTGTTATTTTCCATGCTTTGATCAGTTCATATATCATAATACTCGGAATAAAAATGATTGATGAACAAACCATGAGCCAACCCAGAGCATTAGCATACGGTGGATATTCATAATTACCTTCGGTTGGTGTGCGAAATCGAACAACCATTGAAAAAAGTACGATCTAATCAGAGGAAAAAGCCCACTGATAAATATTTCGTTAGAAATTTACTAGAGTAATAATTGGACCAGAAATACACCAAGTAAAAAACCAGAATGGTTCTAAGGGTCTTTTACCTAACATCATTTGAATATCTTCCATGAAATTATTGAAACCTATAAATAAATAAAAATAAAATTCAACTCAATGATTGATAGATGTCTAATGATAACCATAAATATAGCCAATAAGCACAAATTCAATAAACGCACACACGAATACTGATAAATTAGATGCATATTCATTCATCAATGTCTACAAAGACATTTTCACTATTAGAATCCCATGTACAAAATATACATACAAATATATAAATACCACCCTAAATAAAATAAAATAAAATTGTTTATAATATACTTTATTTATATAGTATTACCGGTGCACATATTGGTAATGCAAGCAAATAGCAAATAGTACAGTAACTGATTGTCACAGATATTTTATGACGACGTAAACTTTTAAATGTATCGAGTAAACCAGAGATTATAACATCAGCGAAAGCAAACTAGACATGATACTCATCATAAATTAGGTCATATCTCAAATGCTTCTGAGTACCTGAGAATCTAGTCCTAGAGTAAGTAGCATGAAGAAGAAAACTACAGCCCAGAACGGTCCACCAGGCATAATTGATAGTGCTTGTGGATAAGCCACAAATGCTAGACCAGGGCCAGCTTTAGCAACTTGTTCGATAGGTACACCCATTTTTAGTGACATATAACCAAGAATTGAAAAAATAGCAAAACCAGCAAAAACCTTTTTGTTTCATTCATAATTGATTGAAACGTTTAAAAATCAAAAACTTACGGAAGTAAAACAATCACAAGCAGTAACAAAAATGCAAGCTCTAAATAAAGATTTATATATGTTATTCACATAAGTATAATTAGGAAGTCAATTTAATGATAAACAATTAACCTAAGATAATTTGCATGAAATTTATTGAAACTAGCATAACCGAGAAGTGGGCCAAATGCAATGGACAAAGAAAATGTAACCTAGTACCAAAAAACAATTCCAATATATTACAAAGATTCATTGAAAACAAGAACAAGTAAACCTGAGAAGCAGCTGCAATCCAAACCTTCAAAAGAAACAGAAAACGAAAATTATTTTGCATTAATTTTAACAGCAACAATAAATAAAAATTGATGATACTAACATCAAGTTCTCGAATTTTACTCCAATTAGGTTTCAAGTAATATGTGATACCGGCTCGAGCACCTAAGTAATATAAAATTACGTATATGATACATAAATGAATCAATAGGTATAAATGTTACCTGGTAAAGTGACACCACGAATAATCAAAGCAAAGATGACAATATATGGAAACAATGCAGTGAAGTAAACAACCTGTGCAACATCAATTATTTGGATAGAACAATTTAACTAAACGTTTTACTTTGCCCGATGATTTAATACCTTGTATAATACATAGACCAACAAGAATCCAAGCCAATAATAAACATAATGATAAAGCCCAATTAGGCGAACCCAACTGATCAAGTGAACCACTTCGTCTCAAAACATAATTACTAGATTGCAAGAGTCAACGTTCATACAAAAGGAATAAATACAAGGCGTTCATACTCAAAGTATTCTTCTGGTGGTAGTGTAGGCATAGTACAATTTGTTTGATTATAAATACTGTTGCAGAAAAAAGTCGAATTAGAAAAGTTCAGTGTTTCTGTAAAGGAATAAATGAAATACAATGTCAATTGTTTGCAAGAAAAAGAAACTGATATTTTCCTGTAGTAGCACAACGTTCAGTATTCCACCAATTTCCACAATCACTCCATTGAAGTTTACTTCGAAACGAAGCAAAAAGATAGAAGAGACACCAAGCTATTATAACATTATAATAGATGGAAACTAAAAATGAATTTATGGCTGTTGCCCAACCAAGTCCTTTCAAAACAAAAGATGCATTTGATGATTGATATAGTATTATTTGCGATTTTTTTGCGTACCTTTGAACATTCGTGACATCTTAAACGCAGCTGCTGAGCCACTACTAGTGAATTGACCCAATGACATTTCAAGAAAGAAAAGCGGCGTACCAATTAGAAAATAAATACAAAAATACGGTATGATAAAAGCACCTATTATTATTATCATAGTTCAACACAAAAAAAATCTTTTCAAAAATAGTTACCACCGCCATTCTTGAATGCTATCAGAAACAAAAATGATTGTTATTTATTTTTAACATAGTAATTATATATACTATTTACCAATATATGGATACCTCCAAACATTACCAAGACCTTATATATATAAATGAAAATGTTGAACAGAAAATATCTCTTCATAGTTTCCTATTCAACTTACCAATCGAACAACCAATCAATGAAAGAAAGAATTCTATCGGTCGATCCCATTCTTCTCGTTCTGCTGGTTCGTTTTTTGCATTATCATTCTAAAACGTGCTACAATACAACGAAAATGAATACTAGCAGTTAACTTACTGCAAATGATGGTTCCGATTTTTTCCGAAGTAAAAGACGAGCTCTCAGACGATCAAACATCATGAAAATAAGTGACATTAATCAATCTATGCCTTTTCTTTTAGCATCAAAAAATGACCTTTCTTATCGCTTTTTACAGAAATTAAAATTGATAATAAAGGAAAAACAGAAAAAGCACACACATACATTCTCAATTGGAATAAACAGTGTGTAATGCTCTTTTCGATAAAGAATATAAGTAAAAACAGAACGATTAGAACAGGATAGAATTACTGAAAAATCAGATATAAACTTGAATAAAAAAAACAGATATTTTTTCTGACTTCTCCAGGTCGACTGATCCGACGTCGGATCCGATAGAAACCTGGAAATATCCTACAATCCGATACAATTCTATTGGATTTCGGGTCGAGGAATCGATGTCGGATGCTCAGTGTCGGGATCCTATGAACTTCCGATAATATACAACGGTTTTTCCTTGGAATTCATAGGAATCCGACACTGAGGATCCGACATCGATTCCTCGACCCGAAATCCAACAATAATTCTGTAAGATCTGACAGGATCGGATAAAATCCTATTGGATTCCAGTCGGATCGAATGGGTTCCGATAGGTGCCTACTGTCGGATTGCTCGACTCGGGTCTGCGTATCGACATGTAAATTGTTATTATCCTATAGAACTATGAACGCTTTAGCTATACAGTTCACGAAAAAAAACTAAAATATGAACTCGTATCATACTTGACAATAAATAATATTGTATATAAAGAGAAAGCAATCATTTGTTTGTAGTTCAGCAAGAATCACAAGGCATGTGTTCATAAATGATCATATCTCTCGTTCGTTATGAATGAAATATTTTCAATGAAATCCAGAATGATTGTAGACTAAAATTATATATATATACATAGGAAATAATGCACCATCTCTCAATTATAGATATGATGATTGGCATTAAAATGCTAATTTTCGTATCTTGCTGAAAAACAGTGCATATATAATTCATTGTTCTTTGAAGTTATTAAACAATTCTATTGATCATTCATGTTCTCTTTTGTTTTTTTTTTATTTCAAAAGTTATCTTTACAACAACATGAAAAAAGCAAAATAAATTTCTTTTAAAATGGACCGTTACAATTCTGAAATACATGTTAAGCGGAAGCAACAACTTTTTTAGATTGGTTTTTCTCTTGAGAAATTGCACAATATTCTTCGAGTCAATAAAAATCAAGTCAAGCTTCGACCTGATAAATATTCCGGCGACATTTAGTTCTTATTGGTCGTTCGTATAAAAATCATTTCTAGGACTTATGACAGGCTACGATTGACAGGGGTTGTTTTTTTCTTTTCTTTGCACTTTTTTCGACTTCACATGATTTATTAAGTATACAAAGTGCACTAGGACTATACAGTTATTTACTTTCGACTTTGGATCAACAAAATGACATTATTTGAAAAAAACAGAATATTTATTGATGGATTTCTAAATGTAACACTCGATTCGATATAAATATGCTGAATTTCTAAACAAAACTTTTACTTTAATTTTCTTTTGTGACAGTAGGTAAGAATTTGTGTTATTCTCGAGCACTATTCTACTCTATAGATCATAGTAGGCAAAAAATATGAGTAACCAAGATATTGATTCAATGAAAAACTTTGATTTTTGTTTTTCTTTTGTCCTATAGATAATGAATTTCGATTCAAACAATTTTGATTTTGATCCAAATCAAATACCTGACATAGAAAAAAAACTTCAAGATGATGGTTATGTCCGGATACAATTTTTTAATGAGCATTTGCCAAATGATAAAACTATAATGAAAAATATGGAAAGCGTTTTTATTGAAATAATTGAAAAACTCGGCGGTCAATGTTTAGATCATAATGAAAAAGAGAATTCCATTGTTTGGCATATTCAATCAATGGAAACATGTTCCGATACGAAAGCAAATGCGTTAGCTCGTTCACAAACAAGTGACGAATTTATGTTTCATACAGATTGCTCATATGAAATAAATCCAGCCGAATATATGGCATTATTTGTTCTAGAACAAGATCAATTTGGTGGTGGTCAATTGGAAGTAATTCGATTGTCCGATGTTTTACAACTTTTATCATCAGAAACCAAAGAAAAGTTAATCAAAAATAAATCAAAAATACGCGTGCCAGTTGAATTTCAAAAATTATCCAATACTGATCATATCAATGAATCAATTCTATTAGATCATGATAGAATTCGTTATAGATATGATATTTTATGTGAACAAAATAATGAAGAATTTCATGAACTCAACCGAATAATTAATAAAGTTGAAAGATATCGACCAAAATTAAATAAATATACAATGATTATATTGAATAATCAAAAGTATCTTCATGGTAGAACAAAAGTTCTCGATAATCGACGTCATTTACTTCGAATAAGATTTAATCGGCCATTGCCGTACAATATTTTTTCAATTTATGAGCAAGAAAAATTAAATTCAGAATATTTAACATTTTCAAATGAACTTTATGATTATTTTGATATTCAACATGAATATTTGTACAAAATTTTGAATTTAATTGTCAAACAATATAGTCTACCCACAAGTGTCGGTGAAGAAATTCGACAAACTTTTCAATTCAATTCAAAAATTCATTCCATTTTAATTAATTTAAACATTCATCGGGCCAATTTTCGCATTGGAACTTATCGGCCGGATATTATTTTTGCTGATGAACATTTATTTAAAATGAATGGAAAATATTCATTTCATCCTAAAATATGTGAAATAAATGCACGGTTTCCATTCAACGGGTATTTTCTATCTGCTAGTTTATGCTCAACTAATGAACAAAATCGATTGTCAAAAAGATTTTCGAGTCTAATTGAAATAATAATTAAATCGTCTAAATTCGATACAACAAAGCCAATGTATATTCTTAAATCGAAAGAATGTGGTTTTGATATTCATTTATTTCAGCAGTATTGGATAAAAAAATATTCTCAACCGTGTTTATTTGTTGATCCGAAAGATTTGCAAATAGAAAACAAAAATTTATGCAATAAAAATAAAACTTATTTCCTTGAACAATTCATTCTTGAATTACATCAAGATGAAATCTTAGAATTACCTGATGAAATTCTTGAATTCTTGATTAAAAACAATCAATTAAATTATATGAATGACTTTCGAACAATATTTATTTTACATGATAAACGTTTATTTTCACTTTTATCAAATCGACAATTTCTTTATGCTTTACTGAATAGTTCACAGCATATATTTTCACAATTTATCCCAACAACCTATGTTATTAACAACTTGCCTAATTATTTGAGAGATTCTATTATTTGTAATAAACAAGATTGGTGCATTAAACCGAATTCAGCTGGAAAAGGCGAAAATATTACTATAGGTAAAAATATCTAATAAATAGTAGTTTTTGCTTCTGTCAAGATAGAATCGGATAATACAGAGAAACCATCAATTAGATCGATAAATCGATAAATCGAACAAATTCATATCTGAAATCCTAAATATATTCCATTATCTAGTTTTATTTTATAATCGTCTTTGGAAGTTATTTCTGTTTAGGTGTTGATGTAACATTAGATGAATGGTCTCGCCAATTGTTAGATTCAAATCATGAGCAATGGATTGTTCAACAATATATTAAATGTGTAAAATATGACTCAATGAATTTATCCGGTATGTTATTCTGTTTTGATGATCAATGTTTTAACATGGGAATTATTCGAATATCTCCAAATAAGATTGTTAATATTTCTCATGGAGGTAATTATATTCGCCCCTATATACATCATGAACATATTCATTCTATGAACGATAAAAGTATTTTAACGAAAGAAAAACTACATGAACAATTGGTTGCATTAAAATCTATTGATAATCGATGGAATCAAAATGTGTATGTCTCATCATCGGGTGGTAGTGGAGGGAAAAGTTTATTTTTTGCAACGGATATTAAACAAAATCAATTACAACGACAAATTTTAGTTGATATGATGGTAGAACAAAGTATTATATCACATAATGATGTTTGTCTAAATTTATTTCAATCAAATAATATTTATCGATCATTTGAAATTTTTAATGATTTCTGTACAATGGCTAACTGCACGACATTACCAATGAGTGCTAGTGCGACTGATGCAGATATATTAAAAGTAATCGAATATTTTAAACCAAATATTCTGATGGGTTCGCCATATCGTTTAATGCAATTTGCATTTTTCATGGAGAAACAAATAGAAAAAAAAATAAATTTTGAAAAAATCTATTTCGCATGCGAATCTCTTGATGAAATCAAACAACGTTATTTTGAACGTATATTCCATTGTTCGATTTTTATTGGCTTTTATGGTTCAGCTGAAGCAGGCGTATTTGCTTGTCAATCTCCAAAATATTCAGCAACGAAAATTTTTCTCTATCCAAAAGAATTAGTTCATATTGAAATAATAAATTCAAAAATAATTGTTACAAATTTGATTCGAAAACGAAATCAATTAATTCGTTTTGACAGCGGAGATCTTGGACGATTAATTTCAAATAATGAAAATGATAAATATGGTTTATTAGAAGTATTTTATAGTCAACGTTTAATTATGATTGGAGATGATACACTGTCAATATCAGATATTGAAGAAATTATGAAACAAATAGATCTAATTGAATGGCAATTAGTTATTGATTATGTTTCACATACCGAAAATAATCAGATACTTTTTTTATTTCGATATGTCAAATTTGAATTTATGTCCATTGATACAGTTGAAAAAACTATTCGAAATGATTTACAAAAATGTTTTGATATTGCATTATCGAAAATTTCTGAACAATTAATTCTTCAATTTGAATCAATTGAATTTAATGATTTAACCAGAGATAAAACATCAAATAAATTATTAAAAATTATTGATCAACGATCTTAAATATTATTCTCTTTTTTTCTGTTAAATGAAACTTCTACAACAAGTACAACTTAAATTTAAGATATTTTTCATTCGAATGTTTTCTTTCTTTTCTATTGCTATATATTCAAATAACATTGAGTACGTATAAACATGGCTTTTTAGTTTTTACCTAAATATGATGATAACGTAAACACGACTCCATATCATCTGAATAAAATGCTTTTATTGCTCATTGTAAAAAATATCTGTTTGTATAGTTGTCACTCGTGAAGAAGAAAATCTGTTGTCTCGTATAAAGACATCATAACCATAATCATAAAAACGAGCAAGGCGTATTTTCGGGAAATCAATATCGACTTCAAATGTCATCATACGATCATCACTTTGATACTTAAAAGAGTCCATTTTGTATACGTAAATTTCAAGTATAGATTAGCTTCGAATTACTCGAGTCTTGCCTTAATCCATTAACATACATTCACACGAAAAATTTTCGTGTTTGACTTATTATACCAACTACATCAGATCACGAGACTTGCTAATCTCATCAGGTGCTTCGTTCGAATAAGAATTTTATATTTGAAATCGTCAGGTGATTTACACGTGCAGTGACTAATTTATCTTTGGAAAGATAATTTTTTTAAATTCATTTAATCTATTTCACTTTCGAGAACTTCTTTTAAAATGTTAACTATTTCTTTTTGTTATGTAATTGAACGACGATTTTCATTTGAAAGAATTACTGAATGAGTACGCATATTTTAAAAAAATGTGATGATTTCTAAAAGTTTACAGTGATACATTGAATAGATTTAGTTCGATGGATCAAATAATCGATTCGAACAAGACATGATATCACAGAAGTAAACACGTGTTTCATTATAAGTCGACCATTTTCCTCATTATATCAATCTAAAATCAATGGCGCAATAGTCAGAATATAGTGCTCAACAAAAATATGTTTTACTATTAATCTTGCCAGAAACTTGCTTATCGAATAAATAACTAGAATAACATAAATATACTGATTTATATAAAGCGTAATACTACAAGAAAAAAACTGGCGCATTGCGTCAAATATTTACGCGCGTAGTAATCATTCAATGGTCTGGAAAACGAACAAAAGATAATATGAATACTGTCAAAATATTAGCTTTTATTTCTATGCATACGTTCATATATTGATAAGGTTGATGAGAACTCCATGATTTCAGGGGAGTAAATTTTGAATGCTATTCACAGAAGAATGCTCGATTTTTATCGTTCTTAGTATTTCTTCAAAAGAATAATTTGCTTAGAACAATACAAACCATCACGACTAATCATATCTTTCTATCACAATTTAAAGCTTGATTCAAATTTATTAATTAATAAATGGTAACTGTATTTGATTTATCTCGGTCAGCAAACCGTATATCATTTAAGATCAAGCTAATAGAAGAGAAAATAATACATTCAAATAATAAACAATTGATATGTGTAATATAGTTCTCAGTTGGTATCGTGAGTAATATATCTTTAACGCTCTTTTGCATATTGATCGCTTAGATATCACATACTCCTTGTACCTATCTATTTTTATTTCTTCATTATTTGCCAAACTACGAAAATCATCTAGATAATTGCTATGGACAATGATGAATGTAGTTCTTTCTAGAGATTATTCTTGTCCAAGATAAATCAATTCGTAAGCGAAGACAGCTAATTGATTAGTTTTCACATTTCTTTCAAATACTTGGTATGACAAAGAAATTCATAAGGCTACTTATTTAGTTTAGTGAAGTAATATAAGAGCAACAAAAAATATGCAATTAAAATATTTCTGAACATTTATAGAAGAAATTTTTGAAATTCGATAAATGTTGAAATATTCTTGCAATTATAAATAAGATAAATCATCTACATCATCCAAATGAATCATATGTTGCTTGAACTATTTCATCAAATATCACCGTATGGAAACGGGTCCATATTTCGCCGATATCTTGAATATTTCATATGCGTACATACATGTTCTTCCCAAGGAAATATTTCTTATGCTGATTTTTTTCTTCCCCACAAAAGAGTTTCATATTCGTTACCTCGACGTGCTTGCGTTAAACTTTTTCGGATTGATAATATGAGACAAAGTCTTCTTGTTCATCAAGAAAAAATTATGTGAATACTTTTCTCCGATTGACTTTTGTTTTATCAATATTACACCAACTTTATATTGAGTTAATATTCTATTCAACTGCTAAAACTAGTTTAAAGACATTTTATTTCGGCTTCCTTCTTGTTGCCAGGTTATATTGACGGTAAAAAAAAAGGACAGAACAGAATTTGACGAAAAGCAATAGAATATTTGTCGCTCAAGTGTTGGTAGAATTCTTTTGTAGGCTTATTTTAGAAGAAAACGATCTTGGTAAGATGAATAAAATGCTACTAATCAAGTATTCTATAGAAAAGAATCTTTATCACGAATTATACTTATTAAATAAAAAGTTTTTGTAAAGGATAAAAGAATGCGAAAAATACATTCAAATTGTAAAAAGATCGATAGAGGTAGTAGTTGAAATATGTGTTGTAGTGAAATTATTATGAATTAAGTCATCTGATAAGAACAGTACGTTGCATATTACCTTGTCTCATGTGTTCAATATGGAAAAAATAGGTACAGATTGATTCCTCATTTTTTTTTGTAAACTCCATTTCATTGAAGTTTATGATATAGATAAAAATAGATTTGCCTATTAGTTCCTTGATGCTCAATTATTAACGTACTCTGTGACACTACCAGTATATTTTATTTTATTTCGTGCTTTATTTTCAGGATATTTTTTATGTCGAATTTTTGTAAGTTTTACTTTTTGTAAAAGTACTTTTAAGTATTCATATACGTCAACAATCAGAGTTGTAATCAAACTAGATTTTGTATTGAAAGTGTTAGTTTTATTGAAGATATTGAATATTTCATTTTAATAGATAGTCCGTGACAATAAACTTTGTAAATGATTAATATATTTATTTCAATATCATTATAAACAAGACGAAACATACAGTTCTATAATTAATATTGTGATTATAAAGAATTACATTTTTAATGGAATTTTATTTTTTTTTGTTTTTGTTTTTTATAGATATATCTATTTCTGTTCGTTATATACTGTAGACCAAATTTTTTCAGCTCGTCCAATCGAAACTGCACTCGATTTTCATCCAACTCTTGGATCAAACAATAGATTAGTTTCTTTTTAATAATTATAAGAGATTATTTTCTATATTTTAAAATTAATATATTCAAAAATATAATTTGAAACCATATTAATTTGCGATATTATGTATAGCTTGTAATATACCACCTGAACAAGTTTCATCTGAAACATTGTTTGATTTGAATGGTTGGTTTTTGCTTGTAAATTACGAAAATTAATTTTCTATTTTATTAATCGCTTCAAATCGATTAGATACTTGTTTAAAGGAAGAAAATTATAAACTTTTCTTCTTAAAAACGATTTAGTAATGTTACACAACATTATATTCTGACACAAAAAAAAATAAAAAATGATCTATTTAGTCAAGCGTGAAAACTATTTCACTTCCTTTATCTATTGTAATATCTGATTATCGGTGGCTTCCTTTTTTTACTTTTACTTTTATTTATAACAAGACCCGAATGAATCAACAGCATCCATACAGTCATAACCTTGCAAATATGAAAGAGGCTGATAAATATCTTCTTCATCACACAAAATTTATTTGAAAACATATCAATTACTTTTAGTTGTTTTCATTTGTCAAATTATTTAAATTTTGTTAGAAATCGAAGCTGATGTGTTATCTAATAGCTACTAATTATTCTGTTTTTTTTTAAATTATTCAATAAACAATCTTTATATCATATAGATTGACACTGTAAGTGATTATACTTGAACATGGTCACATGATAGATCGGTTTTGTGAATAGATAAAAAACTAGAGGTAGAGCATATGTTTTTTTCAATGATATGTAGACATGAATGTGAAAATAATCGATTTATTTTCATAATTTTGTCTTGGTTAATAAATGTTACTAGAAACATATTGCCCTGACTCATTCATGCACAAAAAAATGAAATCAATTTGAGATACTAATCTGTCTCTAGCCATCAATATTTACTTTGAATTGATAATTGCGTGTTAAACGCACGTATGTATATATTCGAGAAAATCAAGGAAGTTTTGTTAATTAATATAGCTATACATCATATAAGTTTGTTGTTTGTCGTTCTATTGCAGCAAATTAATATCCAAACATCGTTCTTGTTTTTTTGTTCTTTTGATATCATATGATCATTATGATTGCACAGTCATATTCATATTCATACATATATATGTGATATCGGCAAGCGAAAATCTTGAGCTGAGGTTGATAGGCAATATGCACTGCAAATACTTCATTAGTGGCATCATTTTATGTTGCAGGAGTATTCTACTGAATATTTGTATCATAACTAAAATCATTATAGATAATTATTAGATTGCGAAATATATAAATCAACTCATGCGGCTTATTATTTCAAGCAACGAAGAATCGGCATACGAAGTGAAACAGGAGAGAAAAAGACGCGCATATAAATGCACAGAAAGAGGTAATTAAAACGGCTACCTCACAGGTAGCACGACTGTCCTTATCGATGTTGTATAAAATGAAAACGCACATTTACTTACGGTATGTGTATGTAGAAACCAATGTGTATATAGCAATTACTACTATGCACATCAAACCAATTATATTCTCTAAAAAAATTATCTCAGGTGTAGGTGTTTTGTGTATTCGTTTGGTTCACACATCACGTGTCTTTTCCCTATTCTATGGCCTTCTCTCATCAAAATTTTCTGTCGATGCAGACAGATAACCATGAATTATGTTGAATAACATATAGACGGTCTTCGTTTCACAAACTATTTTACTCTTTTTTTTAGATCAAAAGGATAAAATAATCGAAATAAATCAAATTTCGCTAATAGTAATAACATGTATTCAAACCCACCAATTGTTCCTCCACGTACTTCATTTACTTCAGTTCCCATTCAGTTTACCGACATTAATTCAGCTACACAACAACAACAACAACAATTTCATTATAATCTACTCAATTTTAGTGCTTCAGCAACAGCTGGATTACTCTCTCCTACGCCAATATCTGGTTCATCTAATACAATAAATAAAAATGGATTACAAGCTTCAACTCAGTCACCATCTCAAGTAAATGATTTTTTACAACCACAATCATCGTCAAAGTCTAATAATACATTATATACTACTTCGAATCATCCGCCTATTCAACAGATTCTTCTTGAAAATCTTTATAATAGTGTTGTTTTACGCGAAAAGAACTCCAATCAACTATACGACACACATAAGACTCGAAAGCGTTTATCTGAACCAGTATTTAACAATCAACAACTACCGCTTCAACCAATGTTAAGCAGTCATCAACAAGGTAATACTCATCAGATCATACAACAACAACAGCAGCAGCAGCAACAACAACAACAACAACAACAACAACAACAACAACAACAACAACAGCAGCAGCAGCAGCAGCAGCAGCAGCAACAACAGCAGCAGCAACAGCAACAACAACAGCAGCAACTTGGTCAATCAAATCTTAGTCTTATACATGATTCAAGTAATCATTCGTTGTATCGTCGTCGTTCACTACATTATACGAAATTGCCAATACCTCTACAAACGATACATCAACAATCATTACAGCGTGAACCACAAAAATTGTTAGTTGTTCGTCATGCTGAGCGAGTCGATTCAACTTTTGGTACTGGCTGGCTTGATCAAGTATTCGATAAAGTAACGGGCACATATCGTCGAACGAATTTAAATTTACCTAAAAAAATGGTTACAAGAAAAGATTTAAAAGATTTTTTATTTGATCCTCCATTAACAGAATTAGGTTTGCATGAATGTAAGATGGTAGGTGAGGAACTTGCTTTACAGGGTGTTGAAATTCATCATGTCTATGCATCACCTGCATTACGTTGTGTTCAAACAGCTGATAAAATTCTCGAAGGTCTTCAATTACGTGATAAAATACCGATTCGCATTGAACCTTGCCTTTTTGAATTTCTTAAATGGTATTCCGTTGTACCGGTGAAATGGCCATTTCTTGATCTTGATGAGCTGACAAGAAATGGATATAATGTTGATAAGTCTTATAGACCGTCTCATCCTATTGAAAGTCTTAGAAAAGATGAAGACGAATTAATGTATTACGCAAGAAGTCATTTTGTTGTAACATCAATTTTAAAAAAACATGAATTTGACGGAGGAAATTTAATGGTTGTTGGGCATGTAAGATTAGTTGAAGTTAATTTTTTTAACATGAAGAAAACACAATTTTTTTTCTTTTAGGCACCATCAATAGAAGTGTGTACTCGACAGTTAACAGGTGGTCAGCCACGTATCAATGATTTGAAATTTCTTGTTTTACGTGTTCCTTTCTTATCCATGCATTGTATTGCCAAACAAATTGATGGAACATGGAGAGCAACAAAGCCGCCAATATCACCCATCAAACATACAGCCGTTGAGCCGTTCGATTGGCGATTTTTTCGTTAAGAAATATTCAATTGGTTCGCTGACATTCGTTACAATTTGATTTCTTGTCTTTTAAATAAATTTATTTTACGAAATAAATGAAAATGAAAATTATGAACCTGTAGTCAGCAAATATGTACTCGCGATCCATTCGAACACTTTCAGTACGGAACATAGTACAAAATATAAAAAGATCTTTTGAAAGCTGAACATTTATTTTCGAATGTTGTTTTAATTATTTGCATTACATATTTGTCTAAGATTTTATACATCAGTATTCAATATACGTACGTTCATATTCCACATTAAATGGCTTGTTTAATCGAATAAGTCAAATACATGTCATTCGCCGATAACACTTTCGAGAGAAAAAAATAATTTGACAGATATTTGTTTCGATTTGAATTGCCTTCTCATTTATCTATCTATCACAAGTGATCCTTCACCGAGACAATTTACTGTCTTTTTAAATTAATCATTCTGGTTTTTTTTGTCATTATTTAATAGATTTGTTTTTGCGTCTATTGATAACGATCATACTATTTTATCGAAACACTAAGATTTAAGCAGCGTGTAATTCTTTGGTTCTGAATTGTTTCTCTACAAATAACTAGAATAAAGAATATGAGTTTCTTACATTAAAATATTTTCAATATAGATACTTTAAAATAAAAATATAAGAATTTCACTTCCTATTAAAACATCGAACTTCATTTTATTGTTACTGGCTGTCCATCATCAATAACTTCTACAAATCGCGTCTTTTTAATTTCCAGTTACTAGCAAAATTATTTTAAAAGGGCTAATTCGATCACAACAACGATTAGTTTCACAGAAGTCGATTTCAATCGTTTGAAACTGTGTGATTGACTTTTCTTGACTTAAGCCCTCATACGTTTAATTATTATTCAGTAGTTTCTAATTTTCCTTTATAGCTTAGAGAAAGTATCAAACTGACATGTGGTCACCTAATCAAAAATTTTAGTTTGGTAATACTTTAATAACGAAAGGTATTATAATATTTAACACATAAATAACAGCCAATGAAAAGTAATATCAGTGTACTAATGTGGAACTAAGTATCGATTTCACTGAAATCAGTGATCATTAAATGCCATTGCTGCAATGAACAACCGTGTATTAGTGATTTTTGGTGTCAGTTCAATTCTATTGATCAGTGAAACCATTCTTCATTAACGTCAGTGTCAATATTTAGACTTTTTATACTTAACCCTCATATTCCTACATCCACACAGAAACAGTTATACTTGCCCATCATTCATATTCACATCTAATTATACCTTCATGTACCAGCAGCCACAGAAATACGCACATTTGCTTTAATTCATGCCAGAAATTTATTTTGAAGGATATAGTTCACATGTAATAAGATTTGAAATAGTTGATTAATTGTCCATAACAGCTCTTATTTGACTAGCACATCGATACTTTTGCATGCTCGGAAGTAAAGATAACATTATACTAAACATAAGTGCAAAATTGATTTGGCGAAAAAAAGTTGATGCAATTTGGAATACGTTAATATCAAAAGAGCATTAAAAGATATTTTTGTGATTCTTTATCTCCACAGAAAAAGATCTCGCACTAAACATTCTTTTGTAACCGAACCACAATATTTTAAAAGGCTTTCTACAAATTTAATACATTTTCAAAAGACTTATTAAGCATCAATACGACTTGTTTTTTTCAACTTTTCAAAGTACATCCATGAAACCTTCTATGATTCTGTGCGACACTGTTCGTTCAATGTTCTATATATCGAGTTCTTGATAACATTACTTTAGTTAAAATTGAAACTGTGCTTACGCGAAGGAAAGATGTCAAATAGTTATACAATTTGTTGTAATAACGTGAAAGTAGCAGTTATAGACATGGAAAGAGTCATGGGCTTGACTGCATAAAAAGCGGTATCACTTAGATTAATACGATATGACATGGAATTTCCTATATGGATGTCTGGTGTAATGATTTCTGTTAAATTTACATATTTGAATCATCATATATTTACCGAAATCGTTATCGTGAACTGAATTCTACTGCAATTTATCACTTTAGAGCATAAAGAAAAAAAGGAATGTAAATAGTTTCCATGACCATATTCTTATGAAGATCTGTTTATGGAGTCTATCACAATAAAGAGCTATCTTTATTCTATCTGTTGCATGTTAACAACTCTAAAGAATTTGTGTAAACTCTATGCAACGGTTGTATGGCATTGTAGAATTTTCCACTTCTCCACCACATGCTAATGCTATACACTTTTCTCAGGCACAGCGTCAAAATCAGTGAAGATTAGTATCTCGACGATTTATTCTATCATGAAACATACCTTTGGAATTTTATGACTAATTGCTCAATTATATACGATGACGCTATTCGCCTTCCTCAAACAGTGGTCAAAAATTACTTCAGAAAAGTGTTGGAAAAATATAATGTAATATGTTCATGGCACACCCAGATTGTTGTAAATGTTCGTTCAACGTAAGAGAGATAATCATCGGGTTTTGCTGCATGACGAATAAATATTGATATCATTTGCCAACGGTGCAATATTAACTTGTTTAGTGTGAAAGTTACCATAATATTCGTTGTAAGCTGGAACTTCTTGACTTCCTAAAGCAGTTGTAGCAGTGTATTCAGATAAATGATTGACGCCGAAAATATCGAGCACGGCGCATGAACGTTCCATAGTTATATTTAATGAACATTTATGAGCAAGCAATCTACACCAAACTAGATCAAATCCCCAGCCTAGTCCCACAAAAGCACTCATATAATGCCATAGACATTGCCATGCGCTGGATGTTCCAACGAATATGGGGCCGATTTCGATAAAATCTGTCCATCGGCCAATCTTGTTGACGTAATCTTGATTTACACGTGTGATTGCATGAGAAGTGATGCCTTTGAGACGACCCGGAGACGAAAAACTTACGTTCAGTTGTGCAATAACACATTCATAATGTAAAGAATCAAATAATAGTTCAACATCGTCATCAAGGACCCAGATATACTTGTATGCGCTCAGAATCTCTGGTGTGATGAAACGTTTCATATACCAAAACCGTTTTTGAGCATTTACATGTATCCAAATAAATTGCTCATGATTAGGGAAGTTGAGCCAATTTGACTTATCGTGTATCATGATTACACGAGTAAAGTGATCACCTGGAAAGGCTTTGAATATATTTTTTGCTAGCCATTTCTTGCGAGAATTATCTCGCCAGAAAGACACTACTAAACTTTTCTTTGTGGTGTAGCAGAGAGATCGGTTTATCAAATTACAATCACGATCTCCTTCTAATGATATACCCATGTTTAAATATTGATGAAAATATAATGTTTCATTAATTCTTAAAGCATGCATTGCATGTGTCAAGAATTTTGAATAATTATTTTGACTGGAATCAGACGTGAAATAAATCACAAACATGAACAAGGCAGCCAGAAGAATGCATATTATTAGCAGTGTTTTTTTGGTGAGCCCTAAAATTGTTAGTGCCTTTGATTGAACAGTACCGATTCCCGCTGTAATTTTCGTTAATAGAGGATTGCTTTCAGATATGAATGAATTCAAACTCATGATAGGATTGATTTACTCTAGTCACGTTCCTAGAATGAGTATTAATTACGTAAATTCGATGAGTTGTTGAAAAAAATATGATGTCGCAGCGTCACGATGACGTATGCCAATAAGAGTGTACTATATTGCAACAGTAAGAATAAACGGCTAATCTAGAAAATTTGTAAAATCAGAATATCTACATCATTTTTATGTGTAAAAAAATAATAATTGATTTTTGTGTTTGAAAAGAATAAGAAGAAAGGCCTTTGCCTAATTTTAGTTCCATCACACGTCACTACCTTTCCTAACTATATGGATATCTTGGAGGAGAAATAATCTGTAGCGAAATCCTATAGAAATGTCAAGGCATGAATTCATCTAATCGAAGAAGCAGTTGTTCAACATAACGAGATCATCATTGGAATATAACTAATCAATCAGTTAGTCATGGAAAAAGCTCCGTTGAGATGATCGAGATATTTTACCACTTCCTTTTAAAACTATGCATATGACAAAGTGGTTACTCATAGTCGTTTTTGACAGTCGTCTCATTACAGTTTTGTAAAGACGATCTTGCAGATTATCAAATGGATTATCAAATAAGTTTCTCAGAAATGTATGCTAATGCATGATCTAACATTTATTTGAGCACCTTAGCTATATGTTTGTTTTATATTAGCTAATTTCTACTACAATATCAACCGAATAACCTTTTCGTTTTTTCATTAACAATAAGAAATTTGAATTTTACACTAAATGCAATGCAAATGAGAGACAATCAAACACTTAAACGATAATAAACTTTTTCGCTATCTAACAATAGGATTGAGTATTATATTCGTATTGCAATAAAAGAAGTGACCAGTTTTCTGATAATAATAGATTATTTTTACAATATGCTACAGAGAGACTTCAGGTGTATTGTCCAAGAGATTGTCATGAAATTTATGGTTGAAAGTATAAATATAACGGGTGTTCCATAAAGAATGGGCAACTTATGGTTTCTATCTTTCAGGCACTTAATAATCGTCTTAAAAATCTGATTTTGAGCTTGTTTGATAGAGAATTCAGTTCTCTACAAAGCTGTTCACTTTGTTTTTCAAATAAGTTCTGCTTCGTCTTCTTCTTGTCAATGTAAGATTTAAACAATTAACATCTACTACATCATCCACCTGTGCAATCAAAGAAATGAAAAAAAAGATGGAATTTTTTAAATAGGGGCCCTGTTAAAATATCAAATATGCTACAATATTCTACATAAAATCCTGCATCATTGGATGTTCTTCTTAGGATTTTAGAATGAATATTTGGGTGAACAAGAGTTTAAAATGGAACATATGAAGCCACGGAAAAAAACTCTCTTCTGTCAAACTCATGTAACTGTTCTCTTTTAATTCGAACCAGCCTAAATGTTTCAGTTGTTAAATTTAACATTTATACTACTTTGTTCAGAATTAAATTCTGTAGCCAATGGTGTGCGACTGAACGTGTCGCCAGACAAGCCTGATTTTGGAAAACCTTACTTGCTCAAATGCACCCAAAAATACTAACAAGCGTTAGTTCGAAGCCTTTTTCTACTGAGTAACAGTACTAAGAACCTTGAAAAGGTTGTGACAGCATAGAACACAAAATAATTTATCTTTTGATGTAAAATAATTTACTGTTAATATTGGTCTAGATGAGCAGATGTTTACATAAATCGTTTAATATGTGAAGAAAATTTCATCGCGCAGGTGGATGATTTAGCTTCGTATATACACCTGCACAGAGATCTGCTTCATCCAATCTATTAGGAGGATGCAATGTATAGCGCAGAAGGAAAATATCAATCTCGTTAGGTATTCACTACGCGCCTGTTACCGACTGAACTGATCCGATCAATATTGTTAATATCATAATTAAACGGATTCTGCTCTTTTTTCTCAGATCGTCTACCATGAAAATAAAATGCAAGTTCGAGATTTTCTTCATTGGTAGTAGGCATACTTTAGATACAGAAGTATAGCAATACTTGATTGATCTGTAACTAAGTACTTAGCCTAATTTTTGCACATGGACTTCACGAATATGTTCTGAAGTATTCGTCTATTGCATTTCGATGTATCACATGACGAATTATCTTGGAAAACTTTCCTCTTTCGCTTGAGTCACACCCACATTTTCAAGTTTCTTCTGTTCAAGTCTTAGAATAGTGACAGATTGAAATCGATGATTCCAAGAAACTCATTGAAATTCTTGAATGAAGAAACGAACCACTGAGTGCCATACGATCAAAAGAGAAGAATTTCCCCTGACAGTTAAACACAATAAACGGCGTACGATCATGCATCACGCCTTTGACATATCCTTTTAGAAGTCTTTAGTAAGAATTCATCTAGATGGTCTCCGGTTTGCTAATCAAATTTTATTCTGAATACTGTGAGCTGTAGTTCATATTCTTACGCTAATGAAGAGCTATTGAAAGAATTTTCGAGTCTAATCGATTATCGTGACAAAAATTGCGAGTAAAAAAAGCAATAATTGCGTTAGTTACAATCGCTGCGTCTTATGCTACTTGGTTTAAAGATTATTAACAGCAAAGAAAGGGATGCATACAAATGAGAAAATTCGAAGGCTTATGGAAACAGAACAATCTCAAATAATGGATAAAATTAATAAAAATTTTGGAAACCAAATAAAAAAATATAATGATATCGACATATACATATAGCGGCAGCAGTGCCACAAACGTAAACTTAATGGTATTCAGCTTTTTTTTAAAGCAAAAGTTCATGTCTGTATGTAACCGTTGATTATATCTCATCCTGATTTCTGTATAATCATTGTATCTGAAATAAGCGCTTCATCAAGTGATTCAAAATAGTCTTTTATTTCCAACGACTTTCATGGAAAGGACATCAGAAAACAGCTAATATTGATGACAGTAGTGATAAGTAAATTAATAAAAAATGACACTCATCGAGTGTTTTATCCAGTGGGAGAGCTAGGGATATTTTGCCCTCCCGAGAAAAATGAAATAAATAATTAACTTCTATATAACTTACAAAACATAGATCTTTTGAACGCATCAGTATGATAGACTTGATATTACTCAAGGTAGTTCGCCCCTTAAAAAACTTTTGTCTGCCTTCCCAACAGCTGAAGTCGTCCTCCCCGAGTGAAAAATCTGAATAAAACACTGCACTCATCAGCATCATATCTATATATGCATGTATACAATGCGAGCAAAATACACAACAAAAACACAGCAAACTAGTCAAAAGAAGAATGTTTAATTATTCTATTTAGCAAATTCATCTCCTTTATATATTTTTTCAGGAAAACGCCTTTTTCTTCTCAGGAAATTATGCACACTAATTTTCTTTTACGATGTTTTACTTTGGACACTTCTTCTTACTTCATCGTTCCACTTCTCTATTTTTGGCTATTTTCAGCTTTGTTTCGAAAATTTCGATACATAATTTTTACAGCATCTTAAACTGTAGTAACCCTGCCCAGAATTAAGCTTGATGTAACAGGAAAGTCTTCTCAGTAATTCTTATTTTCTTGCTTTTGATTCGAGCTGATTTTAATGCTATTTGCCGAAGAACCCATAATTATTAGTGGCGATTAGAGAGAATTACGATTGTAAGCAAGCTTCGTACAATATATATATTTAACTATTGGACAGGAGTGCATGCGTAATTTTCTCAAATTCAACAGAGAATTTGACTCCGCTTTGTTAAAGCTATTGTCGACAACAGAAGCGATTAGATTTGAAAAAAGTTGAAATCGATCAAAACCGAAAATAGCAATATGAAACTCATAGTCGATTATGGAAGGGAATTTTGTTTTCTAGTAAATTGGTTATTCTTATTGATACAAGAAAATATGGATCAGAAATCTACACCAAATTAATTGTAGAAAAATATATAGTTTGTTGATCAGGCTGAATCTAGATGCAATATGTCAGATTGATAAAGTTTAACTCGAACTTACTATGCTTGTTTTGTTTCCAGTAGAATATAAACAACAGTCGCAAAATAAACCTAAAATTCATGCCCATTCTGATCTGGATCGCCGTTTTCTAGAGTATTGCGGCTGACTAGAAGTAACTATAACAACACACACCGCATTGATTAGTGCACTAATCTTCACGAGTATGAGTGTGGCTACCAGATTCGATGAATATATTTGCAGTCAACATCATAAAGTGATATAATATTCTGCTCAGAATTCCATGTGTATTGATTTGCATTAGTTCAAGTTTTGGTGGCTACTATTCGGCTTTTTCTTTCTTGTGTAGGAAGACAAATGAGACTTTTTCAATACACCATCCATTGTTTGTCTCTCAGTTGATTAAAACTAAAATCACTTCTCTTCATAAGATGTTAAATCTAATTTTCCATTAGCATTGCTTTAGTTCTTAACCAAAGAGAAAAATACTTCAGAAAGATATGTAAAATTTTTCTTGTATGATTAGACGATAGGAAAGAATCTTAGCAAGTTTCTAATCAGAGATAATCACAATTGAACTATACAATTATCCCAGAACTATCCTCAGATGACCATCTACATTTATCTAACAGGGTATTAAAAACAGGAGACAACAGAGTAAACTAGAGAAAAAATACAACTACCAATGAATATCCGAGCTTCTATAACTGTATCCAACCTTATGCTCTATTATTGAGCACGATCAAAGCTAGAAATCTATTAAATCGACAGCTATCTAATGTTTAGCGCATTTTTCTGTTCACTTTTCTGAATACTTTTGAGCTGTCACAAAGATTTAGTCACCTAAGTAGAAGAGGCTTTCGCTGTCATTTAATGATCAACAGTAATGTCGTGTGTACTCTGTCCTCGAATCATGCCATCACAAACTGAAACAGTACCCTTACAGAAACACAAGTGAGGTCATTCTGAATGAAATGAAGAATTGATATATCCAATTATAACTTAAATTCTTGATATGATATTACTTCTGAAATTTCAAAAAATTTTTACAATTGTAAAATCTTATACAAAATAACTTATAGAACACTTCTTTTTCTTTTTATACAATCGAGCAGTGGTAGATAAGGAAAAAGATCTTTTCTTTTTTTAAATTAACTTATTTGTACTTCGGCACATTATATCATTCTAACCATGTATATATTTATATTGAGACTACTACACGAAACCGAGTCACTCGTAATCTATCATTGTATAGTTGAGGTGTGTGTTCCTCTATCTTGAAAGAAGAACCCATGATGACCAGTACCAGGCGGCCAGTGTATATTAGGAGCAATACAGAATGGATAAGTTTTTGAAAGTTTTTGCCAGTGATTAGCTATTGTATCAGCACCAAATGCATTGTGAAAGAGTCTATAGACAGCCAAATCATCCCACATTCTCCGTGCACGCCATTTCATGTAGGCTATAGCATGAGTGCAAAAGTGGGTACCACGACGGAATTCAATTAAGCCATCACGTGAATAAGAAACTCCTGTACTACTATTCACATAGGCAGATCCACATGTGCCAAGATAAAGAATGCCATCATTCTTCGCCAATTCCAATGCTTGTTCGATGGTTTCTATTCAAAAGTGAAAGTGTAAATGAAGAATTCCATGAAATCTTATCGAGAGATAAGCAAAATCTGCTGATATCTATTTCGCTTAGCTCTTACAAAATTATGATTTTTTTGATAATAGAATACACTTTGTTTACAATAGAAATATCTGATAAAGCAAAAAAAACTGCAAAAAATGGTCATATTTATTATCTTTTGTAAGTTTTTGATGGTCTATTTTAAGTACTGATGTACACAAGAAAATCAAGCTTAATTATCTTGCTTATTTTCTAGTTCATTTTAATCTAATCAATTAGAATTTTTTCGTGAACTACGATCAAAAGTATGGGCTATCATAACTTCGAGAGTATCTTTTTCATGACAACAACTCCACGTAATGAGATATAATCGAGTAAGTACAAGTCAAAAAATCAACTTTTCTAAGCTGTTCACATACGTGTATACGTTGTAGTGACATATAATAAGAATCTGTGATCAGGACATCTATTGATGACATTCAAAATAGGCATATTATTGCTGCATGTTTCATGAAAACTAGGAATTGATTTCGTATCTAAGCCAATTAACCTCATGTCTCAACTCGTGAATTAAAGAAGCGTATATTTTATATCTTATTTAAAAAAATTTCCGAAGACTTTGCAATTAATAGATCGTTCTCTTTCCGTTTTCCCTATCATGCACAATAAATCAAATCCTCAGATAAATTGTAGACAATACTACCTCAAAAATAAATCGTCTTTTCAGTTTGAAGTTTTCGTGACAGTACAATTTCAATAGTTTTCTTTGAGGTTCTCAGTCGTATGAAAGTAGAACAGTGTATTTCTTGACAAGAGACAAGAAATCGAACAAAGATTGTCAAAAAGAGTCAGTATCTCACCGAATGATGTTCCGTATCGAAAATATTTTTTCTCCAATTCTTCAACATAGAATTGACTACCAAAATGATCGCACATGTGACAGAATCTGTTGTGAGAATCTTCTCAAAATTCGAGACAAATCATCAACATTTTATGATCAAAATTTCATACAAATACATGAATGTTAAAGATTGTTTTTTTTGGATCTCGGGTGCTAAAGGTTGAAAAAAGTAGTAATTAAAGCTTAAAATATGAATACTCTATTTTATTTTTATCTTACTGCTATTGATTCAAAAAAAAAGAAACGAAAAAAGACTACTGAAGCTCACATTTTTAACTGGATATTGGATGAGAATGAACTTTCTTTTTTTTGGAGAACGCATTGTTGTGAGATTTATTCTATTCAATAAAGTGACAGACTAGAGCCTGGAAACTTGAATTAAAATCAAAACTTCTCATTTAAACTGACTAACTCCATGGTTAGCAACACTGATTGTACCAATAAGATTTTCCCTTCTATCTATTCATTATTAATTGTCTTATCGTCTTTCTCATCCTATAGTGAATGTCAGTTTTTCCTTAACTAATATTTAACATTTTGATAAATATGCCACATTTTCTTAGTTAGTGTTTATGATTTAAGATTGCGTTTAATATTCATTCAGCATCCTTGCTTTACAGCATTATTTCTAGGTTTCATAGTGGATTGTTGTTTTACTCTCGGTTGTATTTCTCTTGTCCATGCTATATATACACTTGAGCTAAGTTTCTTTGACAGCAATTTACTCTTATCACTGAATCATCCCAATCATAAAAGTTGTTTCGATAAGATTATTGATAACATCATAGTTTTGAACACAAGATCTCATTGTTACCTTACTCGCTCAAGAAGTTTTTTCTGTTGGTGCATTTTAATTACTTCGAAAGTATTACATTGCACTTTTTTTATGAAATCTTTAGTTTTTATTATATTTTTAGCTTAAATTCGAAAGAACCATAGACATAAATATCACTTTCACTGACTGATGGTAACCGCTCCTATCCGTATTCTGTATTTCAATAGCATGTGACATCATTTCACTATAATGTTCAAGAGACAAAACGAAAGATTAATAAACTTTTTCTAGGATTGGAACAGTTTTTGGTAAAAAAGAAATTCGCATGATTATTCTCATAAGCAACATCAGTCGTTACAACTGCTTCAATCTAGTTTAATCATTGTTCAAGAAAATATGAGACTCGTTAGGCCTGCTTTCCGAGCAGACAAACTTTTGGGAAAACGCGTTTACACACTCAGTCGGGAACCCCGATTGTGAGTCATTAACGCTCAGTAACAAAACGCAAGAAATACGTTTTTTACGCAGAATTCTCACTTTGAGGGCGTGTAAACGGGTAGAAACTCCAATCCTCAGCGTTTAGACGAACTAGTTTTGGAGTTATCGAATAATTGTGCGTTTAAACGCTCAGAATTAGAGTTTTTATTCCTTTTCACGCTCTCAAAGTGAGAATTCTGCTTAAAAAACGCGTTTCTTGCATTTCGCCACTGAGCGTTAATGACTCACAATCGCGGTTCCCGATTGAATGTTTAATAACGTTTTTCCAAAAGTTTGTCTGCTTGGGTTCTTGAGAATCTACTAAATCATTGTTTAATGTATTCGTTAATTTTACTGAATTTAAAATTAAAATGCTTTTTCAGAGACTTCTATCCTTCTCATAGACGAAAAACGTTTTTGAAACACTAATTTATGATAGCGCCAATATCGTGCCTTTCATTCAAGACATCGAAGTCTGTCAAATGTACAAGAAAAAAATGTTATGGAATTGAAAAAATTCTTATGAAATAGTTCTATTTGAACTGTTTTATTCTCGAAAAATGAAACTGAAGATCTCAATCTATATTTAGAAATTCGAAGTACACGATGATTTTCTAAGTTTGGATTCATTTTTAGATCGATTGCATGCAGGCTTTTGCCTTTCTCAAAGATGCATTCAATTATGTTTTCGAAAATTCGTTTCAATAAATCAATTACGTACTTGCTAAATTAGGATTTGGACTTCTATATCTCCATTTTTCGTAAATTCTTTTGTAAAACGATTTCATGATCCTACGAGGAATTATTGCGACATCATCTTCAAATAAAAATATCCAGTCGTTTTCTCGAAGTTCGATTGGTGATCTTGCTCCAATATCATTCCAGAGATCAATGTAAGTCAGTAAGAGCGACGAAACTTTCATGTCAACAGTTCGTAAAATCCTCGAATCATTGAGTGAAACGGGTTGTTTATGATTAAAATTAAAAAATCCCGGTAATGCATCACGAAGCTGCTTGCGCGTGGAATTGTGGCGCTGAGGTATCCCAGAAATAATATAGGCTAAGTAAGGTGGGCCACGTGGGTTTGCTAAATGTGACGCAGTCATGTTGTTCCAAATAGCTGCTTGACAATTTTTTGATTGTTTTTGTGATTGGCTGTTTCCCATGAAAATGATTAAAATAATGGATATCAAGGTAAGTGCAATCAAGAAACGGAATAGTTTACGCTTGTTGACATCTTCTTTGAAAAAGGATATAACGCAGGAAATATTATTCTTCAAATGTATCCAATCGAATAATCTAAACTGAAAGAAGAATAGATAATAGAGGGAACGCCTCAAAGTAAACACAAGAAACCAATTGCATATTGTGATAAATACTTTCTGTTCTAGAGGTTATGATGAAGCACGATTATCAATGAATATTATATTAAAAGGCAAAAAAGTTTGACTAATATAAACAGTAACACATTCGTTTACAATAATCAGTGAGAGCCATTTAATGTTCTATTTGAACATCAACAGCTGAGATTAATTGATAGCATCATTCTCGTTCACCAATGAAACTAGTCTACTATGTTTATGTTTTATATCTCAACATATTAAAGATGTTGTATTGAAAGCTTAATTTTCAAAAATAGCTATTGATGTATGTGTATTGTTTAGTAAAAATTTTTCTCGGAATAGTTTGATGTTTCGTAATATTATAAATATATGTAAAATGGATATTCACATAGCATATCCTATTTGATATGTTGCTAGAAATGAACTTATGAATTTATTCTTCTTCACAAAATAAGATGATCTTCGGTTTCAAAGGTCGTTGCCGTCGTGTTCAAATTCCAAAATAGACTAGAAAACGAAGTAAACAGTTTTCTACATCCAAACATACAAATGACTTATCTCTCTATTATCTTATGTTTGACTCAAATGGTTCTCTAACTAAAAGAACAAAACACTCATATTATATTTGACTATAAAAATAGGTAAAAAGTGATCACTGCGTTAGTATCGATTTGTTCGTTGGTAGTTATGTAACTGAAGAGGTAATAATTTAGATTTTCACTAGCCAACGACTGAACCACAATCGATCATTACACTGAATGAAAAGATAATATTGCAGAAAGTCTACTCAGGTGCAATAGAATGATAGAAGAGGCAAGTAGCCAGTTAACAATGATGAGTACATAGACAATCATCACTCATTTATAATAGAGAATGAAGTTGAGTTAGAAACAGGTTTTCTTTTAAATGCATTACAGTCCACAAAACTAAATATTGTCAAAAATGAAGTACTCCACTCTATTTAGAATAGATAATACCTTCGCTTGTTTGTGCTAGTCACCAATAATTTCGAAGAAAATGGTAAATGCAAGTTTAAAAGTGAGATTTCTGTGACTCTTCTCCACATTCCATACTTAGTTAATTAAAGACGTCACTAATTAATTTGCTATTATTTGCATCTTGCTCATGATAGATTGTTCTATTAAAAAAATATCTAACCATTCAAGACACTAGCAAACAAGTCATATCCTATCACAGACATTCGTAGATAAGGTAGATTTTCAGGAAACATTTTTCATCTAACTTATTTTGTATTAGCTTAGAGTACTCAAATGAAATCGATGCGTTTCATGTTTTAGTTCCAAGCGAGCTGCTCTAACAAGCTTTTTCCTGAGAAGATAGTTCTATTTAATGATATCTACAGCGTATGGCCATGATCGGTTTAAGAAAAGATGTGAATCATATGATGCTTCAAAAGCTTACTCTGCTGATTTAAGCAACTTGACAAAACCTAAATTGAAAAAATACTACAATATTTAATGAAACCTTGATGACTATTTGGATATTTCGTCTCTAAAGAAAGATTTTGATCGTATGGAACGCTTACTATTAGAGACAACATATCGGAATCATCGATCCAGAAAGAATAAATCTTTGTAAACTAAATATTAGGACAGCGAGATCTATGGAACTGATACAGAATCATGTTCTAGTACAATGTCTATTGTTCCATTCTAGTTTGTATCTAAGAGAATATCGAAATAAGAACTTACCAATCTAGCTGATCGAATTTCACTACTTGATTGTATTATGCTGTTGAAGCGACTAGAACTCTCGCGAAAACAAGTCTCCATCAATGTCTTTAAAGAGAGAGTTTAAAATTAACTCTTTTTAAATTCAATGACACATATTTTAATTATGGGTGACAAATGATCGACGGTTCAGTTAGTTGTTAGAATTATTCGTCGCCTAATCGATATCGTTTGTAGTTATCTAAACAAATCCAAGACGAAAAAAAGTGAAATTTTCCGTTGATTCCATCTAATTATCAGTAGATGCACTAGTTTTGCATTACCGATTCTATTCGAATCTAAATGCGTAGAAAATGTTCTTGGTAAATCGTTAGAGAAATTATTCGTTAGTACATTAGAATAATACAAGTATTTTTTTGAAAACGGCATGCAATTCAGTGGACAAATATAGAGTGTATTAGAAAACGCCAAGTAAGTTTCTCTAGAAGAAAAATAGCAAGGCTATGAGTCTTTAAATCGTCTCTTTATAAATAATGATACTGGTAAATGCATACACTTTGACTGACAGAAACAATATGTAGATTGTAATTACTTACGACAGCTTTCAAATGTGATCTATTGAAAACGATTGAAGTCACACTATCTTACTTGTACTCCCTCGAACTCACTAGAAAAATATATCGAAGAACATGTACGTACACAACTCTTTTGAGAACGATGTTTGTTATTTTACGAAAAATATTTATACATACGGGGAGAGAGATTTCACAAGACTTCATATGTGAAGTAGCTGCTATTTTACTTCGAAGAGTTCTATATTGAATTGTTTTCTAGAAGGGGATTTCGACGGAAATCAATTCAAAACATTGTTTAGTTACTTTTACAACAATGCTATGTATCATTGTAATTATGTTTTTTCGATATTAATACTTTCCTGTCTATTAAAATCGTCATTGTTCGTGATATGCGACTGAAAAAAGTCGATTGTGAATTTTGAAATACCAAATCAAACTATTGTGAGATGTTCTGGAATTGCATTAAAAGTAAAATTTCTGTTTGTGATTTGGCAAGCTTTGCAACTAATGTAATGTTAGTTGTTTGTGAGTGGCAAAAATGAATTGTTTCAGACGACAACAGTATTTTTATTGATCAACCGAACTACAATAATTCATTTGTGCACGGCGTGGCGTGGCGTGGCAACGAAGAGTCTCGCATCAAAGAACGAAAAATTGATGTAACCGATGAGCGATGAATGTTATTAGTATGCATACATAATAAGTTCTTTTGCCAAATTGCAGAATGAAACATTTCTTTAGTGTGAGTGAGTAACTTCAACGTGGCATAGGAAGAAAAACAGTACTCTACCAAGATGAACAGAAATCTGTTGTTACCATCAATGCTACTTAGTTTCATCCTGTTTTCTTCCGTATGTTTCGTAATAAAAGAGTAAAAATTGCAGATTGAAAGATGGAGAAGCTGCGGAAGAAAAATAATCAATGTATGTGATATCAATTTTATGTTCTAGAAAAGGCTTTGCCGAGTAAACATATGAAGCCATCTATGCAGCTCTGTGTAAATTTGATCATGAAAAAACAAACCGTAGCAAATATTCAATGCATTTTATTTAAAAAGGTCACCCCATTATGTCGTTTAGTATCGCGCACTCCAATAGATTAGTTTGAAAAAAAGACGGCAAATATTATAATAGAGTTGTTAACCTCTAAAGTCATAATAGGAGTATGTATGTAAACAAAGTTCAGATTCACATTTATTTACAGAGACAACACCGATGATATGTTGATTTTTGTGAGTACTAATTCGTATAGACGTATTTATTTGAACTTTTATTTATCTTTGAGAACGGTCTCTGAACTGTTATGATAGATAGTTATATCAAAAGCTTGAGTAATGACCACACATAAATTTGAACAAATGTTTTTATAGTAGCAAAATATTTTACATACCTGTTACCTTTCAAGCAAGCAAAAGTGAGCTTGTCTTCATAGATTTGTAGTGCAAATCATTTATTTCAGTAGATCGAAGGCGCAGTATATTTTTGATTCCAATAATTCTTCTATTTCAGTTCTCGACGATTCTATAAAGAATTAGAAAATTTTTGAAGATATGGTGATAATAAAAGAAATGCCATAGTTTTCTGTGATTTTCAATATTTCTTCAATGAGTATCAGTGACATGTGTATTTAAAAATCTCATTTTGCCGATACAATATTATGACAATGATGTTGACATTGTAGTATCGACATGTATGGCATTGACTATTTTTCTTAACAAGAGTAATTAGTCTACTATAGGGTATTTAATACTACTCAGCATTCATATAAGAATTTTCAGATTCCAAACGTATCTACAATGAAGACATCGTACATGCGCCTTCCAGCTATATACTATGTATATCTATATGTGTACGATATAAACATGTTTGGATGCGTGTAGCGTAATCCACTCATCCCCAAAAATGATCATCGTACTATACCGGAATTGAATCAATTCATTATAATGAATAATGATATGCACGTATATCATTCAATATATCGTGAAAAACAGAGGGGTTGAGTAAAGTTTGCACTGACTTTTATACAGCTCGATAATGCGTTTATTTTTGTGAATCGCATAAATTAATCTTGTATTGATTAATCTTTTGTATCGTAAAACGAGTTCCTGAACAAGATGTTTTTATGCATAAAATTAAGATCGATGTATATTTTAAATATTTGAAAAATAAAAATAAAATTTTTTTTCAACTAAAAATACTCTACAGTAACGCTTGCAGAATTGAATTTTGAAAAGTGATGAAACTATTTTCTGCACGTCACTTGTAAGACTCTGTGAACAACAACGAGATATGTGCAAAGTTCTGTCAAACATGCTTCAATACTCCTTTTAAGGTTGTATTTCGTGAAATAAACTGAAGGATAAAGGAAAGAAAGATCTTTTCCTACGATGAATGTATATACGGCTGCACGACGTAGCAACATTCATAGCTGTCGCTTTTTATCCCTAATCAGAATAAAAAATTCAATGCTATTGTAAATTGAAGAAGTTACATAGAAAGATATATGCAAACTACCTTACGCGTTTTCTTCTCTGAGTAACACTATATGTTTCTTCTGCTTCTTTTAAAGAGACAAGTAGAAAATAGAAAATAGAAAATTGCTTTTTTTTGATAAAAAGAACAATATATTTATTATTAAATTTTATTTCTTTACATACAATACTGATTCATCTTTTTTCTGTAAAAATAACTAAAAAAAACATTTACTTTCGCTCACTAAACAATGGAAATTCTTTTTATCTATTGATGTTCCATTCAGAATTACAAAAAAGTTTCTTTACATTAATTCTTTATCATCAAAAATAACAAAGACAAAACCAACAATAGATGTCTACGGAGACGCTTTCTTTTAACTACAGCTCTGACTTCAAGTAAATCCCGGTATTTTTTTCAGGTAAGCATGCTCATTTGCGTTGCAAGCTTATAATACCCATTTAATTTCAATTTTTCCTCTAGTCTAGAAAACGACATGTCTTCTAGTTATCTACGAGGATGATAGAATGAATGTTACATGAATTCTAGGAAAACTCTAAATGTACGGGTTATATAATTTGGTCTCTAGAATATACCAAAAAAAAAGGCTATTTTCTGGATTTCTCATTGCCGACATAGTTTCTTCATGATCAGTTATGCGGAGTTCGAATGCGCATTGTTTTGTAAAAAAAATTAGTTGCTCATCATCTGCACTCTTTAATTAACAGAAATACTTTTGAGTTTCAAGTTCTAGAAAAATATAATTTACATGTTTAGATATCTGGAATTTTACGAATACTGTAAAGATTTGAAATTTCCTAAAAACTCAATTAAAAAACATTCCACACGCTCTAGTTATATGAAATTCTGAATCTAATTATATGGCCGCAAAGCTTTTGCCTAAGAGCAACATAGACGTTATAATGAAGATCATATTGGCACGTTTGTAGTGACTTTCTCTAGGCAACTGTAAATCAGATTACGTTTCTAAAGAGTAATCGTTTGAGTGCATTTTTACAGTTTCAATGCAGTTAAATACACATCTCTGAAACATGTTTTATGGATGTTATCTATTGGACAGTATTCGTATAAGGAAAGGTGACCCCATTTAATCATTAATTATAATTTGGCTCATTAAAAACAGGCATGCGCCTCAAATAGTTCTAAAATAAGAACCAACGTTCATTTTTATGCATGTATCATATCAGCAATGTTCATAAACTATTATTTTTTTCTAAACGCTTACAAAAAACACAATGATACTTGGGTTCTCTGTATTTTCTTCGTGCTCCGGTACAAAAACGTAGTAGAAACACTAGATTTCCCACTAAAAAAAATATGATTACATCTAAAATACGTTTGGTTGTTACATGAACTCTATTGGATGCCTGCAAGTGTTAAGATTTTTTGTGGAACTCACATGTACTTTCTAAGAAACGAGCGTGTAAGTTTAAAAGTGAGATTTTTGCGAATTTCACCCTTCCCTTATTGTAGGTATCAGTGAATTAAAAGTTATGTTATGTCGGAACCAGACTCATTAGGCTGGTATTTCTTCCTTCACTTCATTACACACTATACGAAAAACGTAAAGTAGATATCCATTACAAAAATGAAAAGAAACTCTCAAGTGCCGATATAAGCAAATAGGTAATGATCTAACTATATAGATTCTACATAGAAAATAAGATATATTTTGCATTAGCTTACTAAGTCTAGGAGATATACGTGAGTTTCACACTTTAGTCTCACAATGGCTGGGTTGGCAATCTATTCATGTTGTTGAGCTTTCACTTTCATCAGATTATTTCAATATCAAGATGTTTTTGAGATACTTATTACTATACTATGTAGTAACTATTTAGAATATACCTTATAATGATCTTACGTACGAACGAAAATGTATCTTACATATCAACGGAGTTTTTTTTTTAGCTTAAACCACTTTTTAGTTAAAGATAATAGTTTGAACCAATATCATACATTTGTTCTATTTTGAACATTTAACATTCGAAGATTGAATTTAAAAAAAAAGAATTACTCATGGTCTGCATCTCAGCTATTCTATGTATAGTTGACGCTTCGTTTAGCATCAAGCCTTTTTCGTTTTGTTTGATTTATTCATTTATGCATTCATTCATTCATTACAAACGATTCTGAATGAATAGTTGACATTTCAAGTCAATATTGATTATTGAATAGTCATTTTTAAGCATTTCTCCTTTTAATTATTTGTGAAACCAATTTAGATACAAATAAATCCAAGAATCAGGGTGTGAAAGAGGTCAACCAATATAGATGTCCTTATTCTATGCTGATTTCAAACATAGTCCCTTAGCTACAAGTGGAACGGGTGTTATTGGTTACTTTACGCTGTTGCAAACTTTGGCTCTATAGTATTTATTATTTTAAAAATATAATGAAAAGATCTATTAAATTATTGTTAATTGGGCGGTGTCGTGTATCATATTATTGCTATCGATGTGTTTCAAACAAGAGGATTGAAGGAATTCGAGAAAAATTCGATGAAAATCAAGCTCGAATTTATTTTGATAAATGGCTCAAATCTTTGTGGTAAAAAAGGAATTTGATTTTAGTACAAATACTATCAAAATATTTCTTTTTGTCGAAGAGGTTTGCACCAGGGGGTTGGACTGAATCAACAAAAGATGATGCCATTAGCATTACACGACGTTATTTACCGTTTTGGAATTTATCTCTTCATGGTTCCATAGATGCTTCTATTGATCTTGCGAATATAACAATGCAAAAAGTTTGTTTTTCATTGAATAAAAGAATGTCCTTTTTTTAATAAATGTTTTTGATTAGCAAGGAAAGAATATTGTTCCAACTCAGCGTTGGCATTCGATTCCTATGATGATTAATAGCTTATCTCTATCTGACATTAATATCTATGCAGCTCAAACACTTGATAGATACCATTTAAACAAATTAAATATTTCATTCCATAATCAAAATATTGTTAATCTTAATTGTGAAGATAATGATGTCGAACAATGGACAGTTGATCGAGATACAACATTTCATATTGGTTGGGATCTTAATATTGTACCTCAAATTAAACATTTATGTATTCAACAATCAAAACAGGTCTCTTTCTTTTTACATGAATGTATTTGAAAATTAAAAAAAGTATTTTGTTTCTGTTTTCTTTTCTAGTTATATCCTCAATTTAATAATCATCAAATTAAATCATTTCATTTTAATATTTCCTCTAAAAACGAACGTATTTTGCATTATCCAATATATGTTATCAATTATCAGTACGGTTCTCAATCAAATTTTACATGTTTAGTCGATGGTGTAACTGGTCAAGTTGTTGGTGATAGACAATATTCAATGTTTAAAGTTACTACAGCAACCCTGATTGGTTTTTATCCTATGGTATTGACAGCCATCGCTAGTTTCAGTTCATTCATTGATCCGTCAATTGGTATATTACTCGCTTCATTTCTTTCAACGAAAATTTTGATTCCAATGGCATTTATTGTTTCACCTGTTGTTGGTCTTTGTGCAAGTTATTACCCACAATTCTATCGACAACGGATCAGTCAAGAACAGTGGCAAAATTATCGTTCAAATTCATCACAATTCACTTATGATTTTACAAGTTCTTTTCAAGAAAACTATCAATCTTATAGAAAAAAAAATCAAGAGCAACGGTTTGTTATAAGAGTACTTTGATTTATGTTCAGCTAAGAATCAATTGTAGTAGATACAATAATCATCAATTGATTAAGTTTATGTATATTCGGTTGTTTCTAGTGGAATTGCATCTGATAAGCGACGTGTATTTCTTTTTACATCCCCGTAAACAGTAGTGATAAGTTTTCATTGTTGAGTAAAAAGGCATTCAATTCTTCTTTAAACTATCAACTTCAGGTTTAATACATAACCATATTACCCTTGTATGATTTTTAAAAAAATCTAATATAATATTTGTTAAATGACCGGTAAATATCAATAGAATAGTATGAATATTTCTGTTACCAAAAAACTACTAACATGCTTCTTTACAACGATATACTGATGCAGAGATCAATTTTCTACTATGATCATTCTCTTTTCGTCGTACTATTCCTATTCGATAAATATTGTTCAACTTTCTAAATTGTAAGCCTATGGGCGTATACTTATCCGAATGACTATTTAGTTACAAAAATGCAATAAGTAATATTCTAATTTTTTCTCACTGACATTTCAAACTCTCTGCACTAGAAACGAATCAATCAAGTACAAAGTGATATTTTATTTTTAGTAAAAGACAATCGACAGCACAACGAGAAGAAGAAGCACCATTGGATCTATATAATTTATTATCCATTAGCCGAACAGCCACTGAAAAAGAAATCAAACATGCTTATTTACTTAAAGCAAAAGAACTTCATCCAGATAGAAATCCAGGCGATAAAAAATCTGAAGAACTATTTAAAAAAGTGAATCAAGCATATGCAATTTTATCGGACAAATACAAGAGAGAACAGTATGATAAATACGGTTATGAAAGTGTTAAATATGGTTAGTTATTTATTTTTCAATATGTTATTACTGTAATGAAAAACATTTTTATAATAAAATTTTTTTATATCGTTTCGTATGCAGATTAATATTTTCTTTTTATCAATTATCATATGACAAAGACATATATTTTAAAGGAATAGGTTAATTTTTCAGCGATCATTCGGAATAATTATTCAATTCAATTTCTATTATGATGTATTCAAGGTTGATTATTAGAAAATACAACATATGAGATTGTCTGAAAACATTGGAAGCGTTTGAATTATTTTCAAACTAGACTTTTTATCAGTTATATAACTGCCAAATATTTCAATGCTTGCATATTTCTAAATCGCAGCGATGAAAAAATTTGAAAAGCTTTATAATAAGTATGATCGCTCTTGGTGAGAGAGCAACAAAATAGCAATTTGTTTTCGTTTCATAATATCAAACGAAGTTAAGTGTTGTCTAGACCAATTATAATTTCAAAAATAGAAATTTTCGCATAAATTGAATGCATAAAGAAATCTGTTTTTTAAGCATAAATATTTTATGATCAGATCATAGTTCTAAACCATATAGCCTTTTATATCTCCATACCGATATAGATATATAGATGAATTCGTGTAGAATTGGTTGTCGTTGTATAGATTTCAGAAAAAATCATAAGAGTTTTCTGTTTAATAAAAGAATTAAATATAACAGATTGTTTGTTTTATCATCGAATTCAAGTCAATATTTATGAATGCATATCCATTGGAGTCAATCAAGAGTATGTTGTATGAAAATGTTTTAATTTCTTAGTAAGTTTTTACTATTTCCAATAGGGAAATATTAAAAATCAACAGTATCAGTTGAATACAAACTAAATATGTATCAATCGCGATGGCCTAAAATTCAAAATAAAATAAGATAAGTTAATCCATAGTGATGACAAGTACAATTACACGTGAAATTGATTTTCATCCTTATTAATTTATTTATTCCTTTAGATCAACGAACTACGAAGTTTACTAAGCTGTTTTCTTGAGATACAATTTTCTCACCTATCTCTTGCAGTTAATTTTCATCTTTTGTTGGTTTCTGTATTTTCGACACATCAGTATTAGTAATATTAAGTTTTCATTAAGACTGGACCTGTTTCTTGTATCGAAATATCGAAAAAGTAATTTACATATTTGAATCAGTATGTTTTTAATGACAATTGTTACTATTTTCAGGATGTTCTTGTTGCATACATTTTTTTCTATCGATAGATTATGAAATATGTACAATAAACAGTTGAATTAACATGATAACACAGGATTCTTTTTATTTTCTAACTTTAAAGTACATGTACGCTAGATCTATCTATATCTTTATATGTTGTTTCATGTTATCATGTCAGCAGCGGAAAGGACAAAGTTTAGATGGTACGGAATAGGAAAAAACAAAAATATTCTTCGTACAACTAGATTTTTTTCTCTGTGTAGCACTCGTCTAATAACTTAAATCTACTTTTTTTGTTTTAGTAAAAATTAGATAAACCATTAGATATTTAATTAGAAGAGACAATAGAAATCTCTATAGATATACCAAACAAAAACAAAAAGTATCGCAATTCAGTTTTAATTGAAAGGTAAACACATTCCAATAGAAACATATAGGAAGCAGCGTTTCGAATACGTTGACACGATCCCATCTCATTAAATAGGGCGAATTTATTAAATATTACATCTGATGCAACGGACGAACTTTTCCTTTACACTTATTCTCGTATTTGTATAATGAAATATGAAATCATGGTAGCTGCTTGATAGTAGTGGTGAGAAATAGGATTTATTAGATTCTAATTGGCTGTCTGTTTCTTCAATAAAAAGAGATTCATTTATCCCTTTGTTATTATAGTTTTTCACATGAAATCGTTTTTACTATATAAAGTCGCCTTTGTGATAGATTATTTAATTAAAGTTACATACATGTTGTAGTGGAAATTAAAATTCAGTAGAATTTAAAATCCTACTAGTAGAAATTGAAATTTTAGTTTCTACTATAGGTAAAATTCAGTAGAATTTCAATTTCTACTAGTAGAATTTTAAATTCTACTGAATTTTAATTTCTACTGCGACATACATATTACTCATATTGACGATCTAAAGTTTACATTGATTTTTAATATTAGTTGTTTGTAGATTTTGGTGGAGCAAAACAGTCCCTTAGGAAATAGAACATCCTAATATATTCTGATCGATTTCTATCGAAACAGAAGTCAAGAGAACTTGTACAAGTGTGAAGAAATTCACTGACATATGCTAGATTAAAAACAAATTCGGAAAAGCTACTTGAATTGAAGAAAAAAAATAAGAACTCATTAATGACAAATGCTATGAAGAAGACTATCGTTTGCTAATATTCATGAAAAAGCCACTGAAATCTGCTAAAAGTGAAAATGGATGGTGAATCCTGACATTCAGCAGTAAACTCAAAAGTACTACTGTGAATTTTAACTTATTCATTATTTTAATTGTCCAAGTTAAAGAGTATGCTAATACTCAACATGGGCAACTTTACTTTGAACGAGAAGGTTTACGATGTATGGAAGAGTATAGAGATTTCAATGTAAAGATAAGTATTTTACACGGTAAAAGACAAAGAAAAATTTAGATGATAATAAAAGATATGCGTAGATATCAATTCAGTGATTGAAAACAAAATGTTTCATCCAGTTTATTGCTTCAGTTCATTCTATCCGATTTGAAGTCTGCAACGAAAGTCGAAAATGAGTGATCCGTATAAAAATTTCTCTACTATAAAGAAAGTCTTTTATATTTAGGAAACTAGGAAAAAAACTATTCCATAATATGTAAACGAATGCAATTACTAAGTTGCTCTTTTTTCCATCGAGATATAAAAGTAATTAATAAGAAACAGATGGACAATATTGTACTTAGAATTTATTTTTTAAAGGTGAATCCATCTGTATGGAAAAAAAGCACTAATTTGAGATATTGGATTTGAACGAATTATATTTTTTTCTATTGAAGGCATCAGTTATATGATAGTATTTCATTAATTATACTATTGATAATTGTCACTATCGCAAAATTATTTTGTTTTAAAAGAATTCGATCGCTCTAATGGTATTGATCTTCATTAAGATAAGTGCAGCAGCCAAAGAAAATAACCAATACGAGATTGTCAACAAGAATCCAAGCTATTTTAAATATTTCGAGAACAAGAAATATAGATATAAATTGATAAAATATTATGGCATACAGCAAAGATGCAAAAGAGTAGTTGAATAACTCTTCATCAGTGCATAGAATGTTTGTTTTCAGCAGTGCTCTAGCAGGTTTGAAGAATCATTATAAAAATCAAAAATTATTTATCAAAGTATTTGGTTTTAGTTTTTCAGAAAACAACAGAAGAATTTTCACATCAATTCTTATCAGTTTCGAGCAAAACAATTAAAGTCTATGTTCATCTAGTGTTTCTTCGAATAGGTGAAATTGATACATTAAATGAAAAATATCAAGCACAAGCATCAATTGAATCTCGTTGGTCTGTCGAATTAGAGAACCTTTTACCAAATCTATCATCGGACGAGCAACAACGTCTCATGCAAGGAAAATCGATATCTCTTATTAAATATACTGAATTTAACTGGCATCCTCAATTATATATTGAAAATGCTTTAGGAGATTTAAAGGAACAAATAAGATATAGTGCAACAATATCTCGTACAGATAATAAAATATATATTTGTGAACACCGTAATATTAAAGGGTCATTTTGGGAAAAACTTGAACTATACCATTTTCCATCTGATGTTCAAGAATTATCAATATCAGTGGGTTCAATGCTTTACGATGATAAAGTTCTATTGATAGTTGATCCATATTATTTGAGTGGAATTAATCGCGAAGTATTTATTGATCAACAAGAATGGTCATTATTTGAACATGTTGATACTAAACAAAGATATTTGAAAGAATTTTTGTTTCAAGGTGGTGTTGAAGAATATAATGATGAAGATGATTATGGAAATACTGATAATAATAATAATAATAATAATAAAGACCGAAATCGTTCAATTTTTACTGTAACATGTTATGCTGGTTTGTATTTAATTTTAGAATAGATATGGCATTGGAAATAAAACTAAATCTTTTTTTTCCTATTTGAAGCTCGTCAATCGAATTACTTTTATTGGAATGGGTATTGTATGATATTTCTAATTACTTCAGTATCGTTTTGTATATTTACTATTCCACCAAAGTGAGTTATCACTTCATTAATATGAATCGAAAGGTCTCTTTATTCTTCGTATTCAAGTCTATCAGCAAATCGTCTTCAAATTTCTTGCACACTTCTTTTAACATCAATTACTTTTCGATGGACAGTAAATCGATCACTTGTAAGTTTTATAGACGATTTTGAATATATAGTTATCTGATTCTCATATTGCTCAATTCTTTTATGTAAGCCCACAATATCCTACTCAACATCAATGGATAAATATGCAATAATGTGTCTATTTATTCTTGTTATTCTTTCTATTTGGCATGCTATTATTGGTGGTTTAATACTTCGATATACATCTGATTTTCACAAAACTTCAATAACATGTTTTATCAATTTTGATCGGTATGTTCTATATGTTTCACTAATTATCTATATATTAATTCATGGGATGCTACTTATTTGGTTATTTTGTGTTCCGTTAAAACATCGACGTCAATTGAAGCAAAAAGATATTCAATATCGACAATTGTTATCAAAAAAATGTCAATTATCAAAGAAAAAATTAGAAAATAATTCTGACTACGTTTCAATTTCAATACAAATTTAACTGTTCTTTAATCGATATAGTTTTTTATTATTTTTGTATTATAATCATGATGACTAAAGAAGTATGATGAATAGAAAAAGAAAGAGAAAAAGGGTTGATAAAAACAAAAAACATAAGTTAATTGAGTTTGAAAATGATTGACATTGTGAATAAAGTATTCATTCTTCGTCTTTATGTTCTTTAGCAGATTTAAGTTGAACTTGATCACGAAAATTTATTTTTTCGTCTTCTTTTGTTTCTTCTTTAAGTGCAAATTTATTTGTTGATTGTTTTAAGTTAGCCATATTAATGAAATTAGGTTCATCTTCTTTTGGTTTTTTAATTTTGTTCAGCCTGATTTTAAATAAATAAAAGAAGAATAAAAAAGGAAAAGAAAAAGAAAATAATTACTATAAACTTACTTCTGTTCAGTTTTCGAAACTTTTTTAAGTGATGGCTTAACGAATTTACCTTTAATATCGTTGATTTTAATTGTTAATTCATTGACCTAGAATAGAAAATAAAACATTCCTATGATGAATACCAGGAGATTTATTTATGTTTCTTTTTACATCATAATCTTGTTTTCGAATTTTAAATTCAAGATCATAGCGATTTTCTTCAGCTGTTTTTATTTGATTATGAAGATCTTGACAAAGTGATTTAAGTTGAGCTAAAAGAACACGTTTTTATTTTGTAAGTTTTCATATGAAGAAAATCCTTTAAATATTCACCATCACTCATCGAAGTAACATCATCAAGCGGTTTTAAACGTTGTTCAATATAATTTTTTCGTGCTTCTAAACGACGTTGTTGTTCACCTTTAAGATTTTCCGTGGCCATTTTCATAATCAAAAGCTAAATTAATGTTATTTTCCAAGCATTGAAAATATTAAATCAAACTTAATACAAACACGAAGTTTTCGTTTCTTTTCTGGTGTTAAACCAAAACGTTTCTTTTTCTCTGCTGCATCACGAGCTTCTTGACGTTTACGTTCACGATCGGCCTTCTTGCGGGCCTTCTTTTCATCTTCTGTAAGTGGTCGGTTCTATGGGCAAATAATTTTTGTGGTTTTTCAAGACAAATTTAAAAGATTGTTTTTTTTTTGTTACATAAAATTCATGCCATGCTACATTTAAAGTTCACATTTCTAATATGATATGCAAATTTCTCAATATTCATAAGATGTTTTGTGTATGTTATTATAATCAAGCAACAAAATGATTAGTTAATCGTTTTCATAGTCATTTAAGAATTTAATATACGTAATGTCATGCAAATTGAGCTTGTATTTAAATATATATGTGGCTCGTTGTGAAGATCTGTTCTTTTCTGTATTCGTGCAAACAGACAACATGCGAATTCTTATTTAAAGTTGAATAAATGTGTAGATAGATATATGTAAACAGTACACATGCATTACATTCAAATAAAATTGTGTTTTCTTGTGAACTATTTTTAATCTTCTATTACCTCGTCAGCCATTTTGTTTCTGTTTAACTAAGAGTTACTTGGTGTCCTTTATTGATCTTGTAACGCAGCAAAAGAGAGAGAGAAAAAGAGAGAAAGACAAACACTAGATGATGACGCTAGTACTAAACACTTATTCTTTGCTCTCTTTGGCAATATCAACCTACGTATAAGCCACAAAAAGCCAGAAATACGAAGAAAAATAGATCGAGAGAGAAAAGACGACGGCGACGATGATGATAACGATGATGTCTTGTTCCTAAAATATCTGTATATACGAGTATACGCGGAAATACTGAAAAGAGAGAAAGAAAAGCAGTAGCTAAGTCTTTCGCTACATTTTTTTGTGGATATATGTAGACTATATCGACAACAAATAGAAAAGCTCGTTATTGTTCTATTCCATCCTGTGCATTTGTAAGAATTGTACGCGTATGCTGCCGATGTATATGGATATAGAATTGGATAAGGAAAAAAGAACGAGAAATATACTAATATTTTTATCTTTCCTTACTGTTATGAGATAATAAATTACAAAAGGATTTTTTTTCTTTAGAGACTAATACAAGTTATAGATATAAATAAGAAAAAATGATCACCATAAAAATAAACGTTGAAGAACCGTTTTGATTTCCTTCTCTTGATGTTCTTCTCAAATAACTGAGTTTTTCTTTCTATTAATTTCATATGTTTTTATAAGAAAAAACTTCATAACAGCATCTTGAAAAGATTTTCTCAGAAAATAGTAATAACAGCCTTGACGAAACACGCGATAAATGATCTATATATAAATTTCCCGTTCTTCTGATGCCCTTTAATAGAAATATTCATAGTAAACAACAATTATCCCATATCAACGATGCAGTCGAGCTTCGAAAAGAAATTAACTAGCAAAAAAAGATGTTAGAAATAATACTAGAAAATTGATTATATCACATGCGTATATTCAATAAAAGGAAAAAATAGACAAATATCGACAGAGAATAGACATGTGTTTACATGAAGACTAACTGGAACGTTCACGTTCTAATGCTTCTTCACCATCATCATATCCAATGTATAAGAACACAGAATATGTGAATAAAAATCAAAAAATAATACTCTCATAAAAGCAAATTATCAAATAACGATTGTTATAAATAAATTAGTCTCTTATATGAAGTTAAAAGTGAAGATAATATTTTGTTCATTTATTTGTTCTACTATGGTTAAAACTAAAAAGAAAAATAATTCAGGGACCTGTTTCTAAAGATGTTTATGTTAATTTTTATTCTTCTTCATGATGATGTTCGCCTTTAGTTGATTTTAATTGTATTTGTTCACGAAAATTAACTTTATCATCATCTTTATGTTCGTCTTTTAATGCAAATTTATTTGTTGATTGTTTAAGATGAGCACGAAAATCAATTTCTTCTTCTTTTGGTTTGTGTAATTTTTGTAGTCTGAAAGAATATCAGACAGAAAAAACAAATAGTATTTCTATTTCCATACGGACAAAAAAAAGATTTTACTTTTGTGTAGTTTTTGATACTTTTTTCAATGTTGGCTTGATAAATTTTCCTTTAATATCATTTACTTTGATTGTTAGTTCATTAATCTGTCGACAAAAAAACAACAAAGAAAATTCTTTTAAGTTACAAAGAAAATAAGCGATTTACATCATAGTCTTGTTTTCGAATTTTCATTTCAACATCATATCGTAATTCTTCGGTCTCAGCTAATTGTTTATGATATTCTTTAACTAATGAAACAAGATGAGCCTCATTAAGACTATTGAAATCATTCGGAATCGGTTTAACACGTTCTTCAATATATTTTGTACGAGCAGCTGAACGTTCTTCTGCAGCATTTTTTAAATTCTCTGTGGCCATTTTCATAATAAGAAGCTACATATATTGTAGATTAAAACACAATAATTTTATTTCATTCGAAAAATAACTAACCCGAAGTTTGCGCTTCTTTTCTGGTGTCAATGCAAAACGTTTCTTCTTTTCAGCTGCATCACGAGCCTCTTGACGTTTTCGTTCACGATCAGCCTTTTTTCGTGCTTTTTTTTCTTCTTCAGTTAGTGGGCGTCCCTAAAAATTTCGAAAATAATTATGAATTCATAGAAATTTGTTTTACATTCTATCAATTAAAAAAAACTTGTTCACAATGTGAATTTTTAAATTGACTTGTAGTGTGACAAAGAATATTTTGAGCAATATGAACCACATAAAGATTTTTATTTGTTTTTTTTTCTCTTCTTTAGATCAAAACATTCAGATATCTTTATAAAAGGCACTATTTCTTTTTAGTTTCTATAGAATTTCACTGTACTAATTTACATTTGCAAAACAAGAGTACAGAATCACATAATTGTGTCGCCCCTATTTACTAAATATCTATTCACTTAATTAAGAAGAAAATTTTCTTTGATTTACATTCATATGAATCATGTTATTGAGATACAAATTCTTATTTGTATCTGAATTATTTCTCTAAATTTTATAGAAATTCTTTTGTTTGCATTACCTCGTCATTCATTGTTTCTCGTTGATACTTGTTCTTGTTCTTGTTGTTGTTTGTTAGTAGTGAGACTTACAAATAATATTGTCTGTCGATATCGGAGCAATCAAGACAAAGAATGCTGATCACTTTTTTCTGTATATTCCCTTTTCTCCTAAATATCACATCTTGCTTTTCTGATATCATTAAAAATACAAGAGAGAAATCTCTCATTCTTCTTTTTTTTTGTTCTTTTTTCTCGTCTCACAGCGATCCGTATCATTTACACAAACATACACATTTGTTCATGAATATGACTGTCACCCACCAGATGTGATACTAACTAATGTCGACTCAACAAAAAGTCTCTTCGTAGAAAAGTACCTACAATACTATATCATTATATATTTCTATAGACATAACTAGACGACATACTATCAACTAGTCCTACAAAAGAAACTAAACAATAGTCAATACTTTAGGAGAAAAAAAGAAAGTTCTATTGACTGAATATGATGCCAGAAATTTGCCTGTCACCAACATTAAATACAATGCTTCCCTCGATATTGGACAAATAATATCATAAAAAGAAAACAAAAGTAAAGCCAAAAAGAATTTTTCTCATACTCAAAATGAAATATTACTTTGCATTGAAGGTTACCATTGTGAGTAATTCTGTGCACATCATCAATTATTCTTAAAGGACACTAGGCCTAAAATGATTTAGTTTTTGATTTTTAAAATTTCTAGTGAAATCAATAATGATACAAAAGAAGAAAGACGAAATTCGTCAGTAAAGAATCCATGCTCAGAAATGTTCTATTGAGTTCTACGAAAGAATGGTATTTTAGTTTGATACTGTAACTCATTTCATTTGGATTCTATCGATAAAAAAAATAAGCGAAACTTTTTATATGATTCTTATTTGATTGATTTTTATATTTGAAATCTATGAGAGTGATTGTAGGATATGGTTGCGGTGAATAAGAAGATCTTACGCAGTTAGATCCATATTTTCTGTACTACATAAATCTTCTAGATAAATAACTTCATCATCTGTCGAAATGATTTTAAATAATAGTACCAATCATGTTAGTGTAAGGCAGTATTGGAAAAATAAACAATAATTGTAGTTGTCGGTCATTTTTAAATGAGAAACCAGTGCTCTAAGACATTTACTCAACTGATCATTATTTAAGAGTAAGAAAAGTTCTGGACATGCTTTTGAAAGAATAATCTTCAAGAATGTTTCAAACTTGAATCATGCTATTGAAAAAAATCATTGAGTAGTTTTTACTTGTATGAAAAAGTCTCAATGGCATTTAAAGTATTTATAATATGTAATAATATTGATATTCGAAGTATTTTTATCAAATTCACTTTTACAATGGCAAGTTTTTAGCATTGATAAATATCTCTAATAAAGAATTCTGAAACATAGAAATTAAATATTTGAATCTCTCTACTCTGCTATAGACTGTGACAAACGATTAGACAATTGTCTCCTCAAAAAAAAAAATAAATAATAACTATCTTTGAGTTCAACTTATAACCTTGAAAGTATTATTCTTGGCACGTTATATGTGCTGGTTTGAAGCCTGTATTCACTACAGGCGAATAACAGACATACACTCTCTATAGCTAGTTGATAACATAAACTAATCTCTTTCACATACACGTTACAAAATAAACTCATCCTTAATGTTCTTATTTTCATCTTGTAGCTCGTAACACTGGCTTTAGAGTTATATCCATGAAGCACAATCTATTTTCGAGTGAAACATTAGATGAAGATATCTTTTCAATTCTAATTGAAATTCGATCATTTGAAAAGCGACTTAATCACTATTTAAGAAAAGAACAAAGAATATGGCTTGCACAAGAATATTATAATTATATGATTCTCATCTAATTTCATTATGATCAGAGCAACAAAATTTTGACAAATTTGTTTTTTAAAATTCATTCTATTTCCAGAAAATGCATTCCTATAAATGTCAATTAAATAAATGAATATTTTTAATAAAAAAAGGTTTTTTTTTCTTTAGAAATTTAAAATACAGACAATGAAGTAACTATTCTATAGCTATCAGAGGAGACATTGGAACTCATGATAATATTATCATGATTGATAAATAAAATGCTCAGAAAAATATATGAGAAAAAGTACAGTATTGTTTCGATTAATGCAGTTCATAGTAAAATTGAATCAACTTTTCTTTCTTCTTTATTTTATTCTTATAAATAAATATTATTTCAACTATTGTCTTAACAATTAGTTCGATCGAGAGATTGATAGAAATGAACTTCTGTATGCTCAGACAATAATTGAAGTTATACGAATTCATGCCTAAAAGAGAATGAAGGAGAGAGGCAGAGAAAAACTTGATTTATTAGTGCCATATATTGTAGTAAAAGAAATATCCCTTATCTTTTTCATAGAACATCCTGAGGTGCATGTGACTTATCAGAAGAAAAAACAACTGTGGTTATCGTAAACAAGAATAAGAAAACAAGAAAAACATTTATTGAGATACAAGATAATATACATAAATAGAACTCTCCAGATTATAGATGAAAATTTATTTCATTGCAATGATACTATGAATGCATAAAGGATAGCTAAATTTAAAATTAAATTGATAAACAAAAAATGTTATTTATGATTGTCAGATAATTGCAAGTCTACATAAAATATTGATTTAAACATAATAGTAGTGAACAATGATTAAGAACTTTAGTGTCACATGGATAGAAAATGAGTTGTAAACTAGGTAGGTAGTCGATCATAATCAAAGGAATATGTCTACAGTTACTCTATAATATCAAAACAATAAATTTTGTTTTTGTTTTTTGAAGCAGCAATCTGTAACTTGACTCAATTACACATAGTCTAACTGTCTGTTGAATTTCATTCATGTTTAGAAAACGTATTTCATTCAATACTATGTTACCATATTTTCTCAGAAGATATGAAAAATAAAAGCAACTGAAGAGAAATCGAGAATCATTGAATATGAAGAAATTCATTCGTCATATCCCAGCAATAAAATATGTTAACGGTTGAAGATGTAAAGAAAACAGATGCTGATAGGAGATCTAGTTTGATCTTTGCAACCGATCGAATATCTTTAAAAATTTTGTCATATTCAAGCTGACAACTAGAATTATCGACGTCTTTTTTTTTCAAAATGATAATATTATCGAGAGAAAATCAGCTTTTAGTTGAACTTTGACAAAATATTTTTCATACAACCCCATCTAACTGTTAGATATTAGTTGCACAACAATATCTATTAATTCCTATGGTAATCATATGTAATAAAGTATTATTGTGTTTAGCGAAGCCCAACAAATTCCAATCCAATATTATTATTCAATCGTAAAACAAATGAGAAATTCACTACTGTATGAGCTCCTCGTGTTTTCTTTTTGATAACTAAGATCTTGTTCAAAATAATTGTAGCTATTGATTATTTCTAAACACCAATGTGTATATATCAAGAGGCTTCAATCTTATTTGTTGATTATACTAGAAAATGTTCTCTAACTATGTGTATAGTATAGTTTATAAACCATATAATTTCAATCATGGTTCTTTCGCTAAATGAAATCGATTTAGTAGCCTATAGATATTTATCCATAACGAATAATTTTTTTTATTTAAAAAGAATGATGAAAATGATGTGAATAGCATTTATGTATCTCGAAGATTCACACTCCGCAAAAAAATATATGATAATCTCATCATCGCTCATGACATACCTACGTGATAATTCTAACAGTCAATATTGATACTCTTTCGCAAATTTTTCTGCTTAACTAATTACGATAGATAAAAATGACAATAATTGTGTCATTTAGCAGCTAGAAAATCGAGTACTACCAATCATTTCGAAAATGTAGCACATTGAAATGCATACACAAGAAAGAAATAATATTTCTTTAAGTTTCATCGTTCATGATTGTTTCCATTCATATGAATACGTATGTCTGAAGGCTAACCGACATCAAGTCATTGATCTAAGTATACAGATTGTTTTATCGGCTCACTTTATATTTGAACAGAAGCGAAAGAAAGTAATCACACACTAGATTGATGAATTTTTTATTTGTTAAAAGACATATTGAAAATCTTCTCAGGAAAAAAAATGAAAAACAAAAAAATTCTTTTATTTATTTCAAGATACAAGAAAAAATAAAAAGGATTTGTTATTATTTACAATTGATCGTTCACAAGAGGAATAGGTTAAATCAAGTGAAACTTAATCACAATTTATACATCAATCATTTTATGACATAAAATAAGTTTTGCTTCGCTTAATTGGCTCCTGTTCATCTTTTCTTCAGATATTTCTTTTTTTCTTCTTCTTCTTCTTCTTCTTCTTTCGTTCTCCGATGACCGACCAACGCAAAGGAAAAAGAGAAATGGACGAACAAGAATGACGACGGCACTCTTCACATTTAGACAACATATACAACTTCATTTCTTTTCTCTACTTCGTTCACTCGTTTCAAAACAAAATTGACAAGTTGATATTCATGGTGAAATAGTCAGGTATGGTATACAAACGTTTTTCAATACACTCTTGTCTTCTTCTAATTGAATAAAAGTTATATACATATGTAGAGATAGTTGTTGCTTCGAAGACAAAAAAAGATTCAATCAAGTTGATAACTAAATTCTCTTGTGCAATTTAAAACTATCGTTTTTCATTTAATCCTCCTTAAGATAAAAATTGATTTAAATTTTAGAATGTATTATATTCTATTAGTTAGTTATTTTCTATTAACTATAAATGGAATATCTATCGATACAATTGAAAAAGATTTAAATAATTCAATTGAAAAAATTCTTTTAATAAATAATAATTTATTTGTTGGCACAATTAATTCTCTTCATCGTTTATCATCCAAAACATTAAATCAGAATTTATTCTCACTAAAACTTGGTCCACAATTAGATCATTCATTTTGTCGTACATGCATTGATCCTAGACAAATAGATTATCATTTTAAAACTTTATTATTAATTAATAAACACAATCATTTGCTGTTATGTGGAACACTTTCTCAAGGTGTATGTCAAATAGTAGATGAAAATTTCAATTTAATTATTAATTCATCATTACCAATTGTTGCCAATGATCCAATAAATAGTACCATTGGATTAATTATACAAGAACAAAATCTCATTTATTTTGGTGTTACATATAAAAATGAAGGAATTTATCGTTGGCAAATTCCAAATATTTCAGGACGTTCATTAAATTTAACTAATTTTATGAAAATTTTATCAAGTAACGATGATGAAACAATTTATCGTGATGATTTATCGCTACGTTTCATGCCAAGACAACAAACAACATTTATTATTCAGTATATTCATTCGTTTTATACAGAAAATTATGTTTATTTTGTAACAAATCAACCGAATGATATTGACCAAACAAATGCAATAACAAAAATCATTCGTTTTTGTCGAAATAGTTCAAATTCAATAATACGTTCATATACAGAAATTCCATTAGTTTGTTTAAATTCCGATTGGATTATTAAATCAGCACAAATTATTATTGATAATAATAATCAAATGATTTTAATTGGACTTTTTATTAAACGTAGTGGATCAACAGGAACAAATATTTGCTCATGGAAAGTTCACAATGATATTGATAAAGCTTTTCAAGATAATTATAAAAATTGTTATACAATGGGTATTGGACAACGTGGATTAAGTTTTATTAAACCAAATGAAGCTTGTAGAAAAGTTGAAGTAACAAAAAAATATACCAATGCTGGAGCTTTTAAATTATTTTTTATAAATGTTTTTCTTTTAGGGTTGGTCAAAAGGAATGACAACTAATGATAACAATATATGTCCATGGATAATAAGTGATCGTTTGCCCTATCCAGTCGGTGGACTAATTCCTATTGTTGGACGACTTTTTTATGAGAATTCGTTTGAGAGTTCCAGCGCCTTGCAACTGTATCCATTCGGTTCATCAACTCTTTTTTTACAAGGATTAACCAATGGCACTTTCAAGTTGGTAAGTGTTTCATCCATCAAATCAAAATACATTCCATTTTAATGAAGAGACGCTCATATATATATATATACACTTTATTTCTGCAGGGTGTCTACAATACAATTTGTATTGTCTGAATATTAAGAATAAAAAGAAAAAAAAAAACGGACGCCCTAAGGACATTGTTTCTGTTCATTTCGGTTTCACTTAAAATAATGTAGGTTGAATATGTCGATAGGAAAATATTGACAATAGGTCAAATGACGCGATTAAAGACATGACATCTGTCTTTGTCGCATTTTCGCTCATTGATCAAACAAATATTAAGAAGAAGAAAAAGACATGTTTCGTTTATACAGATGTTTTAATTTTTTCCTGCTTGTTTTTAGGGAATATTTGATTTTGCATTGAATATAAATTGGAAATATTCATATCAATTATCAACACAATTACCAATTCTATCAGACATTTTATTTGATAATCGTACTGCAAGTTTCTTCTTAGCTTCAGGTTCAAAGGTATGAAGAAAAAAGTTTTTCTTTTTGTCAAATACATATCTATTTAAATGAAATTCTATAGATTCATCATTTATCATTTGCTGGTGACTGTGCATCACATTTATCATGTGACGAATGTTTGTCTTCATCAAATAATGTTTTTTGTGGGTGGTGTTCGACAACTGAACGGTAATATAGATAGTTTATGGTGTTCACATTAGCACACCAAGTTAGCCATTAAAACGAGCTGCTCTCTACAGTTAAACACCCATTGTGACATTGTCTATCAATGATACCATTAAAAAAAAGAAAGTGTCATACATATAGCCAGCGGGTGCCTAGGTACTAATTGCTGAATGACCGCAATGATTAATTCCGCTTCGGTATGTTTTATGCAATGAGATAAAAAGAAGAAGAGGAAAATAACTGAAATGACCCATCTGTTCTTTATGTATATATATATATATATCAATAATTAATATAAAAGAGAATATTAATCAGCAAAACAATGTGTCTAGACATAAAATCTTGATTTTTTCTTTCTAATAGATGTAGTGTATTAAATGACTGTCCTTCAAATAATTGGCAACAAGAAAATGATCAATGTATTCATATTATCAATGTTCAACCATTAAATACTTCTATTGATCAAAGTCAATGGGTTTGTTTTGATTTTTTCTTAATCTATTTTCATAGGTTCGAGTTTTTCTTTCATTTATCAGATAAATTTAACATTATCAAAATTACCACAATTAGAACGTAATGAAATTTATCAATGTATTTTTGCTGATAAAATAATGTCAGCAAGTACACAAGCTATTAAGTTAGATTATAATCGGCTTTCGTGTCCTACGCCATCAAATCATTTTAGAAAAGAAAATGTTCATATACAAATAGGTAAGATTAGTTTTCATCAACACATGCAAAGTAACAATTCAATATGATTTTTATCGAAAGAGAATGAAAAAAAGACTTTTTTATCTATCTGATATTGATCTGTTCATAAATATGCATTTGTTAACGAAGATAAAATATTTGAGAGAAGAAAAACAATGTTTGTTGGTTCAAATGAGAAGAATATTGGAAAAGGTCAGCCTTTTCTATTCGGCAGAATGAACCAATCTATGTAATTTGATGTTTCATCATTGACATAATGAATTACAATCACTAAAGCGTATAATATTCCAAAGAATTACCATGAGAGAATATTTCAGTTTCAAAAAATGTTAGATCAATTTATAGCATTCAATTTTTACATGAACTTTGAATGTAAATAGAATTTGTTTTTCTCTAAAAGATTATTATTTCATATGTTTAATATAATGCGAATAAAATTATTGACTGACTTCTTCACTATTCTAAACATTTGTTTGTTCTTTGAATAAAATTATTCTCTGTTAGTTTCTATATAAGAAGAATACGAAATTGATTCATTGAAATGTTCATCGTGAACAGTCAATTTTTTGTTCAATTCATATGTGAACATATAATACAGTTTTCTTTTCTTTTCAAGAACATGTGCGTTAGTTGGCATGCCCTTCGGTATTATTTTCTTTGTTGATTAGTACCATGTTGCAGAAAATTCCACTTGATCTTCATCAACGAATTCTATTAGGCACTTCTATTTGTCAAGTAGCCTTTTCAGGAGAGATTTAACAGCTTCGTTTTTTCTATTCGATCTTGATTCATAAATTGAAATTCTAGTTCTATTGTGTTTTCAGAATTCCGTAAGTCATTAATTGAAAAAACTTTTTAGAAAAACTTTTATGTGAATCCAAGATGTAGCTGTTCGATGAAGAATGTTTTTCTTTTCATTACTTATTTGCTTTAACAAAGATAACTGATTGTATCGATCTCTCCTCTCTCTCTCTCTCTCTCTCTCTCTTTATATACATCGTAGCTATTCAATTGATTTAAAAGTTCAATATCAAGAATATGTGTAATAAATAGAAACGATAGAAAAACAAAAAATCTAAGAGATACAGATAAAATTAATATAAATAAATAAAAAATTGGTTCTTTTTATCGTATAGGCAATGAATCAAAAGTACGTCTATCCATAGTAAAATGGCCATCAAATACAAGTATTGCAACTATACCTGAATTTATATTTTATGACTGTTCATCATATTCATCCTGTGAATCATGTCGATCACAACAAGGATGTCAATGGTGTTCTGATCGATGTTCATCAATATGTACTGAAAAAACAATAAAGCAGTGTCCATCATTTAATCTTATTGATAATTCAAATATATTTATTGAATCTGGTAAATCGATTGATATTCCATTAAAATTTTATAATACAATAAAATCTTCACTTGAATGCCGTTTAAATGAAACTATGGCGGAGTTCATTGATGAACGTAATATATGTCATATTTCAAAAACTCCTGAATTAATCAATGAAAATGATCAAACAATATATTTATCCTTATATGAAAATAATATTTCAATAGGTAGTTCAATAAAAATGTTTATCTATCGATGTGATTTATATGATTCGTGTGATGAATGTCAATCACGTTTAACATGTTCATGGTGTCAAGGTAAATGTATAACAAAAACAGATAGTCAATGTTTAACTAATTCACCTTGTACATCATTGAAAATAAAAGACTTTTCACCCAAGAAACTTCCATTGAACGGTGAAACACTTGTCACCATCTATTTAAATGAATTAATAACTGATGAGATACTTGAAATAACACTTGCTGATATTCCTTGTTTAAATATTAAATCAACAAAACGAATAGAATGTCAATCAAAAAGATCGAATTCATCTCGACTAGGTCCAATTAAAATTCATTTTAAAAACTCAATAATTCTTTTCTCTAAAGAATATATTCAATATTGTCAATCATCACTTGTTTCGTTTAATCCAATGATAGTCTATGAATTTGGTGGACAAATTCTTCATATAACAGGAAACAATTTGATTATTGGAAATCAACAAAGAGTATTTATTGGAAATTTTCAATGCATAACAATAAAACAAACAATAACAAATGTTTTAACGTGTCGTTTACCATTAATTTTATCTGGATCATACAATGTTACTGTTATTATTGATAATAAAACTGTATTAAATAATGGATTTATTTTGAAAATAACACCACAACCACTTGTTGAAGATATTAATCCAAAAATAAGTTTTGCAAGGTAGACCATTTTTCAAATCAATTTCTTTTGTTTTAAAGAAAATTCCTTCTTTTTTAGTGGTGGTAGATTAGTAACTGTTCGTGGAATGTATTTTACATCAGTACAATTAATTACTGTGGAATTCTCCTATAAAAAGTGGAGTGCAAAATTAAAGGTTTTTCTTCAATAATAAACTTGATCTAAATCACAAATGAATTTTTTTTAAATTTTTTATTCAAGATAACTTCAAACAATATAATATCAACAAATAATGATATGAAATCATCGTTTAGTTTTCGCACACCAGGAATACCATCACCATCAAATGAATTTAGTTCACCACCCATTGATGTAGATTTTTTCCTTTACTTTGATAATACGATTTTATCATCGAATTCAACTCAATTTCATTATATACCCGATGTTTTATTAAATGTTTCATCAAAACTTCCAATACTGCCTTATACAGGCGAAGAACTTAAGCTACAAGTAGAAAATCTCACTGAAGCAGCATCAATGGCAGATATTCAATTGTTTGTTGGTTGTACTGAATGTAAACTGAGAACATTTACATCAAAAGGAATTACGTGTCAACCACCAACTAAACTAATAACGAATACACCATTAATTCTTCATAATCAACCGGATGAAGGTTTGTTTTAATTAGTAAAAACGAAGAAAAAAAAGCGAATTTGTGTAGAATAAGATTGGAGATTAGCCTAAAAAAGATCATTTTCATATATTCAATCTTATACTATCATTTAAATTACATTTTAAATGGAAAATAAATAGAAAATATTTCAAATACATGATTTGTATCAGATTAAATATTTTATTTCTGATAAAAATTTTGTTTTTTAATACTTCATATTAAATTTACACGGACCAGCGAAATTTTTCTTCTGAGTGTCTTACAGACAAACTGTATCTCATTTCAACTAATATCATTTAATTATAGACCTAATACGCTTTATTTTGAGATCACAACCTAAAACGTACGAATTCATTACAGACTATGATAATTTTCTCTCTGAGAATGTATTAAAAAAAAACTTCGATATTTTCATCTTAAAGTGATTAGTTAATTTTCTTTTTTGATTCTTGACAGCATGTAAGATTCACTTTGACTATAGACTTTCGCATGAGTTTGGTTTTTCAAACAAAAGAGAAAATAATGAAACTTGTAAAGTACTACTTGAAATTATAGTATATGAAGAATAACATCATTGCAATACTTTTACTTGATGAACTATTTTGACTGATGAGTTGTCTATAATCCGTTCACTAGCCTATAATTATCAATAGAGAAAACCTAAAGTTGTCATTTTAATAAAATATGAAGTAAATCTTTGAATTTAAAATTTGAAATTAATTGTTTTTTTTGCTCTAGTTGCTTGTACATTACATAATTCGTCAATCGGTCCGATTCGTTTTCATATTGGTTTTCGTGAATATGTAATTGGTTATCTATCCTACATTCGATCACCATCATTATCATCATCACGTTATTCCGTTTCTACAATAATTTATTTATCATTAGCTAGTTGTCTTTTAACCATTGCTTTACTTACATTAGGTCTTTGTTTATATATTAAATTACGAAAATCAAGAGAAAAATCGTCTTCATTATCTCCAATAAAATCTATTGAACAAAATGACAAAGCATTTTGGTCAACAACAACATCAGCTATTGCTGGTCCTTATTATCAAGTCTATGAGCAAATCCCATCTTCATCATCTCACCAAAATACATTAACACGTGCTCCATTACTTTTTTGTCCATATCATCATCATCATCATCATTATAAACAAGAATATTCGACATTATCATTGATGCAACAATTAGAAAGCAAGGCACCATATTTAACTAATCTTTCGATTGAACATGAACAGTTGAAAAAATTGATTTTCACATCCGATAATACGTAAGTATTAAAATTGATTTTGTAATAGAAGGTAGAAAAAAAAAGATAATTGAAATATAGAATTACTAGTTTGAATCTTACTATATATACTTGATATCGTTTCGTTAGAATATATCACATGGTTACTGTAGTTTTGCTGAACTAAGTGATAAAACAATGAAGTGATTGATATCTGAGTTTTTACACATATTTTTTCATGGCATCTTTCATTTCTTTAAATGGAAAACCAGTCTGTGCTTATCAACGAGCGTGAGTGTTTTAAACTGATCTAAAATTTCCTTCAATAATCTTCTATTCTAATTTTGATTCTTTATCGATGTTTGGAAATCATATAATTAACTACCAAATAATAAACAAGATATTTTTTTCGTATTTGTTTTTCTTCGTGCCTGATTGCGACAATCTGAGTTGAAACTTAAAAAACGCCTTGATGAATATTTTACTAGAAAACGATGAATACCATCGAGTCAACATTCAATAGTATCAATATTACAAATGTGTAGTCACATTTAACAGGGATTGCATTGAAGAAGAAGATTTCTTTGATTTGTAGCTTTATGAAATATTTGTTAGCCACCAATTTAGGAACTGAAGATTTGTTTTGTGAGTATACATGAGTAAATTAACAAGCTAAGATTTATTTAGTTGAAGTTCAATAGAACTATTCAATTTTTACAAAATCTCGGTGTTTATTTTGATAAAAAGATCTATCGGAAAGTTGAGACTTAAAATTATCTAATCAAATATGTATTTAAAGACTTCACGAAAAGTGAAAGATTTATTCATTGGGCTTTTTTTTATCATTAATAGATATAATTTTTCGAATCGTCGCCAATCGATGGAATTATTTTATGATTTACTTGGCATGACTCCATTTTCTGAAGCATTTATTGATCACTTAGTAATAAATGATTGTCATGATCTATTGAAATATTATGGATATATATTTCGTTATAATCCGCTAAATTTAAAATCATTTCCACTAACACAAGAAATATTAATTGTCAAATTAGTTTCAACATTTTTATTTCAATCAAAGAATAATCTATATGAATTATTTTATGTATTCGATAAATTAATAAATTCATTAATTGATTTAATTGATAGTGGGCCATGTGATCAATTATTAAATCGTTCTGCGAATTCCATATCATCATCAACATTATTATCAAACAATATTGACTATAATTGTTTAGAATTATTAATTAATTATGAAAATTTAATAAGTTTTCAACTGCCCGTACTTGATTGTGATACCATTGATCAAATAAAGGAAAAAATAGTTCATCATTTAAATTCTTATGAACGAACATTCCATGAACAAATCGATTTAATGATTCCATTATCAAATATTTGTTCTTGTACGAATCAAATGCCAGTATTAAAACAATATTCAATAAATTCAACAATATTATGTCGAAAAAAATCTGCGTGGAATAATTTTTCAGATAAAGTAGAAAAGAATTTGTTTATGTATCATTTATGTAGAGAAAATCAATTAATTAATGATAAATATTTAATTAATGAGAATTTAAAAGCAAATAAGAAACGTTTACAAAAAGTTTTAAATAACTTTTATGAAGAAATTTTAAATGGATTAAAATTTTTTTCGATTTGGGAAAAACAAATTGATGATAAAAGCCAAAAAGATTTATTTCAAAAATATATTCAACTAGTTAGTGATGTTATCCGACGATTAAATACATTAATGATATGTCGATCAGCATGTCCAATTATTCAATCATGTTTAAATGTTATTGCAGATGGTTTAGAATTTATTTTTCAAACAAAAAATAAAGTAAAGTTTTAATCAATAATTTATTTTTCTTTTGTTTTAATTCTTTTTTTATTTTCATAGTTTTCATCCGAAATAGAATTATTATTTGAAGATGATAGAAAATATTTTTCTTCATTTGACACCAATCTATTTAAAGTTCCATCGTGTTCTCTCATTGATTCATTACCATCATCATTAGATATTCGATCATTGATACTTGATGATCATACTGCAATTGAATGCCTTTTTAAACTTTATCAGTTTTATGAGTTACATAGTGAACCGGTAAGTGTTTTTCATAACAATTGATCTGAGTTTTTTAATCAATATCTTAATTTTCATAGATCAATCAACATATTGGAGAAAACCATGTCAGCGTTTTATTGCCTGTTCACCATCTTCTTGTACAAATTCGTCAATTAATTAATTCAGATACAATGCGAACTACTACAACGATTATTTGAATGATGATAGCAATTTATATTATAATGAAGAGTATTTTTCGCCAAAATTTTGTGATCTTCTGAAAATCTGACTTTCGTTTGTTCGTTTTTTTTTCTTTTGTATTAAACATATGAAAACAGATATGCATACGTATTTCGTATGTTGACATAATTCAATCGCATCATTTAAAAAAATCCGACTGTACTAAATAATCTATTTCGAACATATATGTATATAGAATTTCGATGCATCTTTTACAGAAGATCTTCATTTTATGATTTATAGTGTAAAGTTGGACGAAATTCATTTCATGGATACATATTATGAGAAAGAAATATTAGAAAAGTAATGTTATTTAGATATGTTTGCTTATTTCAAAATGAAAGAGACATAGCTCACGTTTTTTCTCTAAGCTATTGGAATTATTAAAATGCGTTGATCGATATTGTAGTCTAGCTCAGAATAGATGAAATTATGAGAGTCTCTATACTTAGCGATCTATACTTACAGATTGATTTCGATTGATCGATTAATTATCTCCATGATTCATTATCTTAGATCAGCTGTAAATGAATAGACTATAGTGGCTAACATATGTTCATGACGTCACTTTAATTATCTTGCAACAAATTTCNTCGACATGATGAAATTCATCACTGAGAAAACTCTATTCTTACTTAGCGATATATTCTTAATGATCGATTTCGATTGATCGATTAATTATCTTCATGATTCATTATCTTAGATCAGCTGTAAATGAATAGACTATAGTGGCTAACATATGTTCATGACGTCACTTTAATTATCTTGCAACAAATTTCTTTCACTTTCGTCATTTTGAAACCACATTTGTGAGTGAACTGAATATCAGATTAAAGAATAGAAAAAATATGTCAGAAGTTCGATGTCGATACTTTCATCTGTCGTTTCAATGAGTTTTCTATGATTTCGGTTCTCGAGATCCTTCTGTCACAAAACGACGAGATGTGATTGGCTACGATCTCAAGTAAAAAGAAAAAAAAAACTCGCGACGGACTACAAGCATGCTGTGCTTTGCACCGCATTAACTAAATCATTTTTTGAGCAAAATCTTTTCCACACTGCTTCTTGGTTTTTGTCATTCGTATAATCGTTTTGATTTGAAACGAATGTTAGTTCTTTAGAATTTGTTGTAACCAAGAACATATATAGTTTTCAATACGATTGAGTGGCATTTTAAATCAACGAATTGGCGAAATATTTCAATATAAACTTGTATCTTTTTCTAAGCATTCAACAACTGTTTTATTTATTCAAAATGCTTAACAAGCTTCTTCGCCGACTTGAAGCTCAGTTCAAGGTTGCATTTTCAATGATTGTACAAATAACGATAAAAAAGAAACATATATTGCTTGTTAGTCAATTATAGGCGACACTGAAACACAGAGGTTAAAAATATGCTGTGATTAGCACTCACAAGAGATTAAACTGAGGACTCCATACGAAAAACAAAAAGACGGAAACATCGGATTTGCATCCGAATGTTATACGTACTTCGAAACAAATTATAATAAAATAGAATAGGTCACTGTTCACATAGAAAAGAAGGACATTTTTTGCGTAACTCAACAAATTCTTAACCGATTGCTTTCATCTTCGAACTCGACTGAGATATTCATGAGATTATTCTGTGTACAAAATTTTATGGTAATTAGATGAGGCTTTCAGAAGTTATCGCGTTAACGTACGGACGGCTGGGCGGACACACTGACCTAATCTAGAGTTTACTCACTTTTTGAGTACACAGTGAGGGTTTGACAGATTTTTGCCGAGATGTGTAATACTCCAATAGTAAATTATCACAGAAATCACATCAGCATACGACAAAAACAGATAAAGAAATGTAAAGTTCAGATTGATTTATTCAATAAATAACTGATATGAAACAAAAATAAATCTAAGAACAAAAATGCATGGAAAATTGAGACTTTCATACATTCTTATATTTAAATAAATAAATAAATAAATAAATAAACATATCTATAATTATATACAAAAAATGACATGAGAAATCACAAAACTGTATTATTTGTAGTATTATCTGTAGATTTTTGAAATTCAATTTCCATCATCTTCTGGGTATCTGCATCGGAAAATGATAAAAACCAATTCGTTACTAAATCAGATTTGTTCCATTTAGCATGAAATTCAATAGAAAGAGAAATATTAAAGACAGCCCTAAATAAATATATAAAAAAAAATCATTTTCATGTTTTCAAAAGTATTTCTGTCTTACCATCCAATTCTAGTTAATCGAAATGGTGGTTTATCTAGAATAATTTGTGACGGTACAAATGTTGGATGTAGATTAACTATAATCTGTTTAATAAATTGACCAACATCTTTTTGATGATCATTTTCAAATTTAATGAATAATGTCCATTCATGTCTTGTATAATCGTAATCATATGATAATAATTGATGTCTATTTCCAATAATTAAACGTTTTTTGATAATATTTTTTCTTTCATTCTCAGTTTCACTTTGTCGTATATCATATTCTTTCACATATTCTTGTCGGAAAAGATTGTGAAGAATCGAATTTGCTTTTAAATGTTTAGAAGAAGTTGAATGAAGATATGTCAAATCTTCGCGACATATAGGACACTGCAATGTGTGGTTTGATGTTAAAATAAAACGTTCTAAGCATAATAAACAAAATGTATGACCACATAATGTTGACACCGGTTCAAAAAGAAGTTTTAAACATATTGGACAGTCGCGATATGACACTAAAATATCACCACTCATCTAAAACTGAATAATTAAATGAATGAAGAATATTGAGTTTATTCTATTATAATAAATATTTTGTTTTCGTTAGAAAAAAAGCTCAAGAAAGAAAAGAGAATACATCGGTATAATGAGACTAGAAAGTAAAGTGAAACACTCGCAAATAGTAGTTTTCAATAACTAATCTATTTCGTGAAGATTTATTTTTGTAGCATGAAGAATCTAATTCTAATCAATGAGAAGGAAATATTTCCGTATATTTTTCTACAATTAATTATTTGTTGTTACTTAAGTTGCCGAGTTAAAGTGAGCTCTTTTTGACTATATGAGAAAATATTCTGTACATTCAATTGCACATGGTGATGATGAGAATGTTTAACTGTTAGAGTGAACAAGAAACGTACGCCAACATAGAAAAAGAATCAGCTATCACCATTGATATCCGAAGAAAAAAAAACTCAGATGTGCATTGATCATTTCATGACAATTTTCTGGCAACGATGAGCTAAGATAGAACAGCGATACTTTATTTATATTATTCATATCATTCATTGTTCTCATGAGTTTCTAAAACAAAATCATCTAGAAAACAATTTTATCAAAAAAAGCATTCATGCAAAAATCAGAAACATGAAAGTTAATGCCACACAACTATCACAGCCGGAAGTTATCGACAAAGTTAATTCATTTGCCACTAAAAAATACAAAAAAAGCTTATAAAAATATGTGACGAAATAATTCATTAATTAACTAACTCGAAGACCACCATCATTATTATTATTTTGTTTTTGCGCTTTCATTTGTTGCTCAATACGTTCTTGTTCAATACGACGCTGGTTCAACCGACGATATTCATCTTGATCCACACCTCGTGTCTCAAGTTGTTGTAAACGCTGAGTAGCTGCTGCAGCAGCTGCTTGCCTGCGAGCCTCCTGTAAAATATTGATTCTTTCAATAAACTATGAAAAGATATTTTTCGTCTAGCTAGTAAATATTTAGTTAATTTGTTTATTCATTTGTTTGTCAAAATATTTGTAGAAAAATAATTAGCAAAGAAACCAAGAAGCATATTATGTTTAGTTATATGTCGACGACAAAAAGTAAATACTGAGAAACAATGCGAATGATTTGAAATAAACTATTTGTTAAATAATGATCATCATCATCATCGACTTTGACTAGATTAATTTATCGATTATGTTTTTGTTGGTCAATAAAATTTCAACTAACTTCTATTGGTATAAGACGATCAAGTTTCCCATGTATTTATTGACATTGAATAAGATATTTGAGAATTTAGAGGATGATTTTTGTCTTATACCATCCAATGAAGTATAATATAATGGATGGCCCTTGTACGAAAATGATCCCACTAGTATTCCACTATTTAAATCATTATGGGATCTAATTTTACGCTTTCGGGCTGCTAGGTCAACTGTTAGACAGAGACGAATTAATCTTTCACACGGTCAGGATGAAATTCAACATAACGTGCAGTAATATAGTCATCTGAAAAAGAATTGTTTTAATTTTGTTCCAAATGAAAAACGACTATCTACCTATAGTTAAATCGATTAAATTAATTTTGATTTAATGTTGTTGTTTTTCAACTTATAATTTACCGATAACTTTAATTGCATTCGAAATATAGTGTAAATTCAATCAATGATCTTTGACTCGAATTGGGTTGTTCAACAGAAACACGAAAAATTGACACAAGATATTTTTCTATTTAATTCTCACCACCTGCACTATTAGCATCTCGAGTAAATTCGTGCAAAAAAAACCGAAGATTTCTGACGAAGAAATCATTGTTTTATGAGTTTTAGTTGAATTTAATCAAAACTATTTTTTTATTAATGTGTAGAATGGATGATCAAGAATAGAAGAATAGCAGACAAAAGAAGTAAAACAAAGATTCGAACAGATTTTTAGAATAAAAAAAATTCAAAAAATGTTGAAATACCGTGCTTGGTGTTATTCCAGTTCCTGAATAAGAGTTTTCGTTTGTGTTGGAGCGACGACAACAATCATGAAATGCGCCCATTATCAAAAAACAATTTGGTTATATTAAGACTATATGTTAAAGCTTAACTTATTTATTTTCGTTATGATCTACGATATATACAATAAAATGTAATGACGACGGTGCATTACTTAAAATAGACGATGACGATGGTTTGTGAGTCATTTTCTAAAAAAAACCTTTTTAACCTATGGCAATGAAGATTAAGTTACATATATTCTAGAAAAGTACGGCATCTATCACAATGTATTTTATAATGTTGAGTAGATTCAAGTGTTGCCTCATCAGTAAAAGCATGCATCGTGAATTAGGATTAGTTTTTATTAGAATTGTATCACTGTCATCAATAGTTCTTAGTATAGTTTTGATTGTTGATATTGTTATGCGAGAGGTTTCTTCGTGATGAATATCTCATTTTATATTTACCTATCAGTATTTCTGTACTTCGATAGAATAGAAAGTTTTTCTTCCGTTTAAATACATCATTCATTGATTTTATTGAAGTTGTCCAAAAGCATTGACATATAAAAATCAAATATTAGAATAACGAATGAAGCTATAGATTTATTTCTAAAATAGTTTGCATCATGGATTTAAGCAGAGAAAAGATTCGCTATATTTATTTTTCATTAAAATAAGAAGAGCTGCTTGTGAAAATAAGATAGATAAAATTGTAAGAGGTCATAGTAAAATAATATTTTTAGACGAGAATTTTATCTGTTTCCTTTTATGTGGTTAAATATAGATGTCAATGTCTAAATCATGAATCGAAATAAAGGCAACGCGCATAGAATCGTACAGCGAATCAATCGAACATACGTGTCAACATAAAAGAAAAAAAAGTAATGACATGTTGTGTCAATAGCAAAAACACACTAAGAAAATTTTGCGAGAGTATACGAAACATTTGAATAAAAAGCTGAAATCTTGCAGCTTTGACATACACAGAACGTGAAAAAAATGGCAACAACAGGGTTTAGTGACTTATACTTGGCATGTCGTAAGGGCGATATCGCTGTAGTTCAACGTTTGTTACCTGTTACTTCATTGGAAATTCTCAATCGTACAGAGCCAGATGGCAACACTTGTCTTCATGCTGCTGTTTCGTGTGGCCACAAAGAAATTGTTCGCCTTCTTCTTGCACGTGGGGCATATCGCCGTGTAAAAGATCAATATGGCAAAACTCCTCTAGAAGCAGCAAAAACAGATGAAATTGAAAAACTTTTTTCTCGATCAACAGATGCATCAAAGCAACGGTTTGGCATAAATCCAGCTAAACAACTCGAATGGCAATTTCAGAATGATCACGCTGAAACGTTTTCACGTGCAGTTCATTGGGGATGTATTAAGGATCGTGGTGTAAAAAAAACAGTTAAAAAAATTCAAAAGGCTGATATATTAGAAGATGATGGAGATCCATCAAATGAAGTTATAAAAAATTATTTCAAATGTGCACTTGAAAAGAAAGATCCACTATATTTGCTTAGAGCTTATACGACTGAAAGTCAATTTTACCGACGTCTAAATCGTGAGATGGCTACGGGTAATGATCGGGAAGTGTTTAAAAAACTATGTCGAAAATGGACTGGATTTTACACAGGCACCATTGCGAAAAATCCTCGATTAGATCACTTGCACTTTTCGGGACAAACATACAGAGGAATGGAAATAACTCCAGCTGATTATCAACAATACAGGATAGGTATTGCATTAGCAAATAAATCATTTCAATCAACATCAAAATCATGGAAAATTGCGAAAGGATTTGCTTGTCCACCAGAACATAAACCGGGAACAATACCTGTAGTACTGATATTTACAATAATTGATCGAAAATCTGCATTGAGCATTGATGAAATATCGGACTTTCAATATGAAGAAGAAGTTTTAATTGTACCTGGCACTTTTTTCATAGTAACTGATATTAATAAAGACCAAAACCCTCATGAAGTGGAATTAAGACAACTTGAATGGACTGATGAATTCTAGTTTTTTATTGTAAATATTCAGTTTTCTTATTGCATATATATTTGCCATTTAACTTGAAAAATATGCCTTTATATTACGCATTAATTAGTTTTTTTAAGTAAATAAATCTATTACAATTAAACATTTTACTTGCTAAGAATTTACTGTAAAACGAATTTTTATTACAAAAAAACAAATTTTTTATTATCTATGAATTCGTAGAATCATAAGAAGGAAGTAGGAATCAAAAATATATTATGATCTTATGTATAAATACTGAAAATAAAATATATACTGATAGAAAAAAAAGTGTACCTGATAAACAGCACTCCAGAACGATAGTATTTATCAACCAAAGAAAGAAATATGTGCATAAACATGTATTTTACATCATTTTGTAAAACACATCTACGTAGTTTATAAAGATTTAAGACGAAGTAAATTATAATTGCAGAATCAGACATTGATTTTTCTCGTGTACAAGATCTATTTAGAGTTTCATGTAGGTATTCATCAAATTATTCGGCTTGACACAATCTGTCTATAAAGTTTTCATTTACATAAATATGTAAAATATTGCATCGCTTCAATCTCAATTAGTTTCAAACTGCATTTCTACAATACAATATTTCTAAGTATTGAGAATATGAGTAATAAATATAGAGATCTAATCGTAGGAGTACTTCTATTTCTATTGGAGCTGTGTTTTTCTTTATATATAAGCCAATCAGCGAGATTAATCAACACATGCAACGCTTACTAGTGGTATAAAAACAACAAAACACTGTTTTGAGAAATAAATATGTTGATCGATGTAATATACAATAGTTTTCATCGTTTGAATTTAGCATATTATCATATCATGCAACAATTCATATTGCATCTTTACATGTAACCAAATAGATTATACATTTGTATTATTTTCAGGTACAAAAATGAATTCAATGACACACGTTCTAACTGTAAGAGTATAAAACAATAGATCAAATATGTCACAAAAATTATAAAATCGTCTTTTGTCTCACATGCAAAAAAACGGTTGTATAGATTGTAAAAATAATCTGCGAGTCGCATGCAATATAAATTATCATAAATAGCTTGGCTTTTGTTTTGTATGAAGTTTGTATTTCTGGTCTGAAATGTTCGTCAATAGTTATTAGTATTTCTATTTAATTCCAGTTCAGAAGATAAAAAGATTGAATTAGCTCATAGATATTGTTTATATTATTTGACGATCTAAATAGTCGAGTAAATCATGATGTTTTTTCAACTAAGAAGAAGTCTTATTAATGTGAGTATACAATTTAACACAAAATATTCGTAAATTATATTTGATAACATGAATTATAAGAATTGTTTCAAGTGCTAACTTTGCAAAATGACAATTACTACAATGAAAGCTACCGTTAAATAAGAAATGGACATATGTCGAATTGTTGCGTTAAATAAGAATATAATGCACACTGAGCGATATGACACCATAGTTACAATCAGAATTAACACTTACGAATCAAAACAAAAACTTTTATTTTTTTTCTAAAACTACATAATCATTATGATTCATTCATAATTAGAATAAGATATTTCTTCTACGATAGAATTTTAGCCTTAAATCATAGAGAATTGCCAAATAAAACTATGGTAAGTAGTTCAAAAGATGAAAATAATCACAGGATATAGCATATATGATATGATGTTCTTCTACGTTCTTGTTATAATTACTATTTTACGTGTTACTCAAAAACAGTTGCAGTTTACGCTGATAACCCCGTAAGAGAATATATATTCCAATAATTACATATAACATTTCTTACGAATTAAGATCACAGTCATTATGTAGTATACATCATAGTTCCAAATCTTACTGAGACGCTGTATTTGTGTGTTATTTACTCCATCAAAAACCGACGAGCTAGTTATTTCCATTAACATTGATATATGAAAAGATAGATATATTGTGATTTGGCATTTCAATTAAAGAATATTTTAATAAAGCATAAAACTATTTGAATGTACTTGTTTTCGATTTTATTACAATAGAAAATTTCACGTTTATAAATAATTGAAATGTGCAGAACCGCCATGTAAGCATTACAATCTTTCAAACTGGGACGACGCTGTATGTATGTTATTGTTTTTTCTCACAGCCGACATGATTTGTTTTTTCAACTCCTCGATGCCATCGAGAATTCGTTGTTGATGACTTGCATCGAGGATTCCATACTGAAAGAGTTTCTCGCGGTTAACATAACGGAGAAGATACATCCCATCAACCTTATATCGTTTCATGGTGAGAACATACTGTTCATATTCCTGACCAAAAGCCATAATCCAAGAACAAACGTCGTCACACGTTTCGACGCCGCTGAAAGCACTGGGTGCTATAGCATAAAGAAAACTTTTTAACATAGTTGTTTGAAAAATGCTTTGCAAGGTTATTCATATTAATATTTTTGGCAACTTAAACTATTTTTAATAAAATTTAGTTACAGGTACAGCTCTTACCTTGAATAATAGGTGCGGATTGTCTGTATTGCAGTGGTTTTGGTCGACTGAAAGGCATAGTATATTTCGAAGCTGGTGGTCGCTCAATAGCACGAGTAATATTCGAGTTATGCAGTGATGAAGAAGCAGTAGTGGTAGTAGGTTTTAGTAGCCTTCGATTCGGTTTATCGTATTCCTTTTGTTCTGTTTCAACCGTTATCTGAGGATTATGCTGTGATACGTATCTTTCACATCGTTCAGATCGATCTGCAGAACGTTGTCTTGACTTCGATGGATCTGAGGATAAGCGTGCTTGCAACGTTGAAGATGGTTCAACAGACAAGAGATGCGTAACAGGCTTTTCTTTAGGAGCGAAAGCACTTGACACTGTAGTCTGCGATTCCGTTCGAAACCACTGTTCGCCTGCGTACACAATCCATTCGCTCAAGCAGTTTATAAAATTTTTACCGTACAGATATTGCAACCATCTCTTAGGTAATGTCTGATACCCATAGTAGGCACCAGCTAATTGACCATAGATCGAAGCTGTTGTGTCAGTATCATCGCCCAGGTTTACAGCGGCGAGAGCACCGTACTCGAAAGAATCTCTATCATAACAAAAAGCCCATAAAGCGGCTTCTAGAGCACTAACAATAAATCCTGTGCCTCGAATGCCTTCGCTGTATCCACCTTCCTTTCGATAAGATCCTCGCATGATGTTCACAATCTCAGGATGCAGCGGCTTGTTATCGAACCAGTCTTTATGTTTCTCATAAAAATTGGCGTCAAGCAGTTGATTTTTCTTTTCTCCTCTGAGCGCTGCTACAATTAGAGCACCATAGAAACGACAGGCATCATAAGCACGCTGATCGCCGTGAGTAGGTGTTGCACTAAGTTCACAATAATCCACAGCCTTCTTTGGATCACGGTAGAAGAACAACGGAACAGGGGCAAGCCGCATTAAGGCACCATTACCAGCTACATTTGGTTCACTGCACATTACATTGAACTTAGTTAAGACTACCTTAGGTTTTAGATAATCCATTTGTTCAGTAGAAAGTTTGTATCGGTCACAGAATTCGAATTGGCGCCTTTCAAATTCAATCAATGATTTCTTGGTGGCTCCACCAATATCAAAACATTTTCCAGTAGCAGACATGTAACCATGATGAAACCACCATTTATATCGAACAAGTTGATCATAAGAACAAAATCCGTGGCATGTTATCAATGAATTTGCTAGACAAAGTGCCATCGATGTGTCATCGGTGAACTAAAGGCATAAGAGATGTAGTTAGTTAGTAGTAAGATTCTAAGATGATACAAAAGCTAGGCGGTTGTTTTCCAGAGTTTAAGTATTATTTGTTTCTATCAAGATAATCTAGGTATGACTGACAACGCATATATAATTATCAAAAAGCGTCATCGCTTCCTGTTCTTATCAGAGAAATGTTCTTATGGATCAAAAGTATATGCAATGAAGTCATTCTCATTGTTGCGTAGAACCGTAAGATTATTGAGAGCGAAAATGAGAACACATGTCTTCTTTGACGGTTGCTCTTCTCTTTGAGTGGATATAAAACATCAATTTTACATTCAATATAATATAGGAAAAGAATCTTTAAATGACACAACAATGGCAGAATCAAACGATCACATGATTTTGTTAGACTCGCGATATTTAAATGCCGATGAATGAAGGTGCTAGCACTCACAACTAAAATAATTATCTATTAACTGTTCTAATCAAATGGTTTCTCTATGGGTTGCTATAAATTTTTAGTGAACAAATTGATTTAGTTGAGAAAACTGAATTAATTTATTTAATATTTATTTCTAAAAGAGGTATTTTCGGTTTTCTTGAAGAAGAATAAAGATGGAGAACTTTTTAAAAAGATTTCAATGCTCATTGGTAGTACTTCTATAGACAGAGTATTTGTTGAAAATTTATTTCAATATGAATTAATCAATTTAGAAAATAATTTTAACTAGTACATTCAAATTTTTAAACTCAATTTATCCACTGTTTTCATTCTTTAGTTCTGAAATAAATAAGATGGTCTTGAACTTTTATTTTATTATAGTTTTTATTCTTTAGTACAATAGTTCATAATTAATTCTACATCGACTAAGTTCTTACTTCATTTCTATACGATTTCAAATAGACCAAAACGACCTATTTTAGTCGGTTACCAGTAGTATCAATATGACAAACGTACATTGATTCAATTATCTATGCCTCCTATCTTATTTCTTTTTATGTGACCTATTTGCACGTGGTTATCTTCAACTTGCTCATAAATAGATGTTTATTTATTTTTCGCCAATACCAAAACTGTTCAGAGAAACTTTACAAAGCTTCTGGGAATAATTTAGACGACTACAGTAAATACTGTTGAAGATGAATTCCAAGGGAATATTCAAGATTACTCACTGTGATATGTTGTTTTATATTTATATACGCACGAAAGTATGAAGCGCTGCATTTGAAACCAAAAAACGTTCATAGTGCGCTCTAGAAAGATTTTTAGTTTAACGAGATATTCCTCGTGTAGAGTCATTGACAATGAAAGATTATACTACAAAGGAAATATGTATAAATTGAGCATTGATAATTTATAGAAAAATAACGAAATATTGTGACACTAACATTGAAAATGAAATGAATCTGACAGACAAAAGGATCACTATCGTACTTCAGTTCTGAAAGAAATTATGTTCAATAATTGATACTATTGCAACAGATGAAAATAACTTTGCATTGAAGTTAATTTAATAAAAATTTAACAAGAATGACAATCACGCAAGCAATGACATTATTCTTTGTGCTGATATTTTGCAACAGATAGAATCTATACCAGATACTGATCTGAGCATTAAACGGCCTAATTATTAATTTTATTTATCTTATTCATTTTCTATTTTTTCTCATATGAGCTCATCCAAAGTTTATATTGGTTTTATCATTATTCTTAGATTTCATGCAATGTATTTTGTTTTAGCAATACGTTATATAACTGAACAGTCACCGGTAAATAGGTTCTATCAGGTATCTTCAGAACTTTAATTAAGCTGACTATTTATAAGAATCTTTAATATTCGTCATTCTGAAATATTTACTTGATTCATTATCGATAAATATCATCCGAGGCAAGCACTTCCGTCTCATCTATTTTTTTCTCTCGAAATATATTCAATACATGAGATGAACTGTTGATATTAAAATAAGAATCTACACAGAAGAAATCATCTATATAACTCATCTGTTGTAGGTTATATTGAAGGAGGGTAGGCACATCAATCTATATTTTACAATGTTGTTTTTTGTTCAAAACTCTAGACACTCACTGAAAACTAAAACCAACAATTTAAAAAATGTAGGGATTTCATAGATCTTTCGAATCAACAGCATTTCTAATTGAAAGACAATGTAAAAAATGAGAATATTAAAATTTAAAAAGTTCTGTTTACTAGAGTAACTAAATGTTCTATGTAACTTTTATGCCAAAAAACTGTAATGAGAAATTGTGCAAGTGAAAAGTTAGTTTTCCAACATATATGAAGATTTGATTTATGTTGAAATATAAAGCTGAAAAATATTTTGTTTTCCAGTTATGACGTCCTTTTGGCAAGCACTAATGAAGTCAGTCATAGAGAAATCCGTATGTATATAAATTACCTCTCCTTTATTGAGTCCCCAAGTACCACCACCTTGAAGATCTTTCACTGGTCTCACAGCTAAAATATCATGAGGCTTAAATTCAACATGAGCACCAAGAGCATCACCCAAAGCCAAGCCAGCCATAGAACCCAACACACGATTGAGTATTACTCTGTCAATAGACCCTGGTACACACTCGAGTTCCTGTTCGAGTTCGTGAATCCTCTTGACTACAGAGTTTGGAGAAACTTCAATGTCAAGCCACGTTTTTTCTAAAAATAAACAATTTGCTTATCGCCCATTAGGTAAGTTATATTGTAATGGGAAGATATTTCTTCGATGAATAGTTAAAATAACATCTGTTATACAAAGAATGTCTATAGGTGATCTATTGAAAGTATTGTCAAGAAAGTGTTTAGAAGTTTTTTGTCTGTGTCACAACAAAAGTAGATAAAACTTTTTATATCAACGGCAGCGGCACCATTATCAAAAATAGAAATTGAATTCTAAGTGTAGTACAGCAAATTATTACCAATGAACGATTAATTTTCTTATCCTCTATGACATTATTGAGTTATATGAACTACGTAATAGCTCTTTTTGTTGTGATTCTTGGTTCATTGTATGAATTCTTATGTAATTTGTTTTTCAAATTTCATTTTTGATAGCAATCAGTATTAATAATGATATTGATATTCGTTAAGAAGTTGTTCATTATCTGCATGTTCTTATTGAACACACAAAATTTTAAGTTTCTCAACGAGCAAAAATCATATTGAATCTATGAAAAATGAATTATAAGAACGCATCGAATTTTCTAAAGATTACTGAAGAAGAAGAAAGAGCGAGGTGCCTTTGTTGTTTGCCAGTATACTCTTTTGTAAAACACGATTTAACAAGATTGTTGAAGAAAAGAAATGAAATTGGGAAAAATCAATGCTGTTCTCTATTTCCTACAGGTTCGAAATATCTAATCTCGAAAAATTATCGAAGACTGCGATATAAACCCTATCAACACTCTTTTCCTTGTCATAGGTTATATATCAATCAAGTCTTATGATAATATGCAAAACAATCTATTATTATTCTAGAAAATTAAAGAGCTTAATAGAAAAGGAATCGATTTCAAGATAAATAAATAGAATACAACGGTCACTGTGTAATTAGCAACAACAACAACACGAGAGTATATGTCGCATTTTGTGTCACAGAGTTTGTGCTAAAAGTTTCTTAAAGCTGTCAAGCTTTTCGACGACGTACAGCGACGACACAATATTCACTTTATTCTTTTATGTTTACCGAATATCATGAAAAATAAGTAATATTAAAGTACCTTGTCGAAATACATTTCCTTTTTGACGTCTTCGTGTGTCCATGTTTGTTCCTAAGAAGGATAAGATAATTTCGTTTTTTCTTGTATATTACTCCGTTTTTTTCCACAATTTGTTAATGCTGTTCGATGAAATATTGCTTGCGTATCTATGTTATTTTAAAGTTTTACTAGAATGCGACGCTCTTTGCTATTCTTCTTTTCTCTTGACTCATTCCCATAAGATAAAATAAGTCATTAAAAATAAATAAAATCATTCAAGTGGAAAAAGCAGGTATTCGTACATATGACAAAAAACCCCACATCCTTAGGCAGTGATTCTGAGAACACAAAAAATTAAGATAGCAAAAATATTGCATTATTATTGCTTCACGCACTACGCCATTCGTTTAGACTGCGACGATATTTTTCTGACTGCACATGTGTGAAGCGCATAGACGATTTTTCGTCATGAACATGTTTTATTTAGTGAAGAAACATCTATGAGAAGTTATAAGTTTACGACGAGACAATGTCGAAAGTTGAGAATCAAAGAAAAGTGATTCAAAGTCATTATTTGCATATTGAGATTAAGACAATATTTCCTGTTATCAAATTTTTAGTAGGAAGTTCATTTTGTTCACAGAAAACCAAGCAGTAAGAGAAATGTTTTGTGTTTTAGTGTGTTAATTAATACTTGAGTTGTTTCACATGAAAAAAATGTGAAAATTTAATCTTTACGGTACAAGTTTTATGGGTTTAATAACATTAAATATCAAATCTTATTGAATGAATCATCTATACGAACAGATAATCACAATTTTTTCCTAGTGAACTACGCCGCTAGTCAATCGCAGCATCTTCAATTTGGATTATCATCTAAGCAATATTGCTGCTTATCTTATTGCTACGTGGATAATAACATGAAAATTATTTTTGTGATATCATTATTTTTCGAGATTCAATTTTATTATATTTACATCAAACACTATATCATACATTTTTTCAATATGACTTTTTTTTGAATTAGTGATAAACGAGGCCGTGTATCGATAGAATTTTTATAAATATTATGCTTATTGTTATTTTTTCGACAACTGTGAATTTATCACTATTGTTACGATCACCAACAACTAGGCAATGTGTAGTTTCTGTGTTTTTCTTGATTAGTTGCTGCTGTTAATCTATATTGTGCTGTATCAACATTATCATTATGCATTAGGCGTCTTTTTCGGTTGACCTTTGTAATTCATTTTCGTTGTAAACACTCTTGTTGTTTTTTGTCAATAAATCTTACGATATTTTTTTCTACTTCATATACAGAACAAGTGTATTTAGTGTAACAAAATATTGCAATGATGAACTCTTACTGCATAAAAATAAAAATAAAAATACTGAATTTGAAATTAATTCTCAAACTTTGAAATATGTAATCATTCCGACTTAAATTTGAACTTGAATGATTCATGCCTACTTTAAATCTAGTGTTTAATAAGAAAATTTTGACTAATTAGTAACAGCAGCTTAAACAACAGAAAATCAAACAGTATGCTTAGTCACAAAGCACCATATAGGATATCTTAACTAACTCGATAACTAATGGCAAGAATCTGACAGCTTCCCATCCGTTCCAATCGGGAATAATCGAATTTATTAACAGAGTTACAATAGAAAACTATTGGATTCGATGATTTTCAACAGTCTCAATTAGCAAATGGCGAAAAATATACGCTACATCTATAGTCTTATGAAATCTCTTCGGGTATGAACATGAAAACCAGAGATTATTTGTTTGTTCAGCTTGCATAATTATCGTTCATTCAACCTCTAAAGTGGAGTAATATGAAAACTAACAATTTAAAATGCACTTTTTGTATTCTATATGTCATTCAATTGTTACAAAACAAATCTAATTGAGCAAAAGCGAATATAAATAATTATGTTGTTTTTACTTAAGATCACATAAATAACTATGTAGACTTCAAGTAAATCTTAATCAGAAAACAGCCAAGATCAGAATATAACTTAAAACAATGGAACCAATTTTCTGTTCAGTGTCAAATGATCGTTAAACAGAACGAGCAATTAATTTTGCTAGAAAATATATATTTCCAACTCGACTAATTTTAAAAGATGTTTCTGTTGTCACAACATGATTATCACATGTTAATCTACTGAAACAAAGCTACTATTGTTTTTGTTAAAGACTAAACGAATTCTATTAGTCTTAGATGAAAACATCTTTATTTCAGTATACACCTATTTTAAAGGCACACGCAAATGTATGTGCATATGCTCTCTTCTTTGTCGATCATGGTTCTATATAAATCACAATCCTCTTACAAGAAACAATAACAATCAATAAGCAAGATCAATGTAAGTAAAACAAACTTTGCTCTGAGTTTATTCAATGTTGTTCTTCTTCATTAGAATAAGAATAATTATAAGAAGAAGAAGAAGAAGAAATAATAATTCGAGTAAATGAAGACACTTTTTATTAGTTGATTAACAAATCATTGTCATTCATCTAGTAATATTCATTATCATTACTATGACTTAGAGTTGTGTATCGAATATTCATGAGACTATCAATAGGTGCTGATATGCAAATAACATAGAAGATATCAGATGTTTCATTGTTACACTATTTAGTTTTGTTTTTTGATCAGAATAAGCATCAATTAATATGTGTTGTAACTAGTAATAGGTTTCTTATTTTCATTTCATTTCAATACAATAACTATTCCAAGATAAATCAAATTAGTTTATCCTTCATGTAGAAAGCGTTTTCGAAGTACGAGTCTCAATATGACCATCGGTGAATGATTCCATTAAGCCCTTGATAATATTATTATTAAAACGTGATACATGCCTATCTATTGAATACAAAGTCATCAATAGTATAGATATTGACTTGTATATTTATGAAATTCATATTCAGGCATGTTTTTTTGCATTAATTGTCTCTTTACTAATATTTGCTTTCAAATAGCCAGAATTCTGATATGAAAATAGAAAAATTGATTAGGCAAATGTTATTTAAGAATCTTACGGCGCACGCATGGAATTTAGGTGAAGCAATTGAAAGATGCAGGTCTATTTTTATGTGAAGATGAGAAGTTTTGTTCTCTAACTTTATCTAAGTTTACTTTTCAAAGTAACGTAATGTTCAACTTCACCTCGTAGACAGTTTCTCGCTGTTCTTTATCTTTATAAAATACTTTCTGTATATCATGCACATCGCTTGAATAAAAGAAAACATGATATAGCTACTAATCTTTATTATAGCTCCTTGTTTGCTTTCGCTGTTGACTATGCAGCTTTTTTGTAACAAATAAGAACTGATGAATCATCATATACAAATACTGAATACGATTCTGAATAAGAGCAAAGAGTCTTGCTTTTTATATGGCAGACAAATATAAGAAAAACGAACGAAAAAGTATGATAACGCTAATGTCGACAATAAAATGTTTTGCGTTCTTATTTTTATTCTACGACATACACACAGGTGAAAATAGTACCTTTTTTTTAAGAAAGAAAGATGTTGGAAATTCAAAACTATATTTATTAAACGAAAACACCACCGATTAAGTGGATTAACAGACGTTTTGTTTTCTTTTGAATTTTTTGCTATTTCCATTATTTCACTGAATCCAAAATCTTGCTATTTGCTGTAGTTGCATCATCGCTACAACGACCACACTCACAACAAGCTAAATGTCTTTAAAACAAGAGCAAAATCAAAAATTCGGTCTACGAACAGGTCTGACAATGTTCAATAGCCATATGGTACCTACCAATGCTTCGGATAACACAGAGAAATCCCATGATGAATCATGCACAAAGAAAGAATCAACGTTAGCTAACAATGCATCATCTACAAAAAATTCTGTTGTAACTTCGAATACTCCGCCACCATCTAGTGTTAAACCAGTTGGATCTAACAAGTTAGATAGTTTCATTATTTTTGTCTTAATTTAATCATTGATCTACTTAAAATTAGATTCTTCATGCCAAACAAGAAATGACTGTGATGCAAATGTTGACTTCGTCATACTTACCAATATAAATATATTTTGACATAACATTACATCATGTGTTGCAAAGAAACAAGCCTTTTCGCAATTATTTTAATTTGATTAACTTTCAGACAATAAATGTCAAAATAAAATTACCTAAACTTGAAAAAAATTAAGCTTATTTTGATTTAAAAGAATCGATAAGGAAAGCATATTATTAATGCCATGTTTTGTGCATTAATGAACACAAATCGACAAATTTTAGATTGACTTATTTTTCTGAAATTTTCATGGAACATTGACGAACAGTGTTGCAAACTGCCAAGCAAATACTGATTCATCGATTTTGATAACAGCACAATATATGAAGCAAAAACAAAATAATAGTACAGCATAGTTTTCTGTAGTTTGCTTTTGAATTTTTAAACTTTTCTCAAAGTGCACATTGAATAGATAAAACTGTGGTAAATGAAAAAAGATCTTCAATTTCACTTGTATCCGTGATGACTATGACTATGGCTATTTTTCGAATTTTCTCTGTTGAAAGACAACAGAGTATGTGGATCATACTGTACAAGTGTTGGAGAACTGAATTTAAAAGGTTAATTAACTTCGTTTCTAGTACCTCATAAAATCAGTTACTGCCAATAAAACAAGATGTTAATTTCAACTGAAGATGGAAAAACTAAATTTAATACCCTCAAGATATTTTTTGGGATGAGACCAAGATAGAAACAAAAATGATTGATTCTAATTGCTGTTAAATAAATCTCCAGAAAACAGCGCACCAGAGAAGACTACGGAGTGTATTCTAAGTTGAAGGCCCCTCGGAATTATTTAGTTTTCGTTTGACAGAATTATAATAAGATTGAACCTAAGGCAACACTTCTTTGACCACGACTGTTATTGAGACCAAAATATGATAGTGTCTCTCGTGTTTACTTCACACTCGCTAGTATGTCTGTATATACAGCTGAAAAACAGTGAAAAGTGAGATAGATTCATATGTTGAATCCCGATATAAAATGCCCACAAATATTGTATATTACAGGCGCCTTTGTGGCAAAAAATCGTTACGGTAACGCAGTCACAGTGATAGCAAGTTTCTCAAAAGACATCTTATTCTGTTGTTTGAGAAATTTGATGTATGTGGAGAATTATTTACTTAAAGATTTTGATTAACCAAAATTCTTTCACTAGACAAGTACAGATTATGTTCATGTAACTCTAGCGCAAATTCTTGTTTTACTTTCTTACCGAACCAATAGATATCCATCAAGTATATGCGCTGTTTAGTGAGCAAATCATGGTCTAAGAATGGATTTCCAAAGTTGTGGCAGAATTAAGAATAAAACTGGTGAATGACCAAACCACTTACTTGAGGGTGTGAATGTGGCGTCTCCTACTGGATATGTGACATTCCCTGTGGAAAAAGTGGACAGTTCTCGAACTTTCTGGATTTGTGATACCACTCCATATGAAAGAACATGCAGTACTTTTGGTTAAAAACAACAACTATTAAAACACCAAGAAGATTCTCAATCTACATGTGCACCATCGTCAATATCTGCCATGCCATGCTCATCATCAACAACATCAATTTTGATTTCTAAGTTTTCTCTTTCAAAGAAACAATAAATGATGGAAATACATGATAGAAAAAAAATCGAATTACTAGAAAAATGTAATGTGAACAAGTATTAGAAAAAATATCTCTTACATCAATATTCATAGCATAAGATGAAGCGGAACATGATACACTATCGCATTTAAGGGAGTATCAAATATTATTTCCATTAAATGCTGTGATTGCTCGTGTTCTATTAGCTATGCCCATCTGAAATACATCAGTAGATCAATATTTTTTCAGAAACTGATGTTCAAATCACTAAATAAGTCATTCTTGATAATGTGAATTTCTACGCTTCAAAAATGTGCATTGAAGTACATCCTATACCTCACTGATTATTGTTGTAGAACACATTTGATTTGGGGTTGATGTGTAAAACGACGGATTTCATTACGTGCTTTTTAAGATTTTCATTCGTAAAAATGTCTACTTCAACAGATCCTATTAGTTTTGATCGATGCTTGTAGTACTTACAAAAAATGAATATTTTGTTACCTCTTTTATTTGAAAAACTCTCGAATTTTATAATTCAAGCAATGGAAAATCAACAAGTAGTTTATTTCTTGATTTTAATAATGCCGATAATTACTTGCGATTTTTTTCCTATTCAATCATACTACTGAATAATTAAATTTGATTAGCGATCTAGTCTCACGAGAACAGTAGTACTTTTGCAACAAGTAAGCGTTTTAGAGTAATGCATAAAACAAAAAGTTGAGTTGATTAAGGGTACTGTATCACACCACATCTGATTCGGATGGTTCATGAACAGGCTTCGTAGCGACCTGAGTGTAAGATATAGGTAGGATAAGATTTTGTCGACAGAATTTTTATAGGATTGCTAGAATAATATAGGAAATATATACGATAAGCTTTTTTAGTAAAAACCTTAGATAACAGATTTAATTAAGATGGGATATTCAAGATAAGGAAATTTAATACGCAAAAAAGCAAACTATAACAAAATAATGCAAGTACTTCATTTTTTAACAAAAATACTAACTTTTACCTTTATGAAAATAATATAAAATAGAAACATAAGAAAAAAGTATAGAAAAACGCATTTGAAATTTTTTACATAAACAATATCTATAAGCTTGTTCTATGGTTATTCTCTTTAAATAAATAAAAAAAACTGCATAAATCATATGTAGAAATACATAAATTACGAATAGAAAATTGTTTTACTTAAGATTGGTATTTGAATTAGCTGTAGTTTTTGTTTCTTCATTACTTGCTGTTTATTAAATGCAGATTTTATTTTTCTTTCAATATCAATCAAGTCCGTTGTAACTTTCAATAGTTGCTCACTGATAACTTACTTATATTATTGCCACCATCAATCTATATAGTAGTTTTCCCAGTATCAAGACTATCCTCCTTAATTGCCTTCAGTATCTGTTGACATGAATTGATATTGCACAGTAAAGAAAATTTTAAAAACTAGTCTAGATAAACACATTATTTTACACTTTGCAAAATGAAATTCACATCTGATTTATGATAAAATTCCAGTCTTGTGCAAAATTGCACAAAGTACATTTATCAGTCATCTATCAATGACAATAAACAAAAAGGACAATCTCATAGTAAATATGTCGATAGATATAACTCACAGACATAGTGTCACCAGCTCTCATTCTTTTTCTTTATATGTCGTAGCTTTTAGGTACATACTGAAAAATCTCGAAGCACCAGAATAGTTACAAAAACTAGAAAATTGCGATTTTTGCTAAAATGTTAAAGAACAGCAGTCAAATTTTAGAAGAATTCGAGTCATCATAATTTATAGAATTCTAGGATAGAGAAGCTAATACTTCAACCAGAGGTAGTACTTATAGAGAGCTACTAGATAAAACATTTTGAGCAAAATCTGACGTGTAGTGCTCAAGAAAATCGAAGTCCAATACACTGTTTTCAGAAAGCCTCGTTTTTTACAGGTCGTAAATTTCGACTAAAGAATGTATTCTGAAAATCTAATCGAACTAATTCGAATTGACATTGATTAAGCTTCATTTTCTTTCCAATAAATTATGTTCTCCAGGTCTATATGAAGGTTTTCTAGACGCCTGAAGTTTAGCAAAAATCGCAATTTTCTAGTTTTCCCAACTACTCTGGTGCTTCGAGATTTTTCAGTACCTACCTAAAAGCTACGACATATAGGCAACTTTGTATGCTCTATCCACTGGCATAATTAACCTTTTCCTATTATCTTCGAAAAAATCAAAAGTTGCCGATTTCTAGGTTCGGCTTTGAAGAAAATCGTGTTTTGAGCCCTCGAGATGCACCATTTAGCGCATGGTTTTGTGAGAAACGAAATATGGTTTCATACATAACTCGACATGGACTACAACACTAGCATAGTTAAATCGTGCCGGGAGACTGTCGTGCATATAGTGGGCGAAGCTGTGTGAAAGCATCCCGATATGTTTCTGTCCTGAATTTTTAGTCAAGGTTTATGCCCGTATTCGAAAAGCTGAATACAGATTCCAGCAGAATGAAGCCATTTTTAGATAAAGACGCCTACATTTTTTAGCGCATCTACTTAAGCAAGTCATTGAATAATGGCTTTAACTAATTTGAAACTATCTTATCTTGTAGAGCTAATTGAGCTGAACATTTTGGTATTTTTTTTAAAGTCTAAAAATAACTGCGCTAGGGCTAAAATACAGAAAAACCCAGTTTTAGTATTTTCGGTATAAAAAAAATTTTACTGAGGCATTTTAACATTGTTTTATACTAAAATAATCAGCAAAACCAGCTCTACCAAACTAAATGAAAACAAAAAAAATTGGATACTTTTTTTTTTTGGTTGAGTTCGCATGGAACAACCCATTATATTTATAATTTTAAAATTTTGTAGTACTTATGTAAAACTTATAAAAATGGGAGTTACTCGAGTTCTCAATGTTGTATAAAAATACACTTAAGTATTATAAACGTCAGGTTTATTTTAATTATCCATTTTATAAATCTGAATAAATAGACTTAATTAATCGGATATTTTTTGACAAATGAATATACAGAGTAATTATACATTTATATAAAATAGTCATTTTTGAGACAAGAGAATTTTTAATTATTACACCAGCAGAATTCTTGAAATCTCTAGAATTCGAAATATCTAACGATCAAATTGTATTGTTTTATTCTTCTAATAGACTCATTGACTTTAGTATACGAATTGTTTTTCCTATATAGTATGTCAAATCAAGTCATAAGATGAAAAAGGAATGTAATATTCATCAATTACGTCCACATAGTCTATTGATATTTATTTCTATTCTTATTGGTTCTTTCATATATAATTTTTCTTTCCCAAGATTTACATTTTACCTTTTCTTCCTATTCAAACAAAACTTGAATAGAAGTTTTTGCTTTCATTCGTCACTTAACATAATTGTATTGATCTTTACCTAAATCTTAATCATAGTTCTTTCAGCCACAAGATTTGAAAGAAAACAGCACAAAATAAATATTAGCAACAATTACTATGAGTTGTATCAAAACTTTCATATTGCGTGCTCGTCGCCATCAGACCAATTCAAATTTAAAGTAAAAAACACATTATCAAACTGTATGAAGATACACAAATAATCTTTACAAATACAAAATAATAAAGAACGTTGAAAATATAAGTATTAAGCTGATAATCGTACTCAAATTAAATATATATGTATATATTTGATCGATTTTTCCTTGATACTAGATGGAAAAATGACTCGCTTTCCTATAAAAAAAAACCTGATTGATTGGTTCTATTTAGTATCAGGATATCACTTTATCATATTGAATTTATTCAATTTCTATATCTGCACAAGCCAATTGCGTATTAATTAGAATGCGATGAAAACTATGCTATTTGGTAAATAAAATAAAATATTTTTCGTCAGACTGCAATAGATCATCATGATTATAGTTGCTTATGATATAAATATTTAGTCAGACAATAATAAAAAAATAACTCTTAATTGGTTGTATTGTCAAAATCTTAATCTAAAAATTATAATTTGGAATTTAAAATTTAAAATTTAAAATTTAAAATTAAAATTAAATATTTTGGTGTATAAATTATGTAAAAAGAAAACGGATTTTAACAGATTTTTAACTTAAGTATATTCATATTGATAGATTAAATGCCTAAAAGTATGAAACATGTGAATGTAGGCGTTAACGATGTGAAAAAAAAAATATTTACATGTTTATTTAAATGTTGAAAAAAATAAACGAGTGTTTTTTTTTCAAAAAAAAAGAATTCGACCTCTTCTTTTTACATTTTACTTTAAAAAAAACAGTCAGTAACACAAGAAAGCAATCTCATATAATGTCCTATGAAGAAAATGCAGCTCGAGCTGGCTATACCAATGAATTTGTAAGCGACTCTTGTTTTTCATGGTTATCTTAGTAAATTATTCTATCAAATAAAAATAGGGTCAACCAATTGGTAATGATGTTGATAAATGGTTTAAATATGGTGTGAAAACAGGAGGACCGTAAGTTTAAATCCAATCATTATTCAATTTCTAAGCAAGAATTTCTCTTTAGAGAATTTGAAACAGGATTTTGCACAAGAACACAAACATATTATATTCTATTGTTTGTTGTTGCTTTTATCGTTTTGGCTACTGTTATTATAGTGCCTATCATTGCTGGGAATGTCAAAAGCAGTTGAAACGGTTAATACTGCAATACAAAAATATAAAATACAATACTTCAAAAATGTACTTCGTTTTATTAAATAATTGAATGTGTTTTCAAAAATAAAATAAAATCATCTTTTTCTAAGCTTTTATATTTATATTTACGTTTGCTTGAGTGACTATGTAGTAAAGTTTTGAACAAAACTCATTTAGTATTTACAAGAAATAGTGTCAAACATTAGATCAAAGTTTCCAAGTATTGTTTTTTGTCAGAATAAACATACATTCACTGTGTAGAATGCAGTATTTAATACATTGAATTATGATGAAATTTAACGATCATACGTCAATTATAAAGCTTTTTTGTTTTCGAATACATCTCAAGATTTGAAACTGTATATGGGGCAAGCTAATTTCTGCAATATTAGTACATTCTAAAACGATGTTCTTCATAGTGAAATCGTTTAATTTTTTTAAAGCTACTGCACTATATGATACACTTATTAAAATGAACTCAAAATATTCAACTTTGAAATGATTTCTGAATTCAATAGGATATTCAGTGTTCGACCGAATGCGCTCAATCTCTTTCATTTTAGTGTCTCTCAGTATTCATTGACGCGTTTAAGTCATTATCCTAAATACCTATGTCTAAAATCTCGATACCAGAGTTATGGATCTGATCAATATCCGTCTTGTTCTGATAACTTTTTACTTGGCAATCTTCGATCGATTTCAAGAGCTTTTTATAAAAATGTAGTCATCTATGTAGTTTAACCTAATTCTTTTATTGTTATTACCGCTATGTCATTAAAGTTATAACCGTTATGTCCTATTATTTGTTGATGTAATCGACCCCTAACGATTAATATAATTTTATCTTGTGTGACATTAATTTCATTTCGAAGATAATTTTCACATTATTCATGCTTGTCAGATGTTTTCATTTTCAGATACTCACTCAACTAACGATTTAAGTTTCTCTTGTCGTTTTATTTTCTTGTGTAGAATCAAACATTGAATAGTTTTCTTTCGCAATCTCATTAAGTATGTTTGTTATTTTAATGTTTCAAAACGAAAATGTGCATACTCTTCTTAACAAATTACATAATACGTGGAATTTATTCGTAGAATCTCTTATACTAATGCACAGGAACGAATGATAAAAGCAAATGCATGAATCAAGGAAATATTTTCTCTTAGATTTTCCTGAGATCTTTCTATTAAGCAATACTATTAGTAATGAATAACTTTTATTCTCTTTAACTGATATCAACAAAAACAGATACCAAACCGAGAATACTTATTCATGACAAAACAGCAGTTTCTTCATATTGACTAAGATATTAATCAGACAGAATATTGTGAAATCTATTTACAGAAAATGCACTGAAATTAGTTCGCCAGTACGATACAATTGAACGATATCAATACTAATTAAAGTCTCTCTGTAACGTAAGAGAGACTAGCCAAAAATTGCGTCAGTATTGAGGCAATACTAATGCGTTATATATTATTTTATGTCAGCAGAACTGCTCTCACTAAACGCTCATTGAACAGCTATGCTCCCCAAGACAAGGACTAAAGAAATAGGAAAACTTGTATTTTTTAAATATATAAATCCTTGATTCACAAAATAGTGCGATGATTGTGTACTATACCCTTTGCCTGCATCGAAGTGACATCTACACATCAGAGATTAAAAACATATTTATTATTTCGTAATAAAATCATAAATAATTGAAAGCACATAGGTTTTCATTAACAACATGAGAAATAAAACGAAATATTGATTCATCATTGTTCAGCATCATCTCTATTCCATAGTTGCTCTTCACCATTAAATAAAATACAATACATAATACAACCAAAAAGACATACACTGGATGATACATTAAAAATTGATTTCCATGCTTCCAACGTTTGCTATAGAATAAGAGGAAAATCAATAATAAATTTCAACTTTAAATAAAGTCTTACATTATGATTTGTCATCCATCCAACAAAAATCGGGCCAACAAAACCTGGTATTGCAGCTAACATATTCGTGATTCCCGTAATTGTACCTAATTATCGCTTTACTCATCTATATTTTTGTTATCTTCATTTCAAACTAACCTGCATAATTACTTGCAATATCTAAGTGCGAGATAAGACTCCCAGATCCTTGAAATCCAATAAATCCAACTGATAGAGAAATAAAAATAACAGCTAAAACATGATTGCATCCAACAGTACCAACTAGAAACAGAAAAAACGACGTTCCGCATGCTCCTAAAAATAAGAAATAACATTCAATCAAGACAAACAACAAAGTGATTTCTATGATATACCAATAATTGTTTGCCATCGTCTCGTAGCTGTTGTTGATAGAATGTTCCTAGCTCGTATTATATCAGCTATGTGACCGGAGATTATAGTAAAAATAAGTTGAAATAAAAAAGGTATAGCAAACATAATTCCATTCTAAATCACATAAAAAGGAACAGGCTTTGTTTTTCTTTCAAAACTCTATCACTAGGGAAAGAAAAATCAACACGAACTTCTTTTAAATTAAACCGAAGAATAGTTGAAAAATAAGTTGGCAATGATGTCAGTAATATATAGAAAACAAAATTCGTACAAATATGTTGAATAGCAATACCATAAAGTGGTATACATGTTATGATATGGTACCAAGGTGTTGGACACTTCAGTAGATTGAAACAAATGTAAAATTTCTTTTTTTTTTACGATAAAATTTTTACTCTTTTCTGTTTTGGTACACATCGAAGAAGATACAATTTTTCTTCATATGTTATGCGTGGATGTTCAGCTGGAGAATTATGTCCATATAGAGCCCAACCAATAAACCATAAGCATGAAAGTACACCTAAAGGAGTTTTCAATGAAAAGAAATAAACGAATGAATATTGAAAAGAAGGATTTACCGCAAACGTAAAATGCTGATGGCCAACCACCGAAAATTTTTGATGCACATAATTGACTTACCAATGGTGTTGTAATAACAATACCAATTTCTTTGCCTGAATTACAGATAAAATAAAGAGAGTAAAAACAGATTATGAAAATTTCAACTTGAGTTCTGCTTTTACCTGTACTAGCAAACGGAGGTATTATACTTCTTTCTAATGGTGGAACCCAACGACCCCAAAGTGCTGCTGCACTTGGAAATGCTGGTGCCTAATAAGAAGATATTTGTTAAATATGATTCTATCAAATCGACTTACTTCAAAAATACCAATTAATAATCGAATTGCAATCAGTAAATAAACATTCGTTCGAGCAGCAAGTGGTGTTAAAAGTGTTAGAATACCAGCGATGAGAATACTACCACCAAAAATCCATTTAGCACCAAATTTTTCGGCTAAAACACCTAAAATGAAATGATTGGCCAAAAATAAATAAGCTATTAAAAATAGTTTTCACCTCCGATGACTTGAGTGAGGACGTAACCATAAAAGAATGAACCCAATATAAAACCTTGAGTTTTAGGTGTCCAATCAAATTCTCCCTGTTATTCAAATAAGTAATAGAGCAATGTTTATTGATTGTCCTACTTTTATACGAGGATGAAATGAAGAACTGTTAGTGTCATCAATTGCAGGACATGCGTTTACAGATTCATTAGTTGTACTTTGAGGATTTGTCATGGCCACTATAATGTAATATAGATTATAGACTAATTTTTTGAGAAAAAACACACTATTGATACTAACCGATAGCAACAGATAAGTTTACTCTTAACGAATATAAAAAAAGAAAACCGAGAAATGCCCAAATGGCAACTACCTAAATAAGATGCGTAGGATGAAAAGCATTTTAAAAAGTTAAAAGATCATTCACTGACGTAGCGTGCAGGAATACCACCTAAACAGATTGATATTAATTATCATATAAATACAATAAAAACTTACGTGGTTGTGATAATGATGCAATTGGAAAAAGACCATTTGTATCTTCTTCGTGAACAAGTAATGGCACTTGCATTCCTTCATTGTCTATTGATTCATGATTTAATGAATCCATTATTTCCTCTATATATGTTTAATAGATCTAATCATTTATTTCTAAAAATCATTTATTTTTCATAAATATTGAACTACACAAAAGCTACGCAAATAACGTCGCACGAAGCAATAAAACAGATGTCTTATTATCTCTCTATTATACATATGCCGCATAGAATAGAATTATAGCTACCAAAAATTCGATGAAATAAAACTTAATAATTTATGGAAAACAATATTACAAGAAAGCAATCACATCTTGATTAACCTTTCTTTTCTTTGATAAGAATTGGACTACATTCGACAAAACTTTAATTAAGATGGAAGACTTTGTTATATATGCAGGAGATTTATTTGAGAAATAAAAATCATTAGTTTTTGAATGTGATCTTTTGACGGAAACTTTTGATCAAAGAAAAAAAATATTTGAAATAATAATAGCTTCGATAAATAGCAATTCATTGAACATCAAATCACCAATTAAATATTTTTCCCAAGAGATGAACAAAATTAAAAATGTTTTATTTTTGACTGTCAAACGCCCGTAAGAATAAATTTATTTCAGTTGAAAATATAAGCAAACATTTTATTTATTTTTTTCAAATATTAGTTTTGCTGATATTAATGCAAGACCGATGAGAATCACTAACAGCCGAGTTTGTCATAAAATGAAATTTAATGTTCATAAAATACTTATAAACTACTGCGACGAGAAAATTTCTTGAAAACTTACTATCAGAACAATAATAAAAAAGATATGTACAAGTATTTTTTTTTAAATTATTTTAGTTATATTCTATTTTATCGATAATTATTGATGGTAGAGGCCATAATAAACGAACGGAGAAAAAAGATGGCCAAACCAACAAGATTAGTGATCGCATAATTTAAGTAAAAGAGGAAGAAAAGAAAAATGTTGTTGTTTTTGCTACTAGCTAGTAGTGAATGGAACGATGTCCTCTGCTTTTTGATTATTTTTTTTTCTAAATGAGTATCATATTTTTTACACAATGGATCGTATTACAATTGGATAAATATTAAAAGCACAGTATAGAGCAATGATAAACTTCGTTTCAATAGTTTTTGTTTGGATTCTTATTCATTCTATATACATTTTTCAAATCGTTTTTTAGATAAGAAGCACATTGGCAAAAAATAGAAATGAGTGCAACATTAACATCGGCAGTGTTAAATAATTTTTCAATGCTAACTACGATTCAATCGACTAGAGAACCTTTAACAACGACTGTGGTATATAATAATCATCTATTTTTACACACGACTACTTGTCAAACTATTGCTGGAGCATTTACTTGGGCAGCAATTTTCATCACTAGTTATCATGTACGAAAATAAAAATGAAATACTTTAGTTTTTATGTTATACGATTAATTGTTTAGATTTATCTTCATTTACGATATTATAATGTGCCATCAGAACAGAAATGGATTATTCGTTTATTATTCATAGTACCTATTTATTCATTTGTGTCATGGCTCAGTTTAATTATGTTCCGGAGTGATTCTTATTATGTTTATTTCCATGCAGTTCGAGATTGCTATGAAGGTTTGCTTGCTGATTAAATCAATAAAAGAAAAAAAAAGAAAAAAGCTTTATTTTATTTCAAAATACTTTGCAGCATTTGTCATCTACAGTTTTCTGTCTCTTTGCTATGAATATTTGGGTGGTGAAGGAGCAATAATGGCAGAAATTCGTGGAAAACATATTGAGTAAATTATTGAATGTTGAAAAATAAACGTTCATATCTCCTCTTCTTTTTTTCTAGACGAAGTTGGTGGACATGTACATGTTGTCTTTCAAATCAAGAATATACCATCGGATTTTTAAGATTTTGCAAACAAGTAAAAATTAGATGAAAAAATAAAAAATAATCTTAGAAATTGTTTCTATTCTATTCTGTAGGCAACACTTCAATTTTGCTTAGTCAAACCTTTGATGTCGCTTGTAACACTGGTTTTAGAAGCATTTGATAAATATAAAGATGGCGATTTTTCGCCTACTGGTGGTTATCTTTATATAACATTGATTTATAATATATCTGTATCCGTTGCTCTTTATGGGTTATTTCTTTTTTATGAAGCCACAAAGCATATTTTAGCTAAATATGATCCCGTATTGAAATTTCTTACTGTGAAATCAGTGATTTTTTTAACATTCTGGCAAGGTTAAATTATCTACTTTCATCGAATTTATAGAAAAGAAAACATAATAATTTGATTTTAGGTGTTCTTTTAGCTATTTTCGAACAGCTTGGTATTATTCAAGCATTTCAAGGTAAAACAAATTTGAGTGTTGGAACTGTTGCGGCTGGTAAGCAACATCTATTCAATTCATTTTTTTTTGTTTTTACTGTAAAATTTATTTTCTATTTACTAAAGGTTGGCAAAACTTTTTTATTTGCATCGAAATGTGTTTAGCTTCCGTGGCACTTCGTTTTGCATTTCCGCATCAAACTTATGTAGTAGGTGAACATTACTTATCGACATCATCAACAGATTCTGGACCAGCACCATCAAACACTGGTGGAAGAATGGCAACGATGCAAAGTATTTCAAATAATCTTAAAGAAACAATGAACCCAAAAGATATTATGCATGGTCAGTTAGATAATTTAACTAGTATGAACAATTGAATGAAATCAATATTTTAGACGCAATTCATAATTTTCATCCACAATATCGAGAATATACCCAATATAGTACACAAGTAAGCACTTTTTGTATGTTTAACTTAGAAATTGACCGATCCATTTATGAAACCATCTATCAAAATATTTAGCATGATACAAAATTATGCTCTCTGTGATTTTTGCAATTTTCACCGGTATATACATGTATATAGGCTTTAGGGTGATGGAAATTAAAATTTATAGAACTAATGCTTTTGTTTAATATGATGAACTTTGTTTCCTTTTGTATATTTTGAATGAATTATTATTTTTAGAAAAACGAAGATCGATCAGGAACATCAACATATGGTCTAAATCAAAATGCAACTAGTACTTTATCATCATCAAATATTTCAACATCTGCTGATAATATGTCTTACCATGAAGGTGGGCCAACATCAACGCCAATAGCATTGCCTGTTCAATCTCCGCCATTATCAGATTCTCAAGGTCAACATAACATTATTAATAATTTATCCAGCAAACTAATACCGAAATCGCTAACAAAAAAAGATAACGAAAAAGATATGTTATTAATTAATGATGATATCTAAACACAATAACAACACGAATTATTTTTCTTGTCTTAAATATTCTAGTCGTATAAATTGATTATCTATTCTCTTTTCCGTATATTTTTTGTTGTTACTGTTGTTATTATTGTTGTATAACCAAAAATTCTTTACATTGTTGTGCGCAAACCAAAACAAGTCAATATTCTATTTAAAATTTATGGCAGATTTTGTTTCGATGTCGTTTATCTAAATTTTTTGTGTTGTGACATTCAACTAGTTTTTTTTCATTGTTGTTACTGTTGCTGTTGTTGTTGTTGTTGTTGTTGTGTACAGATATATCAAGCATTTCAGCGCATAAATTATATTTTATCATATTTATTGTCAGAATTATAACAGTCTATACTTTTTATTTATATTTCTGTATGTAATTATATTGTAATTTATTTGACAAAAAAGATTAAAAAAGTAAAAAAAAAAGAACCTGGAGTTTTGGTCTGTATTTCAGATGATTAAATTGATTTTAATCAGTAGTTTCTTTGTCTTTATCAACGGTGATTTTGAAACAGAGAGTTTATGTGGAGATCATAATGCAACTAGTAAATCTATTATTGATTATTGCATATCTCAAAATGGTTCATTAAAATTTCGATGTTGTTTTCTCTCGAATTCAAGTAATATTTTGGCTATTGATTTAACAGAAATGAAATTAAATAAAGTACCTGATTTGAAGGAATTTACAGATTTAACAAATCTAACAATGGTCGATCTTCGTTTGAATCCTCAACTTGAATCTTCAACACAAGATGATTTTTTTGGCATGCTATCTCTTGATTATCTCTATTTACCTGAACAATATCCATGTCCTGGTGAAAAACATGCGTGGCAATCAATTAATCAAACAATTGATCCTAAAGGCATTCTCTGTATGTATCAAAAAGATGTTTGCATAAATTCAACAAATTTTTGTGTTGAACCAAATTCTTATTGTGCTACAAATGGACCAAATCACTTTTTCTGTTTATGTAAAACTGGTTATTATGGTTACAAATGCTTACGACATGGACAATTTCCAATGGGAAAATTTTTTGGCATATCCATAACGACAACTATAGTTTTAAGTATCTTTTTCTTTTGGACACAACGGCGACATGTGAAAAAAGATTAAAGTGTAACGATACTCCGTTTAAAATGAACAATTCAATAGAGATACATGGATCTGTCTTTCATATTAAAAAGTACTTGAGATTAAGAATCTGAAAATAAAAAGATAATGTTGGATTTTCATATGGTGTAATAGAATTATTATTTTATCTTCTTGTATATTGACTTGTCATAATTATTTTCTCATGTTATTGTTGTGAACAAATAAATCATCTACATTACATATATTACAACTATTATAGATTGACGGTATAAATATAAATTAATTACATCAAAGAATTATTTGAAGATATACGACGAGTTAGTTTCTTATTTAAAAAGCAAATTATAGAGTAAATTTCATTGAAATGATCAAGCTAAAGAAGTTTGAATAGTCTGATGTTAAACATAGTTACTATTTTGCTATCTACATGTATTTTCAAGGTAAATAATGCAACATGCACGTAGTTCTAACTTATAATTGTACTGTTAGAATAATGGAATCAAAATTAAGGCAAATATATATATATATATGTTAAATAAACACCATTAATCAATAAACATGTACCTCGATATTAGAGACAAATATTTCATTACTGATTCATTTGTTTCTTATTATTGGAATATGATCGATGATGGATGGTACCAATTAGTGGGAACCCGATAGGATTTGCTGGATCGTTATGACGCACTTCAAGAAAATTATGTGATCGAAAACTTTCTGCTCTAAATAAGTGTTTCATTTATTTTTCATATAATTTTTCTTTGATCGAACAAAATAAAAAAGATGAACAAGCAATTAGTATCAAATGATAAATCATTTGTGGGATTTCGAATCCTACAACTTTCTAGTGCTGTAATTCAAGAGAAGACATTGAAAATGAAATATACTAATGCTTTTTAACACGTGTTACAAAATGATGTTTTCCTGAGCAATGTTCTTAATGAAAAGATTTTCTATTGTTTAGTTTACGACACTCGTTACTATGCTTATTATCATCATTAAAGTTTTATATCAATTTATAGTATTTGAAGTGTGTAGCATCTCGTAAGAAATACTTCTGTTGAAAATTTCAATCCTGTATGTCATACTAAACTGAATCTCTGAGTTTATACAAAATCCACCACTAAACTCACCGACAATTCTTATGAATGTGTTACTAAAAGAGATACAGAATGAAAGTTAGTTTCAAATTTTAAATAGTTTAAATGCGCAGTTTTATCCTATAGAATTTCGATATTCATTTCTCTTCAATTTTTATGATCACGTTAGGGTCATGTTGCTAATGCAGGTGAAACGAATGTTACTTTTCTCAACAAAGGAGTGAGCAATTAAAGAATCTGTTTGATGATGCGTTTGTAGCTCTGTAAATCTTCAAACCAAGGAAAAATATTGAATCTGTGTTCAACTGGGCGAAATGCGTTTCAATGTGTCGAATTGGAAACTTTATTTTAAGAGAAACTGATGATAATATTTCATTAATGATGAAAAATGTTCAAGAAGATGGTTCTAGAGGAGCACATTATTTTTTAATATTTTGAGATGATACAGTTGTACCACATGTATTATCTTCAAAATGAATTCTTATTCGAGTACATGCTGTGCAAATGCATACAAATTATTACAAAATATTAAATGGTACTTTTTTTTATTCATTTTAATATCATAGTTTTCTCAAATTTCAGGTAAATATATTGGTACGATTATTGTTGATATCGATGCAAGAGTGAAACTTTTTCATTTTCATTATCAAGTTTATAGAAATCTTGGAGTGATGAATGCTGGGAATTCTGTTGGATACGTTTGTGAAGATGAATTATTGCGCTGATGTAGCTTGAGAAGGTGAAACCGAATAAGTTGAAGATTGATATATTTCGTCATAATTTGCATTTTTCAGGGTATTACAAATCAATCGTTTTGTGTAGTAGAATACAACGTAGGTTATCACAAATTTTGTCTTGCAGGACGATCTTTGTAATGCTATATTTTTATAAAAAAACAAAAACAAAAAGCTGTATGAGTATTCGGTATGATGTCAAATATCGTATGAGTATATCAATAAGAATAATTTACCATAATGTTTTTCTATACAATCTATCACACGTTTTTCAGTCGAAATCTAATGAGAAAAGAATTCATACTATAAGTGACAGAAAAGGATATGAGAAAAAAAAACAAAAGTGGCGGATTCACGCTGCCTTACCCTCATATGCATGCATAGTGCTCATATTATTACTGTAACTCATTGATTTTTCTAAAGTACTTTTTATTCTGTTATGCAAGATTTAAGAATTTTTCTGCAGATCCTGGATGAAAAATTATGATCTTTCTGTTGTTGTGTGTTGTATAGAAGAAAAAGAAGACAAAATACATTATTTGTAGAGCAGGTTCTATGTACTACGATATTCTGTGATGTGAAATTAGTTATCAAGTTTAGTTTGTCTTCTTCTATCAATTCTATGAAAGTTATCTTCACTTGTAATAAATTACAATTTCACACAAATGACTATAACAACAAATCATAATAGACAAAAATAACTTATTTTTCATTGAGATTGCAGAGATTTTAGACAAAAATTGAAGTGTAATGCAATATTACTATAGCAAGTCTTAGTAGCAGTAATTTACTAATTTCTGTATAATTGTGTGTTGATCATACTACTAATATTCTCTATGATTGTGTTGGTGATGATAAAAAGTATTAAAAAGTGCCGTTCAAATCAGAGACCGAAATCGAATCGAATTGCCGAATAATTCGATTCGATTCCGAATGGAACTTCAAAACTACCGAATCGAATCGAACGAATAAAAAATAATTGAAAGAAAGCCGAATCGAATCGAATGATACTTCTAGAAAAGAGGTCGAATCGAATCGATTCGCTTTTTTTCAGTTTCATTCGGCTATTGAAAATCATTTTCTTTGTTCTGGTGTTATGGTCGAGGGCAGCTGACTAGTATAAGAGATGACGCATGAAAAAGGACGTCCACTGTTTCTCTTTCTTTGTTTCTGTCAGTCGTGCTTATTTAATGGTCATCCCTGTTCTGTTCATATCGTTATCATGGTCAAGTGCATTTCGATTGGCATAAGAAATGCTCACTTACAACGAGCGTTCCATCTTTCTTTCTTTTTTCGTTAGTCAATTTAGGCCCCAATCACACTGAGAAGTAAATTAACATTATAGTTGAATTAAGCCATGTGACTGGTGCATTAAGAGTTAAGTAATACTTTAGAGGTGATTTTAACTCTTAATGTATCAATTAGATTACTGAATAAGACTTTAACTTTATTCACAATTCCAGTGCGATTGGGGTCTTGATATCAACCTCTTTATTTATTAAGTATGGCTACAGTCAACTGTAAATATAGATCCATATACAGTAAATGATATTATTTTTCTTCGTTCTATAGAAAATAAACTTATTTAATTAGTCTACTTAGATGTGTTAATTAATTTATATTTTATGTGTTCTTGCTTGAAAAAAATGACTAGTTCTTATGTATATCTTCATAAATTATATTTATTCAACATATTTCTATAGAAGATCGACAGACTATTCTCATTCTAAGATGACAGTCTGAAAACAACAATACTATGCAATAGTGAATACCATATTTTGTAAACCCAATTTGAGTCGAATCGAATCGAATCGAATTGATTTTTTTCGTGTTTTTAGCCGAATCGAATCGAATTACAATTTTAAAAAGACCAGAAAACCCGAATCGAATCGAATGACACTTTTGTCATCGGTTTCGGTCTCTGGTTCAATTCATTACTATTGTTAGCAATGACTAAATATCGATCATTCTTTTTAAACACAATAGTTTTAGTTAGTTTTATAGCTGGATGAATCAGAAATTTTCGTTGATTTTTATTCTATGTCATCATAACCATCTATTTCATTTGCTAAATCAAAGTTTTTAAAAGTTAACTTATTTTCGAGAAAAATATACCGAAGTAGAAAGATTTAAGCCAATAATCAATACAACATTTGATTGATGAAAATATGATGAAGAATTTTAGTATTTACTTTCTAATAAATCTAATATTGGAAAATTACAAGAAATATTATTGCTTAACATAGCGGATGAAGATGAAGCAACGATTTTTTTATTGCAAACGTTTTCATCAATTAGCATTTGGAAAATTATTCTTATGTTTTGTATTTTTCTTTTTGAAATATTTATTTTCAATTTCGAAAAATATTTTTACTGATCAGATACAACATGAAAAAGTAAGTCAAGTACGTAGATAGGTTATTAAAATGTTTAAGGATATTTTAGCACAGTTACATGGTCCCAGTAACATTTCTATAAATGTCACTCAGTTGTATAAGTTTTAATTTCTTTTTGAATGCAAAATAAGAAGCACTATTATAAATTCTTAATTCTATATAATAGATAATTAAAACCGATGAGTAAATTTTGTTCAATAAGAAAAATGCTTATTGTCAAAGTTAGCATTTCGATAAATTCAAAATACATATAAAGGTTCATCCTTACCATCATGTGTACGCCAGTCATTCGTTTGATGTAATCTAGTTTTCTTTGCAAAGTGTAATTTTATCATAAGATTAGCGTTGTATGATGAAAATGAAATCATATTGTTAATAATCGGAAAAAATACTCTTCATAAATTTTCTCTTGTATTACACGTTCGTTTTCACTATCATGCATTTTTCTACATCATTAAACATTCATATTTAGATGCCATATTTGAAACTGGTACTTGGTAGTGATGTATTGGATAGTTAGCTTTTCTTTTTCTTATAAAATAAACCTAGAGAAAAATTCTTAGCTACGCTTTTATAAATATTTGTGCCCAACAAACATTAACTTAGATTCACTAATAGAAAGTGGAAAGAAACGTTTTCCTTTAAAAAGCCATCAATCTTTTAACATATAAACGAAAGCTGTCAGATATGTTTTCTTCTAATCAATAGTTATGATTTCCTCTATTTACAAGTGATTTTTCATAGAAAATAATGAAAAAGCTTTATATTTTTCTTATACATTCAAGTTATCACAGTCGGGTAGTAATAATATTTGCATATCAATTATTTTGATCTGAAAATTATTTTTACAGAAGAATTCATTAGAATAATAGTTCTATAAACCTATTGATGAAAAGTATTTTTAGTCTTTAAAGACATTGTGGATCGATCCTTCATAAATACAAATACAAATATAGCATATTGTCTTTGGTACTACTTAGTAAATGAAACAAAAAAGAAATTTATGGACTCGACTTGATGATTTATTACGATACGAAATGGTTTTTCTCGTATATAACAAAAGAATGAAAAAACACGGTATGCAACGAAATGTGCAGGATAAAATCCAACTGAAAGAACGATAAAGAAAAATGGCACATCCTTCAGTATGATTCAAGTTACGAGCTCAATGCCCTCTTTTCTGTTCTATTATATTTATTTAAGAGTAAGAAGAAAAAGAAAAAAAATATAATCTACTAGAAGAATATTGAAGAAGGAAGGGAGGAAAAGAAAAGAAGAGAAAAAAACGTGACATGGCAGCGCATCTAATGTCGACATATACATTTACTAAGAAGGCCGCTTATTGTGTGACATACATTGAAGACAGTAACTACTTATTCAGTTTAATAAAGCAGAAAAATACCATTTAAAATATTTTTAATTATAATACTGAATGTTACACGCCGGCATTGAAGCACTTTTCGGTCGCAATCGCGATCATCATCATCGAAAAAGACATTTATTTCATTTTGGTCGTCAACACAATAATCATAAAGAAGAAGCAGATGAATTAGCAAAATTTTTTTCTGATAAACCAAATACTGAAAAAGAATTGATCAGTGGTTCGAATTTTGGTTTTGCTGCAATGCAAGGTTGGCGTTCCTCTATGGAAGATAGGCATAAATATTTAGTTCCATTCGATGATTCTTCATGGAAATTATGGTCGTATTTTTCAATTTTCGATGGCCATAATGGTAAGAAGAAGAAAAAACAATCATTTTCGAGATAAAATACTACTGTATTAATAATTGTTTAAGGTGTGGATACTGCAAATTATGCTGCTGATTATCTTGAAATTCATTTATTAGATGCGTTTAAAAAGACCCTTGTTCAACAAAATGATGATACTATCAAAGGTGGCGAATCTGTTCATTCATCGCAAATAGATATTCCAGCATTACATGCTGCTATTAAACAAGCTTATTTTGAATTAGATCAACATTTGAAAACCACGGTGAAAGATGATAGTGGGTGTGTTTGTGTAAGAATTTTTTTCATTCTTCAAAAAATAAAAAGACCTTTTTCTATATCACGCATGAAATATTTAGATAACATGTCTTATTGGCCCAGAACAAATTTCTCTAATTCATGTTGGTGATTCTCGTGCAATTATTTTTTCAAATGATGGACATATTTTAGCGCATACTGAAGGTAACTTTTATTTTATTCTTTTTATCTTTGATCTTTTTTTTTCTCTCTCTATTGAATCAATATTTAGATCACAAACCAGATGATCCTGCTGAACAAGAACGTATTCATGAAGCTGGAGGAAGAATCTCGAAATCATTTGCTGGTGATGTTTTACGTGTAGAAAATCAATTAGCCATGACACGTGTATTGGGCGACTTCGGAATCGATAAACATATTGTTCCACCAATGGCAGATATTGTTGAATATCCACGAGATTCATCAGCAGCATTTCTTGTTCTTGCATGTGATGGAATTTGGGATGTAATGACAAATGAAGATGTTGCTTCATTTGTTGTTGCTCGTGTAGCAACAATGAAGCTAGAAAACATTGCTGCACAATTGTTAGATGAATGTCTTCGTCGAGAGAGTACTGATAATATGAGTGTTTATATCGTAAAGCTTTAATATCCTATTGTATATAAAATTTAAAAAATAAAATTGATGGTTTTGTCATTTCTTTTTGAATGCTCGATTTAATAGTGGAAATTATAATCGTCATAGATATTAAATAATCATTTTCTTTGCTTGTCTAATACTAATGGAAATGAGAATACGTAATGCTTGAAAAATGAATTAGTTATTAATAGGATTTTATTTATTATCTGTTACAAGTGTTCTCCAGACAACTGAATCAAATGCCTTGAATTCATATTTGAGATCAATAATTCACACCGTTTTAAATGAAAAGAAAAAGCAACAGCTTTGAACATTTTTTCATTACATTACTGAATAGATATGACGTCATAGTCTAAGGTGACATGATATGCGTATCTTCTTTTCTGTTGTTGCTTTGATTTCAACAGCATTTTCATTCTTTCTTGTACTAGCTTGTGTGTTGATTTTGTTGTTGATATCGTTAAATTCGTGCAATGCGTTCTGAGCAAAACAAACGTCGAAGTACATCGACTTTGTTATATGATGACAATGAAAAGGTTCTAGATGGAATGGCAGATGCACAACCAATATTAAAATATACAGATTTTGATGATATTAGCAAACATCAATCGTGGTATCGGCAGATGCTTGCTAGACATGGTTAGTTTAAAATTACTAATTAATCGACTATTAGAAGCCATGCTAAATAATTTCTAGTTGTGGGTATATGGGTCTTCTTAGGCTTTGTTTGTTTATATATGTTACGTGTTAATTTATCAGTAGCTATTGTTGCTATGACTATTCCACAGAGTGAAAAAAACGAATCTGTAGAAGCCTGCCCATCGTATACAAATGATTCTGGTGGCACTCCAGCTAAGGTTAATAAACAGACATTTTGTTCGATTTTTATGTGATTGAAGATTTACACATGGTGTTTTTCTTTTAGCATGATAAATTTGACTGGAACCCTCGTACACAAGGTTTTGTCCTTGGTTCGTTTTTTTACGGATATACACTTTCACAATTTATTGGCGGTAAAGAGAAAAATAGAATATAAATGAAATTACTGTTAGCTTTCTAATAAAAATAGGAGTATTGGCCGAACGTTATGGTGCTAAATGGACTTTCGGTTGTAGTCTTTTAGTAGCCGGTATTCTTACGCTACTTACACCGATTGCAGCTAAAACGCACGTTGGTTATCTCATCGCTATTCGGATTCTCATTGGTATATTTGAAGTAGGAAATAGACTATAGACTATTTATATAATGATATGAATACAATAATTTCATATAGGGACCGGCATTTCCAAGTGTTGGCGCATTGTGGGGTCAATGGGTACCACCTTTAGAACGCAGCACCATTCCACCGATTGCACATGCTGGTATCATTTATTAAAATCAAACGCTATTTAGTTACATTTCCATTCTGTTTTTATTATCATAGGGAAAGAAGTAGGTGTGATCATTACAACTCCATTAGCAGGTATTTTATGTGCGTCAAGTTTTATGGGTGGTTGGCCATCATCATTTTATGTTTTCGGTAAAAACAATAAAAATATATTCAATTTTTTCATGGCCTTTTGTTGTATATCTTGATAGGCATTATTACTTGTGTCTGGTTTGTTTTCTGGTGTTTTTTTGCTTATAATACTCCGTCGGAACATCCAAGATGTTCTGAAAAAGAACGCACTCATTTGTTGGCTACTCTTCCTAAACCAAAGAAGGTTCGTTTTAGTTTTGTTTAATGTTTTTAACTTCAAATTTCATTGATTTTCTAGTTAAAAACTCCATGGATGTCCATAGCTCGTTCAGTTCCATTTTGGTCAATTGCTATTGCATCAACTTGTATTCAATTTATTTACTATGTTCTATTAACATCACTGCCTACTTATTTTGCTACTATACTAAAATTTAATCTGCAAAATGTATTATTTTCTTTTCTTTTTCTGAAACTACAAATCTAGCCAAGAGTTATATTTTTATTCATAGAATGGTTTCATGTTTGCTATTCCTTATATATTCATAATGATTGTTATTGTTATAAGTGGTCAAGTGGCTGATCGTGTTCGACATCGAAAAATGATGTCAACAACGGCTGTACGAAAAGTTCAAACCATTATTGGTAATGTTTGTTTGTTTGTTTTATTCCTAGCGAAAATTCTTATTAATTTTCTTATTGAATGCAGGTGGTGTTGGCTCATCTTTATTTTTGGTACTTATCGGTTATGTTGGTTGTAGTAAAGTGGGAGCTATGTTTTGTATTACATTATCTGTCGCTTTTATTGGTTTTCATTCAAGTGGTTGTCAAATATCACATCTTGATATAGCGAGCAATTATGCTGGTTAATTGATATGACTCGATTTATTTATTCTATTATTTTTTTTCTTATATATATGAAGGTACTCTTGTTGGTATTACGAATACACTGGCTGCATTACCAGGTATGGTTGCACCTTATGTTGTCGGTGCTATTACTAACAATAATGTAAGAAATTTTTAACTTTTATCTTTATCTTTATTTTGTTTTATTTTAATAGCAAACTATACATGCTTGGAAATTAATTTTTAATTTATCAGCTGGTGTTGGTCTATTCGGTTGTATCGTTTATTGTATATTTTTTGATGGTAATGAACAACCATGGAATCAAAGTGGTTACGAAGAAAATATACAAACTGAACAAGAATAATTCATATTCTAAACAAAATTCGATTAAAATTTACTTTTTATTTTAAAATTAACTAGTTTTTATTGGATGGTTATAGTTTGTGTTTTATCCATGTAATAAAATGATTGTAATAAAATAAATCAACTTTAAACTAATACGTTTCATGAATGAATTCTTGGAAAATTCACTAAATTGAATTAGAAACAATGAAAAACACTTCACATGATTGCGTACTTTGAGAATCCAACGGTATGTTAAACATAAAACGGACTAGCTATTTTAATTTCTCCTTAACAAAGAGGCTCAAATCGCATAGAAATACTAGTAGCAAACAAGTTTTTCAATATAAAGCTCCCAATAAGGAACACTATCAATGTTTATAAATTTAAAAAGAAATTATTTTAATTTAAAGATCGATTCTAATCTATTGGTTTCTATCAAATAAAATAATTAATAATTCTCTAAATCTTTAATTGAAGAGTATTATAAGTATGTGCAAAAAAAGCTTTTATTGAATTATTATTATCAACTTTGGTATTTCACTTTCTATTAAAGTATGTTAATCTGTCCAGCACCGGTATGATATAATCAATGAATTATCAAACACTGATGAAGTAGAATATAAAATCATTTAATTAAAACTGTAGTTTTCTGGTGCATTGTATATAGGATTCCATGATAAATGAATACCATTCATTGATGTCGGTAATTTTGATGGCATGTTTCCAGTCGATTTGCCAAGTTTCTTTAAACGTCTCTGTCGTACTAATTGCGCCGCTGAAAGTGGTGGTAATCGACTGGCATGATTTGTATTTGCTGGAGCTTTAATAGATAAAATACTGTCTTTGAACAATGTTCGATCCAAACTTGTACAATCCTATAGTATTAAAAACAAAAATCAAAATGAGCAAGTCAATCTTTTAAGCAAAACTAATCATCATTTCAAAGTGCATATAGTAGCTTTTAAAAAAAAACAGATCATGTGAAAAACAAACCAAGTGTAAAAGTTCACATAAATAACCTCAAAACATATATCAACACTTTCAAAATAAGAACGATCAGTTTGATTGGTACCCGAACGAATGCTAGGCAACTGTAATGACTTTTTTTTCTAATAAATAATTATTTTTAATAATTTTAACATAAACTATACCTTATGTTTCAATGAATCACTCTTCGCCATTGTAACTGTAAACGAAGAATAGATTGTTCATTTTTAAATATGTTTTATTCTTTGATAATTGCATACGTGCTCTTTCTAGTGGACTAATTGGTTTTGGTGAAGGAAGACATTCGTATCGATGAAATTCATTCCAACCAGTAACTTTGCATGCTTTTGAACAAAATGATACTTTGTGACATCGTTTGCAAAGAGTAAGTCGTACACCTGTACTACGACCACATGTAGCACAATAACGAAAATGAGCAATTAATCTAATGAAACGATTTTATTTTAATACGTCTATGAAAGACTTGAATTAAACTTACTTTGAAGGGTCATCAGCATTTTTTTCTGCTACCAATGAACGAGCTCGCGATATTGAATGTTGTGAAAATAGATTAGCAGGACTCGGTGGTTGAATAGATCCATCTAGAAATTATTAAAACAATAAGATTTTCAAAAATTTCAACCATAACTACCTAGACTTGGTGTTGGCAAACGTAAAAAGTCTTCACATTTCGAAGCTTCTACTCGAAATCGTTTAGCTATATAAGCAAGTAAGTCTTTCCTTTCACCGTATATAACACGTTCTTGGCTTGTTAACGAATGATAAGGTGTTTGCGATATTCGGGTATCCTTGATATTTCAATAGTTATCATCGATACATTCAATAGATAAAACTTACAGCAGAAAACATGTAATGAGCAAAATCAACTGATGAACCTATCGTATTTTTTGGACCGAATCGAATAGGATAAAGGACTTTGGGGTTTTTTTCCAAAAGACGGTCAATCTATTATTTAAGAATATATAGATAAATTGGATTAGATCGCTATTGTTAGATTTCTTTATTTACTAGTTGTATTCGTTTTGCATATGTCCAGCCAGGTTCATAAAATGTTGATAATATAGTACATAATGCATTACCATTTCCAAAATCAAGTATTGTTGATGGATCAGTACTTTCATGATTAAGTAGTAGCTCAACTAAAGGTTGATTACCTAGAGCAATAGCTAATGATAGTGGTGTTTGACCATTACAAACAACATTTGGGTTTGCTTGATATTCAAGAAGAAGTCGAACAAGATTTAATGTACCCGGTGTTGCTTCTCGAGTACATGCAATATGTAATGGTGTACGACCATGCTGTTGAGTATCAATCTAAAATTATAGATAATTTTGAGATATAAAATGCAAAAGCATTTAACAATCACTTTTCTATTCGTATTAATAATAAGTGGATCAACCAATGATATATATTCGTTATTGCCCGATAATGATTCTGCATTGACATCAGCCCCATGTTCTAATAATAGTCGAACAATATCAATTGCATTTGCCGATGAACAGCCACAGGCAATATGTAATGGAGTCAAATTTGCATGACGAATAGAATCTAATTGACAATTGACTTGAGCCTTGTTCTTTAACAACAATTCAACCATTTGTTTATCGCCAGCTCGAATAGCTAATGTAAGTACGGGTAAAGGCCAATCGCTAGATGATGGATCAGCACCACGACGAAGCAGAAGTCTTATTAATGGAAAAGAAACAAACATTGACATTTAGAAATTAAATATCAATAAAAACATACATAATAAGAGTATAAACTGATTCACGAAATTTTTCATCTCGTATACATTCACGAAGATTATCTGTTAATTCGTATCCATACGAGTCTAGTTGAATTCAATATAAATTAGAATTCAAATTAAAAAGAAAAGAATTCAAATTATCGCTTTACTTTTTTTTCCTAAATCATTTATTTTCAATGATTCAAATGGTGATAAAACTTTTTCTTCGTCTCTATTATTCGAAGCATTGGTTATGTTTTGTTTCGACGACGCTACATTACTTGTTTCTGTCGAATTTGACGTACGATGATTTAAAATTACGGGATCTGTATGTTCTAAAGCTGTATTAATTGTCTCGGAAGGATTATTACCATAATAAAGAAGAAAAGCAAGCGCAAGCGGAGTTAAGCCGTCATCTGATATTTGATTTACATTGGCACCAAAATCAAGAAGAACATTAACAACATTTATATGTGTATTATAAGTAGCAAAATGTAAAGCAGTTAAACCATGAGAATCACATACATCAACATATGCAAGTCGTTGCATTAGGAGATAGCGTACATCTTTTTCTTGACCATTAAATGACAATTCAAATAGATCTAATGATGCATTTTCTAATGGACCTGGATTCGGAAAGGAAGTACGATTATCTAAAGATAGAATGAAGATAAAAAATATTGTATGTTAAGTCACGTTAATTGATATAATTTACTGGAAAAAATATCATCAATAGGAAATGATGCTCGTTGTTTAAATGGCCAAAATTTATTAGCATAGTAATATAATTTTCTTTGCTCATGTGTTTCATTGGGTGGTACTATGTCTGGAGTTCGTTCTTTGACAACTTTTTCTTTCATTATTTCTTCATTATTCTTTTCATAGATACTTGATAAGTAAGCATCTAATTGTTCACGTTTATCTTGTAGTACTATTTGTACTCGATCCCCGTGTTCAATAATATATTGTGTTAAAATTGAGTTTTCATTTTGGATATCATTACAAAAGAGCGTAGAAGATTGTTTTTTTAATAAAAAACTAAAGTCAGATACATTTGTGAGTAGTTCTTGTGGTGAATACCATGAGGGAATCACAAGTGAGGATGAATGCAAAGATTTTTTATCTGTTATTTGTACATCTAATGTAAGTTTAGGATGAGAATAAAGTAAACGAACAAGATCTTCATTTAACCATAAGCCAACATCAGCACATTTTAGAGACTTGTACATTAAAATACCTGGTCCAAATCGTTCATCGTGACAATATAAGCCCTAAAAAAATAATATATATATATGTATATTTATACATTGTTTCCTTCTTAATAATTAAATCAAACCTTAAATTCTGAAATGTTTGGTTTATGAAAAATTCCAAATCCATGACGCCTATCAGCAAAAAAAGCACCTGTATACATTTGACCATCAGGCCAAGATAAAACCCCTTGGCCATGTTTTTTATCACCATAAATGTCACCTGCATATTTCTTTAAATCAATTGAACATTACATATTGATTTCTTTTTTCATTCAAATAAAACTCACGCATTCATCGGTTTTAGTTGAACTTGATGATTGTTGCCTAGTACTACTACGGCTCATTGAAGATGTTGTATCTCTAACAACATCAATAGATAGACTACTGATTCCATTTTGATTATAGTTATTATCATGAATAGGATTATCAACCGTTTGATCGATGTTTGTGAGTGGATTAATGCTTCCTAACGTTATTTAAAAAAAATTCACACTTGAAAACCAATGTTTCAATTTTTTTACCATTTTCTTTTATTTCTGATGATGCAATTTGAATATTATCGTCTTCAAAGTTCTCTGTCATTTGTTCTTGAGTTTTGTTGTTCATGGGCATATTTGTGGCTATTATCATGTTTTGTTTTTGCTTTTATGAATCACCGTTGAAAACGACAGTAAGCTAAAATGAACAGTCAATCGGCTATAAAGTTTTCAAGTCGATAGAAAAAAAATTCCACTTCACACAAGTGAGTGAGTCATGGAAATCAAAAAAATACACCAGCCATTTGCAACTTGCAACGCCTAGGAAATGCTATGCTTCGACATCCTTTTTATTGTTCACAAACTATCAACAGATGCCGCATTTCTATCGAAAATATTTGTTTTGTAACTAAATATTTATTTATTTAAGAAAAAAAACATTCTTCTATATTATTGATTTAGAATTATTTTGATATAAAAATGAAGAAAAAATAATGTCTCTTGAAAAATCTAAATTCACATAGCTCACTAGTTTAATCGTATTGACTGGCTCTTGAAAAACAACAGCATAGAACCGTGTTTCAACAACAAATTTTCATAAAAAAAAGCCTTTTTTGTTTTCAAACATGACTTCTTTCTGTTTCAATGCATTACTATACCTTGATATGCTATATAACAACACGCTTTGAACATGCTCATGCGATACTCCATTTTTCCTCTCTCCAAGCAACGCTCTTGATAACGTCGCTCAAATAAATATTTACTTTTACATGTATATTAAAAAGGTGTTTTTCTGTGTGAGTTTCTTTTACGGATTGAAAAACAAACAGTTTAAAAATGTTTCAATGTGCAATATTTTCTCATACTTTTTGTTAGAAGTAAAAATCCAGTGACTTCATAAAAATGGTAAATAAAATGCTGTAATTTGTATTCTAAGTAAAAGAGAATTTTTAGCGAATGAAAATCTACCAACATATAGACAAACATTTAGTGTTATAATACTCGAAAGTAGAATGTTTGAATAGCAATCTTGAGATATGTTTTATATGATTATAGCATAGTAAAATTCACTTGAAAAATAGCAAATAAAGAAACAGTTGTATAGCAAAATTTACAAGCATGATGAATAAAAATTCACTACTCTTGATTGCAAAAGAAAAATATCTTGGCCAATTAGAAAAGCTTCGAAATCGCATGATATCGATATCGTTACAGTACTTTATGTGATTTCTTCGAGGCTTTATGATAATTCATAGAAAGAAAGTGATATTGGTTCTTTTTCTAGAAAACATTCTAGTTTATGGAATGCATTGTACATTATGGCAATGTGAAATATGTCTAAAAAACGATATAGGGATATTGTAATAGATAACAATAAGCCTTAGGATAGTGACTGTGGTCATTCTACGATTTTAGTTGAACAATGCAACCGCGCGATATCTACAAAGATTATTTTGCTGATATTTTTATTGCTTTATTGAACTAGCATTTCTTGATATATAGTACCTAATTTACTAATAGTCATGTATGAACAACAGTATGAGATTATTAGAATCATAGAAGTATATTTAACTAACGAAATTAAGCTAGAATAAAAGCGTTGATATTGATCTACGTACTATCAGTGTCATATGAGTTATTGATACATTTAAATTTGAGCGTGCTTTCAAGTTTAAGGATGAACTTGAATGTGAAATTCATTTTGATGCAATTCACGTAGTTTTCACACAAAAATCTATCTGATATTGGAACAGTTTTTAATGAATATGGAAAATAATTCGATATCTTGATATAGAAAGAAATTTAACAATACCATTCTTCAAAAGCAATCATGTTCTTGATTAATTGATTTATTTTAATAATGTGAACGATCAAATTTTTACACAAGTCTCCAGTCCAGATCAAAGCTTTCAACCATGACACAGCAACAAATTCTGTCTGATATAAGCATGATGGAAGATCAAGATCAAACAATCGCCGACTAGTTCATAGTAAAATGAAAAGGAAAGATTTTCGTGTATCTCATCTAATTACTGTTAAGCTTGTCGTTTATAAAAACGTGAATATTGATGAGCCGGAGCAACATGATGATAACAATGAGAATGTTACAAGAATTATTAAGTTTCTAGCGGTTGTTTCAGGTTATTCTACGAACGTTTGTTAATAAATTTTAGATGATTCTGATAAAGTTGAAACATATCAGGGCTACAGTGTTGATTATTCGCTAAATTAAACTCACAAAGATCAACTTAGACATCTATGTCTACCAAATCGAAATTATTTTACTTCTTAGATTTCAATATATTATGCAAGCAATGGTCTTCAGAAATATGAATTATAATTATTGATTCTAACAACTAAAGAGTATGGCAACGTTCTAGATCCATCCATTTGAATTCATTTACAGATTTTTTTCTTTTAATTTATCTTTTAACGTTTGCCATTAATGATAGTATATCGTCGTTTTAATAGCTCAATAAAACAATGACATATTCTTCTGTGACCATAGATTTTATTGATATTATTATCGATACTAACATGTCCGTGTAATTCATGAAAAGTGTTCACAACATCTTTGGATTTTTAATGTAATAGTTATTTATTTGATGATGATATTTATATTGTTTGATACAATCATTAAGAAAAGAGAAGTTTTATTTTTAATTTAATTATTAAAATGAAATCAATTATGTCAAAGCATGCATTTAAATATTTTCAAACGATTTTGCTATTGATTATTGCCGTGGATAAATCCACTTGAGCTGCTGACATATCGTCTCTTCTCACTCGAACTATTTCTGAACCAAATCTACCAAAAACTTCAAGACATTTTGGTTTTGGACAAAATATTCGACGCGAAATATAACATGGCCATGCACAAATTAATGTCATCCAAAGAAGAAAGAAAAAAGTAGGTTGTTCCCCGCGACATTCACGAATTTGATCAATATCACGTAAGAAAATAGCCGAATCAGTATGTGAAGAGTCTGATGTATCATTATCACAGCACATATATTCTTGATAACGAGTCAAAAGTCGAATATCGGTTAACACAGTATGATATGAACTATTACAACAGCCTAAATTATCGTCATAATCCCATTCACGAAGAACTTTTTCACTTGCTACTAAATTGAATGTATTATTAAATGGTCTGTAGTATAATTGTGGTTGATGAGAGGTCACACGACCAGGTGTCACAGCCCTGTATGAAAAACTCAATTAATTTGATGTGTAAATAAAACGGAACAAATATTCATTTCTAGTTATTGAAATTTTATATTGCAATAATGAGGAAAAAACGATTTTTCATTATTCGAAACATTCATTCTAACTTACATTATTCGAATTTGTTCGACGGTTGCTATTCGATTCAGGTACTGAATTTCTTATTAAATACGAACTTTGATGTCCTATATATTTTTATATAAGGAACGAAATAGGGCGAATGATTGTGTTGGCACAGAAATAGAATTAAACAGAGAAAACAATGGCTTCATGTTTCTATGCAACCAAGACTTTATATTGATTAATTAAAAAAGAAGAAGAAAATCAGAAATAAAAAGAGCTGAAATAGAAACTTTTTTCCAGTTACTTTTATTTTTCTTATGTAAAATTTTATTTTCTACTGATATAATTCCAGGTTTATTGTTGATGATAGAACATATTCTGACTTTTTTTCTTTAGTTTTTCATAAATAGATAAACCACAGTAATTACATACAAAAAGAAAACATAAAATCAGGTCAATGAATAATATTGTAACAATATCGTTAAGATTCTCTTAATAGAGACGATATACTTGTCCCTGAGTTTCAGTATAAACGATTGCACTTTTTGAACAGTTACTATATTTAATAATATATTCATCGATAGTTATTGTGTTAGCTGACGTTTTCAGTGATATTTTCAAAGTTCGATGTTCGATTCATGCACTTCAAATAAAGAAAATTTTAACAAACAAAGAGAACATAAAAGGTAAAACAATAAGCAAATTTAATTAAAAGTATACAAAGAATACTTTTTCTCAATTGTATTTGGTAAATCGTCATCCTAAACAAGACGTGAAACAGAAGAAACGATGCCAAATAAAGAAGAAATAGTACTTTTACAAAAAAATTACTTTCTCTACAAAACAAATTCAAAGAAATTTTCATGATAACCAGTATTTAGTTAGTTTTAAGATATCATAGTGCAACTTCAGCTTGTTATTCTTCTATCCAAGTTATATTTTTGAAATGTGTCAAGCTGGTATGTTTTAGAAAAAAAATGAGTACATGAGTATGAAAAAAAGCATACTGATAGAAACACATCTGTATTGTCTTCGTTTCATTGTGGCTCTTGAAGAAAGAGTTTTTCTTTCATTTTACTGAAAAAAAGTAAAATGTTGACAAAGCAGTATTCGTATCGCAGAGATGTAACCGGTCCGGCCGGATTTTACCGGTTTTTGCCGGTTGCAGATTGTCGACAAAGATTTTTAATTCTTCACGAGGAGGACATTGCATCTCTCTTCTTCATATTTTTTTAAAGAAAACGGACTACAATTTTTTTAAATGGAAAACCTTTTTTTTAATTTTTCTTTCGAATTTAAAAAAAAATAAAATGTGAAACTGTTTAGTGTGTAAAAAGAAAACAAACGAATTGTCACATATGACGCGTTTATATTCTTATCTTTTCTTTTGACATTAATGCAATTGTTTTGTTTTGGGATGGTGTTACATAAGTGTAATTAAATTAAGAAGAGAAAAGAACGCTAGATATACTTGTAAGAATAGAAGCTTGTGTCGAATAAATTTCAACAAACACATTCATCACTATCGTTGTAATAATGTCGAATAATAACATCTATATGCCACATTAAACATATTTATATTTATTAATTCTTGTTATTAACCGACTGTGATTGAACAGTTGATCTACATCTTCATTCTGATTACATTTAACAACTAGCTTAGTCTCTTGATATTGAAAATATATGTACCAATCTATGGCATCTTAACAACACATAACAAAGAATGTTATAGGTATCTATTTTGCCCATGATAAAAATTTAATTCACTGAAAAAAATTATGAAATCGCCGGTTTTCGCCGGTCTGAAAATCGTTTTTTAGACCGGTCGGATTTTTCTTGACCGGTTACAACTCTGTCGTATCATAAAAAGGGAAATATATATATTATAATTTTGCGTCTTCATTCAAACTATCTTATTAGCATATAATATTGGTACTAAATCCAAAGTAAACGCTCGACAATTATCGGTTTAGTCAATCCAAGTTTTCTTACAGTTCTTCTTTGTTTCTATCAAAAGATTAATATTTTAAATATCTAAATGATGTGTTATCTAAAATTTAATCATGCAAAATTCAAGATGTTTTGAAAAACGTGATATAAGTCTGCTGTAAGAATAAAATGTTACTATTATATCGTTGAAGACAATGGATAATATCAAGATTTTCCGAGTGTTTTGATGCAATCTATAAATTAAATTTATTCACATGATAAAACAAGTTTCAATCAACTATTTCTGACTTTCACTCTCACTTGAAGTATTGGAATGTGAAAACACTTGAAATAGTTCCATTTTTTCTTTATTTCTGTTTTGGAAGATTTAACAATTAGTATTGATTGTGGCGACACGAAAGACCATAAATATACACGATATTCTTCTTTCATTTAGTGTAACACGCGTGTACGAAGATCGAAGATAATCTTACGTAAATATCACACATGAGAATAAAGCATTTGACATAATAGATGAGCTATTTTCATAGCCATAGTGCTTTTGGGAAATATTTTAACACTAGAAAGTGATTGGCGCTGTTCTGTCCTATCTAACGAAGAAAATACTCATTATATATTTTTTTCTTTTACTATTTATTGTTCCATTACTTTATGAATGCCGTTTTTCTTATCTAGTATCTAGTTTATTTTCATCATCGCTCGTTTCTCAGTAGAAGTTATTAGCAGCTATGCATACGAATATTTCTTTCTAGTTGATTATCAACACTAAAGTATTTTTTGTTTTGACAAGTATGTGATCAAAACTAGGGGTAAAGAATTGATGATCACTTGAATATTGATTTATTGTATTTTATCAAGTTATTTGAAAAAATTAAATCAACAATTCTAAACTAATTTATGATTCAACACTAACAATACATTACAAGATGATATCAAGACGACTATTTATTGAATTAGAACAACTAAACATTACAATAATTAGCATATTGAATAATTATCGATTATAGAAAAATTTTTGTTATTTGCGTAGATATTACGTTTTCTCTTAAAATCAAAGTTTCAAGATTATTATTTGATTCTTATGATATTCTTATATGCATTTTTACGATTCGCCGAAAAATAAAATACGTTAGCTTGAATTGTTTCCGAATAAGAAATACCGTATTATGAATATTGTGAACTTGTCTAGCAATGTTTTTAGTCGGAATTTATTTTAATCAATATATTTATTTGTGTGTTGTAGCATTTATAGAAAAAATATTTTTCGGATTTCATTCAGTATATTATAAATATTTCGATAAACAATTATGAATCACACAAAATGTATTTTCTTTCTATGATCTATTGAGTTTTGAACGATGAGAAATAGATTATTTCTTTTTCATTTTATTTTGTCATTAAACGATCAATTTTTATTGTAGATAAGATGAATAAAATGAAATTATTCTATAGAAGTTTATTGGGTACGATGTATAAGGTATGAAATAATTAAATATTCACAAATGGAACTTCAGCTTTTTTTCTTTTATTACCATCAAAATTTCATTGAAAATACGACATAAAGAATTTTTCTAGATGAATAAGTAAAATTTTTGATCTCAAATAGATTATCGATGACAATATTTGAGAACCTTCCCAATGAAGTACTGTATGAAATATTCGATTTTCTTAATCTTTGCCATGCATTTGACGCTTTTTTCAATCTAAATACTCGTTTTCAATATTTACTAATAAACTCGCCGTTACATCTCAAAATTGATTTTTCTTATATATCAAAATTAACTTTTCAACATTGTTGTACATACATTATACAGCCTAATATACACCGCGTTTTATCGCTTCGTTTATTAAATCCACTCGCCATTGATTTCTTTCATTCATTACTTTCTTTCAATGCATCATTCACTCAATTAGAATCGCTTATTTTTACTCAAATTAATTTTAAAAAACTTGAACCAATTTTAAGTAGTTTATCATCATTACCTCGTCTTTATTCTCTCACTATAAATAATAATATTGAAGTATGCGACTCAAGTGAAATTTATCGTCTTATATTTCATTTACCAGTTTTAAAAAATTGTATCATTTCACCAAAATTTTATGGTGGAAATCTAACATTACATGCTGCAACAAATGAACGTAGTCCAATCGAACACCTTAGCATTAATCGCCATTGTTCTTTAAATCAGTTCATTTCACTTATTTCTTATACACCTAAACTTAGTCATCTATCTAGTCTTTCTATAAGTGAACCATCTAATACAAGAATGAATATTATATCAATAATTTATCCTAAATTAACTCGTATTTCTTTGAAATTATGGCGTATGTCATTTGATAGTTTTGAATTACTTTGTTCGAAATTATTTTCTCATCTTGAATTTTTAAGCATTTGTACAAGAGCAGATGATCATTATTTAATGGCCCATCGATGGCAACAGTTAATTATGAATCATATGCCTAGTTTACGTATATTTGATTTTCAACATTATTGGGAACCAGTTGATGATAATAATACTGAACAAGGTACATATCATAGATTAATTGATTGTTTTACTTCGTCATTTTGGATTAATCGAGAATGGTTTTTTGCACATCAACATTTCTCGCGTAGAGGCATTCGTGATGCTGTTTTCTATTCTACTCATCCATATAGGTAGATTTTAAGTCAAATATTTTATTTTTTATTTTCTATATTATTTTTTTAAAGGAGAAATCTATATGAATTACATGAACGTGCACATAATGACGCTTGTCCACGTCGTGAAAAAGGAAAAAATTTAGCTCGTCGTGTGAATATCGATGATTATCGCGCAGCTACCAATTGTTCACTTCAATTTCCGTACGCCAATGAGCTTTCTCTTTGGGGAAGAGGTGCTAAGGGCAATTTTTCGTTCCTTGCTGATCTTAGTCATATGTTTAATTTTTCCAAGCTAACACATTTCAGTGTTCAATGCCCAGATTTTGGTCTTTCTCAATTAATTGAGCTACTAAAACACTTACCAAATGTTCATTCATTAATACTCTATGCCAATACATCTTATCTATCTAGTGAACAAGTTCAACCTGTTTATTTTCTATCGAACGAAAATCGAATTACTAATGTAACGATTCGTGGCCGATGTACAATACAACAAATTCATCTATTAATGAATTTTTGCCCACGTGTAAAATGTCTTGAAATAGAAATTGACGATGATCAACTTGAATCCGTTGTTCGATTTTTATTGTTCGGAAAGACAATTCACATGCAAATAGACTCTCCAAAACCAAAAACTTTGCTCTTAAGAGAATTTGATTCTTTACAAAGAAAATTTTTATATTTATTCTCACGCTCACCAAACAAAAAGCATAATGCATCAGATGATTTATCTACTTCTATGTTAAATCAACATTCTTGCAGCAGTAATCTTTTTTCAATATGTTTTTTTAATCCAAAATCAGGAATGGAACAAAAGTTGCAACGAATGATTAGTCGAGAGAAGTTACTCAACGATTATTCTATTGGATCTGTGTTTAATTATTTATATTTATGGTGGTAGACGTGTTTACTTTTTTCTTTGTTTTGTTTTTTGAAAAAGTTTCTTTTAATATGTTCTTAAATAGTGTCAAGCCTACTGAGATAAATTATGCAGTTTTCAATTAAAAACAGTATAAACTATCATATATATATATATAAATAAAAACAAAAAAAAGCATCCATTAAATATAGAACAATTTACTCGTGCTTGAATCCAAGAACTCGATACATTTGAACTTTCTCTTGTCAATAATGTAAATCATATAGCTATTTTATTTTTCCATACTTATCAAGCATTCGGTTTTATTTGTTATTGCAAAATAATTGTTATTTTCTTTTTAAAAATAATCTAATTTTTTTACAAACATACAAATAAAAGGATCGGAAAAATAATTATGGTCTTAATTCTATTAGAAATGAACGTTCATTTAGTTTTTAACAATTTTATAATAGTAATTTTCAAAATTAATAATTAAATCAGTTAAAATATTGTTTGCTCAACAAAAAGAGGATAATATACAGAGTGCGATCTGCATATAATCATCGTCAAACAATCGAGAATCGGATACGGATGTAATTCGGTGTTTCTTTTATTCCCTATCAATGTAGTTCTGAATGTTCATTCTTAGCCTCTAGAATTACTATAATTGTTTTTGCGCCGAATCTTTTTGATATCAAAATAATTGCAACTCTGATCGGCACATTGTCTAAATCATATATTGCCCGAAATACGATGGAAACAGACCTGTAAGACATTTTTACTATTTTATGATCATCAATTCCATTCAAATCTAGTAATGTACTCATTTTTTTAAAAAATGCTTCTCTTGAATCTGAATATTAACTTTTATACTATCCTTGTTTTATTTTATTAAAGTTCTTTGTAACTCGATTATTTAATATATGTTAAAACAAATGACTTTTTGTTTTTGTAAGAAAAATCAATTATTAAATTAGTAACAGCATAGAAATCGTTGATTTGTTTATGAACAATTCAATGGCAATAGAGATTCTTTGAATGTATACTTTTATGGATGAGATTTGTTTCGATCGATGTTCTTCCATAGATGGAATAAACACTAGCTTCACTGTAGTATCTCAGCAAAATACTATTCGTTTTTTTATTCGGCAGTTGTGCATTTCTGTAGGTAATGATCGTCTAAAACATGAATCACTTGATTTTCATTCTGAAAGAAACAATCGAACTGTTACATCAATCTTCCATGTGAGTTAGATAGTTATTAAATGAAATTCAACAAGTATTTTTTAGTTAGACTCTAAACCAAGAAATTATCAAACGTCATGCGCTAACAATATTATTTAGTCGTTTTTAATGTTTCAGCAATTAATTTTCTTATTAACTATGATATAGAATTTTTAGTAACATTTTCTTGTATCAACACGAAGAATTCTCAGAATAATTCCAGCATTTATAAAGAGAGCTTCACTGTTCTGTTCATCGCTACAATAAGAGATCATTGAAATATTGAAAAAAAAAATTTATTTATTAAACTATTTTAAGGCTTGTTATCGAACAAAAGAAATGATTGCCATTGGAATGTGACTTATTAATAAAATTGACTAGAATCAAAATTGACTTGTAAAATATGTTCAATTCATTGGTTTTATCGATCGACATTGTTAATTTCTTTTGGTCGATTAAATAGAATACATCGACTCGACAGAACACAATCAACTTTGGCAAATTCACTATTCGTTAGTTCACCATGAGATATGGTTGAACCAAGTCGACTAGTTAAAATCTAATAAAAGAATTTTTTAAACGCCATTCTGAAAAATAAACTGATTGATATTCACTCGAATACTTTCACCGTATCGATGATCCATTGGTAAATGCAAAACAGTTCCATTAATCCATAAACAATTCGCTGCTGGATCATCACGGAGTGTTATAATTTTATAGGATTTATATTCGCTATTTTCTTCCATTTGCTAAAGATAAATAATGTGGTAACTATTAATTGTTGACAAAAGAAAATTGAATCTTCTTACACGTAGAAGATCTTTCGCAATATCAGATTTACCAATTGCCATGGTATCCATAGCAACCATTGAAACATAATTTTTTAAATGGGCACCTTTCTTTATCTAAGTATATTTCACATGAAATATGAACTTATAAGAAATGAAAAACAAATAAATCTACTCTAAGTAAAGTTACGGGATACTCAGGAAATGCAGATGCTACTGCTTTAGCGCCGGCCATGTTTGTAGCTTTTGTTAAACCAACAAAAAATTCACGGCCTGCATTGAAAATATAACCTTTAACATGGAAATAGAAAGAAAGAAAAGAATTTACCCGTAAAAAGTACATCTCCTCCATCAATAGTCGCTAATGGATCGTTTATATCAATTGTACTAAGACCTTCTCGTCTAAGTATTGTCCGAATAATACCAACCTGAAATTAATAAAAAAAAACAAGATGATTAATAAATAGTAAATATTAAAAGACCATTGATGATGATTACTTCTTTCAGTCGCCCAGACACTGCGGGTCGACATATCAGTGCGATTCCATTACATATTACTGCTGTATCTTCAACAAATACTCCTTCAGGTAATGATTCATCGGCTTGTAATTCAATAACATCTAAACCAAGTTTTCTAAATAAATTAAATATTTCATTGAAATAAATCAAAATAAATCAATATTAACCTTAGAGTGACGATGTATTCTTGATGTTGTCTTCTGGCTTTTTCGACGTTAATAACTTCTCTTATGTCTCGTTGAGATATAGCCGCATCTGATAAACTCGCTGCAACTCGACAAACAATAGCTGATGTATAATGAAAATCAAATGGATAAGTTAACATTATCTTGAAAACACGAAAAGAAAGCGAAATATATTAAATTATACAAGCAAATAATTAATGCATAGACGAAACGAAAAATACAAAATTTATTTTTAATTAATTTTTGTCCTATTCGCTGAATTAGCGGCTTCTTTAATTGTATTGACAGTTTTTGATAACCAACTAACAGTTGAATTTTGATTATTAGAATGAACACTTGACAGAGATATTGTATCTGAATCGCTTATTGTTGATCGACGAAGTTGCCGAATTAATTCTTGATTTTCGCATAATGCTTCTGTTAATGCTAATTTTTTTTCTGCTAATTCAATTTCAACACGATTTAAACGATCAACAATAGCTGATGGAATAATTGATGGTAAATCTTCTTCATTATTATCATTTGTTGTTTCGCGTTCAGGTGTTGAAACATTACTTAATGTAGACGAATAAATTAATGGTTGACATGATTCGCAACAATTATTCTAAATCAATAAAAAATAGATTTGTGGAAAATAGAGTTTCCCTTTAGTTTTATTTTACGTGAATAAATTCCATTTTTTGAACATATTTTTCTTTTTGTTCATCAATTTGATTATTTAATTGTGAACAAATCTAAAAGTTTTGTTTAATGAATACAATGGATAATAGGAAAATTTTTCGAAACAAAATGGTCACTTGTTTATCAACAAGCTAAATGAATATCTTGCATGAAATCAGAATCATAATTCATAATAGCAGATGAATTACAAGGCTCAATAAAGAGCGTGCAATAGACTGTTCGACTCATTGAGGAAATGAGAAAAACATTTTAAATATTGATCGTTTTAAATTCAGGCTCAAAATAATTGCAGAACACAGCTTAAAAGTCATGAATATCAACTTTATATGGAGATGATTTTAGAACCAATTTTGCGAAGAGAAATTCCATAATGTTCCGTTTGCTATGATCCTTCATGCTAGTTTCTTCTCTCTGTTATAGATGTACGTGCCTATTTAATCTAACCTTTTATTGCTTGGCTTTGTTATAATTTAATTGCCTTTTTTTATTATGAATTAGCCTCTAGTTTATAGAAGCCTATCGGAAGAATGACGTATTTGATTGTATATATTCCATAATAAGAATGGATAGTGTCGTGAGTATTTTCAAATAGTAATATATGTCTTATTGTAATTCTTGAAATCAAGGGATTAAAAAACGGTATACGGTCGTTTTGCTTAACTTTTATAACTTCATAGATATTTGGTAGAAAGGTCAAGATTAGAGCTTTATTTTTTCTATTGATGTATTTGACATATAATTAATTACTACTGTAAAAAAATTTCTTATGAATATAAAACTGTTTAAAATTTAGTTGCAAGTACTCAATGTTTTATTTATAGGTAATTATCTATTAATCAAAAAAAAAATGAACTTTATATCGAGAAGAATAGCGTATTTCCTATAGTTCATAATACCAACATGTAAGGCACTAAAGTCAATAGAACGTATTCTTTATTAAAGAAGACAAAGGCTGCAATTTATAACATATACAACCATAAAGAAGTGAGCATCATATTTGGTCAAAATTATTTTCCATAGAAATCACAAAGCCCGTCTAAATGCTACAATTAAAACGAAATTTGACTCGACACTGAAAGCAGTTGTATTACATCGAAGCTCCCAAAATATTCAACGATTTGTGAATATTTTCGTTACTTGTTAAGGATTTGTCTGTTGACACAGTTCGACAAATATTTAAATATTCGATTCTATCAAAAAAAGTTAGATACTGTTCAAGTCTTAATGTAGACTCAACATTTCAATACTAACTCTGAATTGGAATTCGAGATATATCGATTGTTAGTAAACTGTTTACAAGAAGAAAATGAAACTCTGAATCTAATTTCATACATCGGCTTGTGTCAAGTGATTAGACAACAAATGGATATTTTCTGTACAAATTTATATGCTAAATCTTATTTACTTGTTTGGAATCATGAAGCATTTTTTGTGTTCGTTGAAGTTCATCACATGTATCTCTGAAAGCTTCTCGAATCTAAATTGAAATGAAGAAGAAAAGAATGTTTAAATTTAAAAAACATTTTTGTTTACATGTTCTAATTCTTCATTCAATCGAATGGCTAAATCTTCATTTTGTCTAACAATAACTTTTGTTGCCTCTAATTCTCGAGTTAAATTTTCTATTTGATCTTCTGCCTAAAATATTTTATTACAAGTAAATAAAACTGTCTTGTTTATTTTTATTTTGTCAATGAACAAACCTCATGAAGATTTCCTTTGAGTTTAATACGGTCATTAACTAATTCCAATGCAAGCATTTCGTTTTCAAATTCTGATCGCATACATGTTTCAGTTAACCGTTTGTTGTCAGCCTGTAAAAATAATATAACAATCAAAGTAAAAAGAATAATTTTTATCAACCTCAAGACGTTGCAATGGTGTTTCTTTTTGTTCTTCTTCAGCACGATTAATTGAATATTCTTGTTCATATCGCTTTAATTTTTTAATATTTATCTAACGAATAAAAACAAACAGAATAATTCATTTTAAATTTTCTATTTTTTCTTCTATAATTTTACCTTCATCGAAGAAGCAGTTTGAATAAGTTCATCAGCATGATCTTCACAGAGATATTTTTTTGGTAAACTTACACGAAAATATCTCATAACACCTTCGAAATCTAGTGATAATAAATCTTTTTGATTGCACTAAAACAGATATAAAGATTTTCATTTTTAAGATTCATCAAAAGAACGGATAAAAACTTATTTATGAATTTGGTTCTATCTTTTTGCTACGAAAAAGTCTTCAATTAAAATATCACTTCTTAATCCAAAAAGTAGGATGATAAATCCAATGGCATATAATTTCTAGCAAACTATCTTATACATTATATGGACTCGAGCATAATTTAATCAATGAATATTGAAGTATTTTCTCAAATATGTTGTGATTATTGCCATTGAAAAATCTGTTATTTTTTCCTATCAATCAATTTACTAATGTTACTGTTATCATTGATTTCAAATCTATCGAGTTCTATTCACGCTAGATGAATTTCCATTAAAATAACCATATCTTATTTAAGTCTATAAGAAAACACCAAGAAAATGTATATGACTAATATAATATTAGTAGTGAAAGTACTTGTCAAGTGAGTAAATTAAAAAATCAGTTTCTTTTCATGTTATATATGAATCTTATTGAAAATATATGCTTCGGCTTAATACTAAGTGAAACTAAATATTTCTACACGCAAAAAGTAACGATAAGCGCAACAGTACGATTTTCTACTACCCATCAGTGTACGAGCATTGCAAGTTCATAATTTTGTTTTCAAAACTTTGAAAATTACTTCACACCAATTGAGTAGAATATTTTTATTGATCGATATTTTCCTTTTTACCATAACACAATAATGATTAGAGAGAGTAGTACGTTACACTGAAATATTGAACATGGTTTTTTTTCAACAACTTAGTTTTTTTTAATTTTGCTCAATTAAATCTTTAAAAAATCGAATAACTTCGTGTTTCTATTTCTGCACAAAAACTTATAGAACAGTTGAATCTCAGTTTATAGATACCTTTAATAATGCCAAAGCAACGGCAAATATTGCATTAAAACCCTAGGAAGTGAAAAGAAAAATCGTATGGATATTTTGTTTTTTACATAATAAATAAAACGTACTTCATATAAAAATATATCCATGATTCGAAAGACTAAATAAAGTGGAAATTTGGCTGTAAATAATGTTAAAAACCATTGTGAAGCAAACATATGACATTCGACTTTAAGATCATAAAAATGTGCATAAATATCAGGTAGATTCTCTTCGATTAAACAATTTAATTGAAAAAATTTCATTTGAAGATTTTCAAAATTTGCTTTGTACATCTCACGTAATAAATAACGTTCATCTTCCATTAATTTACATAAAAGCATAAATGCTTGTTCTTCAGGCATCTACAAACGAAAACAAATCATTTTTAATATTGAAAAGAAAAGAAAGATCAATGCTTTCTTCTGGCTTACATGAATAAGTACAGTTGCAATAACAAATGATAAACCTTGACAATAACCAACTTCTTCATCTCGCACCGAATAAGCCTTTAAACGAATTTTTTGTAAAAACATATGAAACAAAATTTTCAAATTTTAACATACTCGACTTAATTTATACAAAGCTTCTTGACCAATTCCTCCTTGTTCTTTGAAGTATTCATGAGCTGGAAATGTTCGATTCAGATCATTAATAATTATTCTTTCACTTGCTGATTCTTTTGTTAATAATAAACGATATGTATTAATCATTTCATTTTCATCATTAACATTTCCAGCTAATAATTGCCAAACTTCACCACGCAATGCTTCGGGAATACCTTTTCGTACAAGTAATTGTAAACCTTTTGGGCGTTCAAAATAGTTTTTTCTCCATTTAATTAAAATTTCACTCCAATTGCTAAGAACTTCTTCATCACATTCTTTACTAACATGTCCAAAGCCGCTCACAATGACATCATCATTGTCATCATCATCACCTGTATTAGTTGATGGAATTCCTTTTCAAAAAAAAAATTATTTTAAAATATTAAATTATTTTTGTGCGAATGAAACTTACTTGATGTCAATCGACAAAATTTTGCTCGTCTTTCAGCTTCAGATTTACTTTCTAAAGTTACTACTTCATATGTTTCATCTGGATGAGAACCTTTTGATAAGACCTTTAAATAAAGCGATTAAATCTTTTTGTTTTTATTTAAAAGTCAATAGAATCTATTTACCTGTTTAAGAGTCATATCGAATTCTTCAGTAAATGGCGTTACTTTTTTAAAGGATGACCAAATCGTATCACTTATATCTTGAGAATTAACATCATTCGATTTATTTGATTCACTGATACGAGCTTTAGCTTCGATTAGAAATCGAACAGGTTCAGAAATACCATTTATGACAATATCTAATGCAACCGTTAGAAATATACGAGCACCTTCAGAAAACAAATTTAAAAAAATGTTTGTGTTTATTAATTTAGTTTTAGATAAGATAATTAGAAATGACAACAAATTTTAATCACATTCAAGTTTTTACGTACCTTTAGGTGTTTCTTCGTTAAGATAAGTCAAATGTTTAAAAGAACGTGCCAATGGATTCCAATATCCTCTAACGATATAGTACCGATTATCTTCTGATTTTCCCATGGTTTCCTACGTTACGAAAACAAAAGTAGCTCGAAGATTCATTGTCGAATGTACAAGTAAATAAAAAGAAAAAAGAGAGAATTTCCGTATTGACAACATACCAAATCAAGTAATTGCATATCGCTCGCACGAACATTACGTCCTTGAGCAAGAAGTAAACCGAAACATCTGTTAAACAAAATTTACTAAAGGGAAAACAATAAGAGATGAAATGATGTTAACCTTTCAATATTTAATGGAGAACCACGAATTTGTTGAAGAGTGACAGTAACACTTTTGCGAACATTTTTTCGGAGATTAAATACATTTTTTTCTGGTCTTTTAGAAAAAAATAAAACAGATGTTTACTTTTTGAAATTTAATTTCAATATTACCTTGATACAGAAGTTAAAATAACATTTCCTTTACTATCCGTACTTTCTTCTTTAATATCAAAATAACAACGAAATTTAATTGATCCATCAAATGATTGTTGACTATTTGATGATTGATTTAAATTTAATGTTGTTTGTAGTTGTAATTGAGTCATCGTTCCTTGAAATGCTTGACTAATGAAGGATGTTGTACGATGTGAGATTGATGATTGATTGTTTGTTGCTCCAGCTGTTCGACGAAATGCATTTGAAAAACTCAATAAAATTCGATAAATCTATTCGAAAACGAATTATTTATATTTTTATTGAATGAAACGCAAAAAGAAAGAGAGAGAGAGAGAGATTTACTGCGTCTTGATTTTCACATCGAAAAATTTGACATTGGTAAAGAATTTCGTTTAGGTTTTTTCCAATAGAACCTTTTTCATTTTGTTCATTCACGCTTATTGACGGACGTGATGCAGTAAATGCCCAACAGCATGCTAACGGAGTGTTAGATGGACCACGAGCACAGAAGAGTATTTGTGACACACGATATGACATAATTTCAATTTCACTTTGAGGATCAAGCAGTCTAAACATATTAAATATTAATCAAAGATAAACTTTAGAAATTTCCTATTTCAATCAAAAATTTTTAAAATTTCAAAAAATTGAATCATTTTATCGAGCAAAAATTCAATGAACGAAAATTTATGATATATGTACATACTAAATGAACATTTTTTCGTAAGACAATTTCTTTCACGTCAAGCTTACGACAACTCGTTCTAGCATTTCTTTACCATTAAATAACCAGTTCAATTCAATATTTCCAAAAGATGACAAAGCATTCGCATTCTAATCATAAGAAAATATCACATATTTCATTCTTAATCACATTGTATCAATAACCCAGAACTTCAAAAGTTATCTAACAAACAAATAGCTCATTTAAAAGTAGAGAACTTTAACTATTTCTGAAACAGATTCTTATCTACTATTTTAAATAGCTTGAATCAATCACATATATTCCTATGTGTTAGATACTCTCATGATATGATTTTATTTGTTTTTAATGATATAATTTTGAGTTATGGAATTTGAACTTCGCATATACGATATAATGAACGTATAAAAAGAAACTATCTTTAACATAATGAACTCTAGTAGTTCAACAAAAGCTTTGATGATTTGCAGTTTTGTTTGGTATTTACGAATCAATGAGTTGAGAAATTTCATTTATCTATTCCAACCGACACAGACAATATTCAAGTGATAGTTTTAGAAATAATTCTAGTTTATTTCTTTAGAGAAAATATTTCAAAAAGAAGAGACAATAGTTGCTTTCAAAATCACTCGTGATACAAATCGTTAGTTTAGATAAACTAATGTAATTGTCTCTCTAAAATTCATTCAGCATACTTGTTTTTTTTTCTCAATATTTGATGTCTAATTCAATTGAAGTAACCCAATAAAATAAGAATTGTTTTCATTCCTAACTGATATGTTAGACTCACCGAACTACACCACCGGCGCTATCTGGAACGCATAGGGTAACTTCAAGAGCCACTTTACTTTGTTCATTTAAAATTGCCATATTCCTTAAAACAGAAGAATTATATTTATTTATTTATAAATATTTATACCTTTGCAGTTCTTCTTCAGATCGAGGTGCATTGACACTAGCAGATCCTAGATAAGTTACCCCATGGAAAAGTACACTAGACGTCAAATCAGGTCGAGATTCTGTTGCTATAAATCTTTGTTAATGTACGCATTCAAGAGCAAAATAAAGTTTTTACTTTGTTGAGTTGATGTTTGAGAAACTTTTTCATCTAGATTAGCTTCCGACATAAGAATATTGTTGTCAGATGTCTAAAAATAATGAAAGAAAAATATGCATAAAGAGAATCAAATTAAGTTTTACTTCATTTAATATTTCTGCCATATTCTTTTCTAAATCGAGAATTTCACTGCCTAAGTTAAATACAAAATAAAATTAATGCATAAATCTAAATCCATAACACAATAAAGAAAAAATAGAATTCTCTTATGCACGTTAGAATCACATTTAATCAGAGGAGAGGAAACGAAGGAGCAGTCCTTTTTACTTACTAAAGAAAAAGAAAAAAAAATGCTATATATATATATATATATATATATATATTCTGTAATGTAAATTAGAAGGAAAAGAAAAACAATTACACGTACCAGCAACAACTTTCAATTGAGGTTGTTCTTTATTTATTAAAATAAAATCAGCTGAATTTAAACTACTTAAGCTGGTTGAATCATCCATTCGTGTTCATTTATAAATATATCTACCAAATTACAAAAAAGAAAAGAAGAGAATGACTTATTCAAATGTATTGATTAATTTGATTAACGAAATTTCCTTTTTTAGTATTCTCATGTGTCTCGATTGTTGTGACATTAAAAGACAATTTATTGGAACCATGCATCAATAATATATCTTGTGGACTGTATAATTATCTTACAATAGTTCTTATTCGAACATTAATGATGTCATTAGATCATAGCATAAGCGCCTGTCAGATTCATTACAATAATAATATAAGATCATTTATATGATGTTAGATTCACATGAAAGATTGAAAAATAAAATCTAAATACCGGACATCGTGACTAGTTTTTGAGCATAAACAAGAATTCTAAAAAGTCGAGTGATTAAATAGAAGAAGTTTTGCGAAGTGAAAACGTTTCATTGGAGAAGATCAAAGTATCTCTAGAGATAGAATTATTGAATCTCGATAATTCTTGTCTGAATTGAAGAAGAAAAACAGAACAAGAGCAATACTGGCGAACCGGAATGATTTATTGAGTATTTCTTAAATTAACTAGATTGATCGCTCATCATTTTCTTTTCCTACAGAGCATTCATTTGTTCATATCTTTGACTAACCGAATTATTTTTCAATTAAATATTTAATTTTTAAAATTTTTTCAATATTCAAATCCAAATAGAGACGATTACTTCTTAGAAAAGATTCAATGAAAACTTTACGTATATAGATGTCACTATTTTCCAATTATTCTAATAAAGCAATATATATATATATATATATATACAGATAACTATCCTGCGAGAACTTCAATGTCGTGATGAGTTTTAAGGATGTGGCCAATTGGATGTATAATCGGAATTTCATTCCTTTTAACTTTGTAGTTTTACTTAACTAGGTGGACTTGATAATTTGTTTGTTTATATTCATGAACTTTCATAGCAACAGGGACATTCCCCAACAAAGATAAGATTTTTTCTCTAAGAAGAACCCCCGAGTCTTTACGAGATTTTGATCTAAAGTTGCTCGGCTTGACTTACTTTATATGTGCATACAACTGGACAAACTGATCACCTGAGTAAAAGGTCGAGTCTCGGTCAAAATTGTGTTCATTTCAATGTTTTGACCGAGACTAACCGAGACTCGACCTTTTACTTTGGTGATCAGTCTGTCCAGTTGTATGCACATATAAACTAAGTCAAGCCGAGCAACTCTAGATCAAAATCTCGCAAAGACTCGGGGCCTCTTCTTAGAGAAAAATTCTCATCTTTGTTAGGGAATTTTCGGTCTTGGTACATCCTTATTCACATCCTTTGTTCCACAATATTTCTTATATAGTAGTAACATACACAAGACATAGTCCTTTCACTTCAGACGTTATCGGATTTGCCTATTAGCTTTTATTAATGAAAACAAAAAACACATTTAGCTAAATTCAACACAGGATCGTTTACAAAAAAAATGATACCATACATTTCAAATACAACAATCACTCAAGACTAGACATTAAAGAAACATTTAACACTTGTCACTTTATAACTTTGGAATCATTGAATCTCAATCAAATAAAATTTGAAGCATTACAACGTCATTTTGTTCAGTAATATTTTTATATGTTCTCTGAAAATAAGTTTCGTTTTTTTTTCAACTGAGAACAAAAGATTTTATTGATTAATCTTGAATCTCGATTGTTCTAAAAGCAAGCAAAAGAATTATACCAAATGAGAAATATCAAATTGAATAACCTGGGAGTCAATGGCGATGACTCAGGATTTCGACCGATTGTACGTATACGTAACACTCGATTTAAAATCAATAAAACAAATACTATAATAGTACCAATAATAATACTAGTTATTATTCCTACAATGATCCATATACTTGGTTTTGAACGACAATCTGTACCACATGTAGAAGAAAAACCTAAAAATAACATATGTAATTTGACAACAGATCAATAAAAAACAATAACTTATTTAAATGTCATCTACCTGTCATTACTCGAATTATTTTTTCACTATTACCAGCTGCATTAAATAGACGAACAACAATATCATAATATGTTTTCGGTTTCAGCTCTTTCAATTCGTATTCAGTAGCCGGAAACTCAATATTAATTGGCTTACTCCATTTTTCTACTTTGTTTGCACCATGAATCTTAACAAAAACAATATTTCATATGGTGTTATTGTCAAGTTTGCTGCGTATAATAAAAATTGAAAACATTTACTATAGCATAAGCAATTTCAGCTCGCGAAATCGCTGAACCTCCATCGTACTCAATAATCCATTGAACCAAACAAGATCTATGATCGAGACATGAAGTTTTGGATAAGTTAAATTGTGGAACTTCTCCAGAAAATGTTGTTGCTTGAATCGGCGTTGAAAAAACACTAGGTCCTGCATAGTTTTCAGCAGCTACTTGAATTCGATACGTACTTGCTGCTTGTAGAGATTTGATTTCAATTGATTGTGATTGATTTGATACAACTAAAATGCATTTTCCATTAAAAATAAACGTCATAGTTGTTTTATCAAAGATAAGATTTAATGAACGTCCGTTTGTCTAGTCGACGTTTTTAATACCTGGAAATGAGATTGTTTTCAGTGAATTAGGAGCATCAATCTGTTCATATTTGACAATATATTGAATTAAAGGTATGTCAGCATAGTCTGTTGGTGTTTGAACATTAAGTTCAATTGTATTTGAAGTTGGCTGAACATTAGATATACGAACTGGCCGTGGAGGTTCTGCGCGTCGAAGCGTTATTGAATGTTTTTCTATACGAGAATTATTGGCTCGACATTCAAATATAAAACCAAAATCTTCTTCTGATGGATTATACTATAGTCAAAATCATAAGAAAAAACTAAAATAAACAAAATAAAAACAAATACCGTCAATTTTGTTTCATAAATTGTCGAATTGATTTGTTGCGTAAAAATATCAATCACTTGTGGATCATTATTTCTTAAAATAGTCTGGTTTGTATCATAACCTTGTATTAATTTTACCCATTGAATAACAGGTGGTGGATAACTATCGATTCGACATTGCATTATTGCTACAATTGAAGAACAAAAATAAAATAAAATAAAAATTCTTGTTTTTCTTTCTGCTATAAAAAAAGAAGCGCTCACTTGGATGGTTAGGTATGCTATGGATATCATTCATTTTGGGTTCAATAAGTATCGGTTTATCTTAAATCAATGAAAATATTAAAGAAAGTTTAGAGAATAGACAATGTAATCATTTTTTTTACAGTTAACAATAAGACGAGCAATAGTTGATGTCAAATCTGCTGAATTCTTTGCAAGACATGTATAATTTCCATGATGCTCACGGCTGATAGGATTAAAATTTAATTGAATTAAACGTTGTGTTATCAATTGGGTGTCATCAATCGATATGCCATCAATCGCCTACATAGAATAAGAATGACATATAAATACTACTTTCCTGTTTTAGCTTATTTAATCGTACTTGTACGGGTTTATTATGAGTATCGAGCCATTCTAGAGAAAAATTTTCAATTGAACCACGTTCAAGACGACAGGTAAAGCCGACGCGTCTCGACGGGAAATTCTCATCAATAGTAATTTCTTGTTGAGCTATAGGTAAAAGATTCGGTGGTACTATAATTAATCAAATGTAAATCATTATATTCAATACAACAAAAAAGATATTCTTACTAATGACGTGAAGAGTGTAGTCTACTTTTTGACCTTTCGGATCAAAATCATTAAAAACATGACATGAATATCGACCACTGTCTGTTTCATCAACATGATTTATAATTAATCGATTACCACGAGCAATAAATTTCGATATTCCACTTACAATTAAATGCTCATTCTATAATACGATTAAAAATTAATTCTCACTCATATTTGAAACAAACCTGCCCATAAAACCATGAAAATTGTGGTGGAGGTATGCCACTCGCTTCACAAATTAACGTAGCTGTTCGTTTTTCAACAGCACATGGTTCTATACAGATGATTTTTGCAGATTTTATAGGTTCTAAAATTGTATTTCATCGAAAACAAATGATTTAACTTTTAAATCTTACGAGCAATAACAACTTGAATTTGATAATCTTTTGATTCACCAGTTTCAATAACATCTGCCTGACACCAAAAAATATCATTATCTATCGATGAGACTCGATTAATTTTTAATCCATCAGTTGTTTTTTCGTAATTTGAGGATAAAATTTCTATTCTATTGTGTCCTTTGTACCAAGAAATTTCAGCAGCAACATTTGATACCAATCGGCATTTGATTAATACAGCAGTATTTATTTCAGCATATTGAATTGGTTCACTTATAAATGTAATTGGCACTAGAAAACAAAAATGGCATCCATTGCGTGTACTTCGAGAAAAGAGAAAAAAATCAACCTTTAACAAGGATTTGTAAAGAACTTGAAAATGGTTTTCCATCTTGATTGAAACCTAAACATGTCCATGTACCTTGATCATTGCGTGTTATATTTCGTATGCGCAATCTTAACCCATAATGTTTACGTTCTATCGTTATTCTAGACAGAGAAACTTATCTACTTAAAAACAAAAACCATTAGAAAATATTATTATGAATTTACCTTGCATTACTATTTTCTTCAATATCAATTTGTAATGGAGATTGCCAAGTAACTTAGAAGAAAAAGTAAATAACATTGAATAAAGTAAACAATGAATAAAGATACAAACTAGCTCGAGTAGTTTTCTGCCCGGCACACAAAGCAACAAACGGTTCAAATTGATAACGTGAAATATTAGATTGTGCTGGTTGTAAGATTAATTGATTAGATATAATATTAATCAAACAAATAACTAAAAATATCTATTTTTAAATAATTTATCGGTCGTAAAAACACTTCTTTACCAAAAATAATTAAAGTATATGAAAATGTCAACATAAGTATTTATTATTCACAAGTAATACTCAAAAATATATCTAAACAAAGTAAATAATTGATTTTTTATTTTATTTTTTGAAACATTTGGTTTCATCGCAAATAAAATATTATAAATTCATCAAACGGCACTGATAATGTCGAAGAGATATTCATCATCGACGCAAATATTACAGTTCCATATCAAACTTGAGCTTTGAACAATTTGTCCTCAATCTATCTCAACTGTTACAGGCGTTTACATTTTCTTAATCAATTACTTGATCAAACATTGATATTAATATCAGAGTTCAAAGATAGACAACTTAAACATATACAGAATTATTTAGTCTTTTGATTGACAATAAATTCAAATTAATTACTGAGTACTTCTAAAACTATACGGAAAGAGTTATACCTGTCGATGATGGACCACTCGTTCAGGTGGATTCGAAAAACCTTTTTCTTAAAAATTGTGTTGTTTGAGGTTCCATCAATCGATGCAAAGGAGAATTTGCACAATTTTGAACTTTCTATTGGATTTTAAGAATATGTTTCATCGTTTATATTTCTCTTAAAAGTCGCTAAAGTTAGCTTATGATTAAAAACTCTTTTTTTGTAACGAAAGTCATTTGTACTAATTTTTCATGCATGCCAAGAATAGCTTAACATGTATGTAACATTTTAAATTTTATTCTGGGAAATTTTTTTTATACAAAGATTAGCATATCCAAAAAAATTGTAATGTTACTCGGTAACAAAAGGCTGTATCTATAGATAGCTGTCACATATATCTCGTAAAATCCATTGAGATTCAGTAAATTATATATAAAAGAAGAAAATTATAAAAAATGAATAGTCGTTCGATTACCGCCTTAAAATCTAATCATTTTCTTTGAAGATGATAATTTTTCAAAATTTGATTGGGAAAGAATCAATGTTATGGTAGTGTGACGATGAAGATTTGTATCTCAAGGTAAAATGGCTTCTTTCATCCATCGTATATTTCTATTAGGAATAGACTTTTCACAAATCTGAGTACTTTCGTTTTTGATTGACAATAAATCCAATTATTTCACAAATTCCATACATATTGCGTTGCCTGTGGTATTCAAAATTTGTTCTAGACAAGTTAGTACAATATTACTGATATTTTAAAGGTAGGAGATATTTATTGTAGTGCCTTGTCCAGACATCTATTCTTGAGAATGATAAACATCGCCTAAAAATTAGTTTTACTTACTTCATTAATATGATGGTGATGATTTTGCTTGTTATTATTATTTGTTGTACATAGCCTTGGTTCTGTCATCAACGTCAAAATTCAAAATTCTCTTTTTTTTGTTCTTTTTCATTCGTTTATATTACTTTTTTTTTATACAGATTCAAGTATGCCTTTCTGTCAACAAAGAGCACTGTTTTTTCTCACCTTGATTAATATCGACAGTATCGAGATTATTAAAGACTTCATTTTCATAAAAAAAAGGTAAATATAATGTTCCTGATTATTCAAACAAAATTTTTAGTCTTTTTTTGTTTGGCATTATTATGCTTAATGGGGTAAAACCAAATTTCTATTCTACTGTCAATATAGTTGAAAAAATGAAAGCAAAATACAACGTTCAAGCGTTATATGTCCTTATACGATGAAACAAAGATTACAATATTGATAATTTTAAGACGTGATAATATAAATTTCTTATTCAATGTTATAAAGTAATTCATAATAAAAATATTATCTTCTTCATTGAAACGGGAAGAACTTTATTTGAATACAATAAAACATATTTAGTTGTGGTTTAATACACACGAAAAAGTTAAAATCATATGTTTTATTTAATTTAACAAAGAATGAGAAAAGTACCATACAAAATTCATATTCTAATTTAAAAATAGTTCATTTTTCTTCTGATTAAATCGATAGGATAAGAAAAAGTGTCAAATGTGCAATAGGTTTTTTTTTACATAAGATTCTTATTCGTCACTATAATGCGATGATGCTGTCTAAAAATGCTTTTATCACTGATTAAGAACTTCAATTCTCAACATATATATATATATGTCTAATAGAAATGTTGATATTGCACGAATGGAATATACTCTTTTGTATCTTTGCTAAAATTGACAAGCATTTACTAAGATTTTGTTGATGATTTATGAAAATAATGTAAGATTACATCTTTGCTAATCGATAGCTCAGGAAAACTTCAAAAGAATTTATATAAATTCAATCGAATCATATTATAATGTAAACATTTTAAGAAACAACTCAAACATTAAATCATTATAGCTACTGAATGAATTAATGCATTATGTCAAGTTCTCTAAATTAATGCTGACACTGATATACACATTGATAGTTACACTGAAATACGTGTAGTTTAGAGAATCAATACTTAAAATCATCTAAATTATTGCAATCAATAGATAGAAACTTATTTTTTTTATCATAATTAATCTTGAATAAATTATATTTCAGAATATATGCAAAGTGAATAACTAATACCTTTCATTTTTTGAAATTCATAACGGTGAGTTTTGCTCTCTTCTATGTCGGATGAATTTTTGTATTGTAAATAAAATTGAATTATTGATCAAGATCTCGATGGTTATGTTTATTTTCATTATTAAGGTAGAGCATTTCTTACAATTTTTCTAAAAAATTACATCGATCCCCATTAATAATAGATGATAATTGAATTTAGTGAATGAAATAAAAATATTAAAAGAGAAAATAACGGATGAAGAATTAAAGAGACGCAGAACAAAATTGCCATTCATAGACTTTGATTTGTTATTATTTATGGTTATTTTCAACAACGGACTGATACAAAAATAATTCAATCTATTTTAATCATATCAGTATGCGTAAAACTAGTTACCCATTTATCAAGAGTTAAAATCATAATTCGAAAGTGATTATATATATATATATTGGCATCGAAAGTTTGACTAATCTTTCATGTTTACACTAAACCCACGTCGGTTAATAAATAGAATGATATTTCTTTACGTGTAATGAGGATTATACAAAAAGCTTTTGAATGGTTTCTTTTAAAATATTTTATGAATCCTTGCTAGAATAATCGTTAAGTTTACTGAAAAACCAAAATTTATATGTTTTGGCAGATCTGAGTATAAGAAATTAATCTTATCGAAGTAAAATTATTCTAGGTAACGATAAAACGATATTTCTTACTATTATATTCACCGACTATAATCATCTTGTTTTGTTTTTCTAGATAATCATTAAAGAAATGCATAGAATAAGCGACATTATTTTTTCATATTGACTATCAATTATAATTGAATCAACTGATCGCAATATATATTATGATTATGCGAATTAATCATGATATGAGAAAGCTCTCAGCAACGTGGCGAGAGTAGAAGAGATACTTCATAATCGTTTAACAAGCGCGTCACTTCAAGTTTAATAGCATACACTTAAAAATATCTCGACATCATTATGTAATAAAATTTTACAATCAATAATTATGATCATTGAAAAGGTCACTAGTAGCTATTTATGAGTTTCATTATGAACAGAAAACGAACGACAAAAAAAATGCGACGCCTAAATATAAACGTAAAACCGAGCAAAATATGTACAAACATCTAGATCTAGTCAATATTATGTTTTTAATACTACTACTAAACAGTGAAGAAGTGTGGAAGAGAATGACATACCTTTTTTGTAACCACCAACAGAATATCGAATACTTTAATTGTGAATGGCCCCTCTCTCTTTTATTTGTTCAGTAGAAAACAAATTATTTTGTAGACAACTACTTGAATAAATATACATATATTATCGAAGCAACCTAATATTCATATTTCTGCATATTTTACTACTATTAAATATTGTATTTTATGCGTTTTTTGTAAATATAGAAAATAACTATGACTTTACATGTGTACGATGAGACTATCCAGGAACAGAATAAACCAGGACCCATGAAATATTTGTCAACAAGTTGATTTGTATAATAGTGACTTTTAGTTTCTAAAACATTTTACTCTATGATATATTCTACTGAAAGACAATATACAAATCTATATTGTTTTCATATTTTTACATGAACGTTCTATTGTGATAAATGGTGCAGAAAAATACACGATGTTAAGAACAGGATAATTACAGTTCTTTTTATAGTTCTAACAGAAAAACTATCCAAGACATCTCTTATAGTAATATAAATGGTATATATTCAATATAGTAAGTAGCTTTGCTTTTTTTCATATCTTATGTATGTGCTTAGCTTCTTACTACTACCTTTTTTTAAATTGTACATTCTGCGTTCAGCATATGAAAAATAAGGTAAGATTAAGAAGCACCTAATAAGCTTCACTCGAAACAAAGCGAACTAGTTATACTATGCAATCAGATCTTTTTTATTTTACAACAGATTCAGTATCACATTATTACGAAACAATATATCAATTTAGTAAGTATATGGGAAACGAGTGAGGCTTCGCTATTCACCCAAGTCTTTAGAATATTTTTATGATCGATACTAATGAATGAAAAATTGATGATGGCACCTTCAAAACAGAAAATACTGATATTGTCATCAATCTGACTATCATTTGCTTGGAATAATTTTTGAATAGACAATCTTTAATGGAAATTCAGAGCTATCGAAGCACGCTTTGTCAGTTGAAAAATTTTTCAATGAAAACTTTAAAAAAGAATATTTGAATCTACAAGAATCGATAAATAAATAGATTTTGATTCGAATTCTTTTATGATTTCAAATGGTCCAAGTTCAAGATCATCATTCGTCGTCATACCTTTCGTATGGAAACGAAACTTAAGATTGTTTCTTTTACCTTTCATACCGATACAGCAAAAAATCTATTCAAATAAATCAATGATGGATCATAGATTTTCTCAGAATTGTGGTATTTTAGTTAAACTTTTCTTCGAAACTTGTACTAAGTAAATATTTAACCGTTATATCATCATTAAAATTTGAATTACAAGAACTTATTAGTTATATTTTGCAGATATTCTTGATATTTCATACTTCGTATAATTTAGCATGTTTTAATGTAATTTATGTATTGGTAAGATTTCTGCCTAGGTTTGGCATCATAAACAATTTTAAAAAGACTTATAATTATAAACAAGAGAAAATATTCTATTTAATAATATCCTAATGACTTTGACTGTATTTTCGAAGTAAACAAATTTGTTTTTATAAGTTTTGTTCGAACAAGTAAAATATAACTTCAAAATTTAATCAATTAATCTAATCTTAATAAGAAAATTGTTCTAAATTTCTAGAGAAACAAATGAATGTGACGAACATACAAGTTTCATGAAAGGGTGATTTAAATAAATCCATTACTTAAAACTCAATTTTATAATTTTCTCTTTTTTATTGAGGAAATCTATGTTCATGAATAGACTGCGTCCTAAATTGATAATAGTAAACTGATGATTTTCACTCATAATACACATTATACGATAAAAATAGTTTTAATTGAAAATATATTTATTATAAAGTCAACCCAATCTAAATATTTTGATAAAAAATCACGATTAATAATATTGAATTGAATACTTTTTAATATTTATGTGCTCTTTAGTTTCTTCTGATAAAATTTAAAATAGTATCATACTCTTGACTTCTATTAAATAGTATATAGATAAGTATTGTTGTATGATTTCTACGGGGAATTTCATAAAATTCTGCTGGTACCTACTGTGAAGCTGTCAAAATCCCAGATAAATCTCTATGTTGAGTTTGAATTAATGAATCAGTTCGTTCACCAATTAAGAAAAGATGTGGATTTCGAATATTTTTACAATATTTCATTGGTGACGCTTTGCTCCATTTTTCAGAATTATTAGAAAACACTTTTATACATGTATGATGATGTTTATGAATTTTTGATGACATTTGACTCAAATATTTATATATATAAAGCCCAAATGCATCGAGTAAAATTATATCATGAATCGGATTTTTAGTTTGTTATCTCTATGATTCCTGTAGCTTACATTAGAAGCTGAATGTACCATCTGATTTTTTTCAACTGATAGATCAATAAGTTTGTAAAAATAAAATTAATTGTTCAAGTAATATTGCATGTATGATATAGAATATTGTTCGTTGGACCAACGAGTTACGCATAAAATGAAAATAAAATAAAATAAACAATGCAAAACATAAAAATTAGACACCTCTATTATAATTTTTGGAATGGTGTAAGAAAATAAACGTTTCATTGGAGCAGCATAAAGTTAGATGGTGAAATTAGTTTCGTTTTCAGTGTATGATTTGTAGCGTATCATCGAGGGCTTCCTCCCTTCAACTATTGGGAAATATTAATAGAAACTAAAAAAATTAGGAGCCAAAAATAGAACTGATGCATACAAACAAGTATATGTATAACTGTTTTTCTTCCTTGTCGAATGAAAAAAACATATGCAAATAATTTCTTTAACGGAGTTGATAATCATAGGTTTTACGTAGTAGAATTCAATTTTTTCGATTGCCATTTTTTACTTTATTTGATCTCGATAAAAATTTTCTTATTGAAAAAACTTAAAAATAAAAATTGTTACTGGCTATTTGTTCCGTCGAACGAGAGCTAAAACTTACAATTATATTCATGTTTGTAGATGATGAACATAGAAGGTAATAATCAAGTGATGAAAAATAAATCATTTAATATCTGATATTGATTTTTCTACGGTCCATGAATCTTTATAAGCTACTTTATATATTTTGAAAACAGTCAATGAAAAAAGAAATCATTATCACAGATTCTGTTAATCAGTTTAAATCGAATGAAAACAGAAAGCAAAAGTCTCCTATACTTTCCTATAATACAAATCATATTGAAAAACATCGAAAACACAAATTCACAGCAAAGAATAAACTTCTAAAACTATTGAGGTTCAAAGAATGGCTTCAATAAAAAATATTGTATTTTGATCTAAGATACTTTGAACATTCAAACTCGGTGTGAAACTATCGAAAAATGTGAAAGCGAGGTTCGACAGATGGAAATAATATGCTTTGATATTAGTTCTGATGTATAGTTTAAGGTAAACGATCGTTTTCATTCGTTCATATCCCAAAGACTTTGAATATTTTTCTAGTTTAACACATAGTATCGTCATCTTTGTGCATTTATTGATTAATATCTTATTCTTTCGATATTTCGTTTTCGGGGTTTCTCCCTTTTCGTCCCCACTCTTCCGAACATTCGGTTATTTAACCGGATGTTCGAAATCGGATATAAAAATAAAATCGATTTTCCGGATGTTCGGAATGAAAAAATATAGGATGTTGAAAATGAATTTTGGTGTATGGTTTTCAACATAGAAAACAATTTATTCATATAATATATTTTAAGTCATTGAGTGTAGCAATCTCTTCTTGTACATTCAGTTAGGGCAGTGGCAGATCTACCAGTTAGGCTACCCCCGGCGATCGGCACCCCGCTTAAGAAATTTTTTTCGGTTTTCCCCAGCAGAAATGAAACAGAAAATAGTCGTTCTGCCTCAAATAGACTCGAAAAGTCGTTTTTTGGCCAGAAGCGCCACCCCCTAACATATTTTCTGGATCCGCCAATGTGTTAGAGTTTTTAAAAATAGTGTCGAGTTCAATCGTGAGCGATAGATCTTACAGATAGATAGTGGGAATGAGTAGTAAAACTATAAACTTCTCTGCTTTATAGAGGCTATGTGCTGGTAACAAAAAATTTACTAATAGTTCTCATAAATGTTCAGCCAGCAGTTCATCAAGTGAAAAAAAAAAGTAGACGAAACAGATGATGCCAATATTAAACAAATTCCAAAAAAGAAAAAAACAAGACATGCTGCAAAAAACATTAGACATAAAAATTTTTTTCTTACAAAAGTTATTTATTTTCTCACTTGTATAAACTTTTGTTGTCTTATGCTTTTTTTTGTGAAAGACTATACTAGGAAATAAAAGAAAATAAACTATGTTATTAAAAAAAATTCTTTTCTCTTCCGAATATCCGGAGTATTTTCGTTCCGAATATCGGTCATTTTTTGTTCCGAACATCTGTCACTTTATGTTCCGAGCGTCCTGTATTTTCCGTTCCAATTTTCCAGCCTTTTCATTCTGAACATCGGACATTTTCAAAGAAACTGAAGTTCGGAACAGACTTCTACAACCGATGTCCGTAAAAAAAAGGGAACGAAAAGGGATTACCTCCTTTTTCGATCAAAAAATGATTTACTAAATAATGATAGTGACTTTGTACTCAACACATAGCTGAAATCCTCTGTTAACTCAATCTAAATCAGAATAAGATCATTTTGTATTATAAGAATTTTGCAACAAAGAGGTCACTGGTTATTTAGCATACAACGACGCAACATTAGTTGTTATAGTGATGTTTATATGCAACGTACAAAATGGAAAAATCGAACTATTCAAAAACAAAATCATTCACCATTTGAGATTATTGTTATGCTATAAACATATTTCTTATCATTTGAAGCAAACATAATGTACTCACTATTTGCTTTATATTTCTAGAAAATGAATGAGAAGAAACCAAAAGCTGTGACGATTTCTTCTAATCTTGCTAAACCGATTGATAGAAAACAAGAAAAACCTGTTCTAATTTCGTATACTACAGGTGAAGATGACAAAAATCAAGAGGATAATGTTACATATTGTAATAATGCCCAAGAATGTATTCAAACTATAGAACAGTCCTCTCTACCAGTTTTTCTCATTTTAAATAGTTCATCAGCAACTGATATTCTTTCTCGTGTTCATTCATTAAAGAAAATCGATACAATTTTTGTTTATTGCAAAACATCACGAGAACAACAACGATGTCAATATCTTTGTCAACATTATTCAAAAATATTTGATCTATTCACTGATCGAAAGCAATTATTTCATACTATTCAAGAAAATGTTAATCTTTATCAAAACCAATCTGGCAATGATTATCTTCGTTTAGCTGAACGGTATAAAGAGCAAAATGAATTGAACCGTGCACTAAAATATACTCATAAAGCATTGGATATCTATCGAAAGACACTTTCAAATCCAAATCATCCACTAATTGCTCGATGTTTAAATAATCTTGGTGCAATTTATGATACTCAAGGAGATGCCAATCGATCATTTGAATATTATGAACAAGCTATCAAAATCTACTCCCATTTAACACCATCCTTATCGAATCAACCCGTATCGAATTTCATGAAAAAATGATAAAAAAAAGGAATTTTTCACCGAAGATTGATTTTGACAATGAAAATAAATATTTTACATATATGTAAATTAAAACTTCATAGTTAAATTAGATATCATTAAATGTTTGAAAATACTATATTTTGGCGTTGAACAATTCGAATATGTTGCTAGTCATTCGTAAGTTTCTTTTTAATTTCATCTAATATTTTAAAGACCTTAATTTCATTCAAGAACAAATTCTTTTCCTTTGTACAATATTGCAAGTTATTATCTATGAAGAGAGAAATTTTCATTTTTTCAATAACTTTTATGAGTTTAAACCTTTCAATCAAAAGTTGTCTTTGAAAATATGATATTTAGTTACTTTTTAAATAATAGATAAAAGAAATCGTCGAAAATAAAGTACCATACCTTGATATTGTCAGTTTAAAATATTTCAAATGCCAAACGAAGTTGTTTATATAAATTGTCTAAAACTTGAAATGCAAATTAATATGGATTCAGATACACGACTATAAGATTAAAACAATAGAATACTAACCCGAAACTCAAACATATTCGATGATCAGAATTGAGTTCTTTTATTCAGATGAAACTAAATTTTGCAATATTTCATTTTTTTATGATGAGTGTGCTTCAAAGTTAAAATTGTATTTTGATAAATTATTTTCTTGAATCCACAGTCTCTGTGAACTAAAGTATGGTATTCTTTCTTTTGTTATTGAAAGCAATAATGCAAAAACTTTCGAGAACTTTCATGCTTGCTTTGTTCCTCACCTAAAGATGTACAAATATCACTATGGAATAGCAGCTTACTTTCCATAGGATTACAGTTTCGGTTTATATATTTCCGAAATAATATTATTTAATCAGAAACTCCTATGTCTATAGTAACGGCTTTTTGTTGTACAAATATTTAAAAATTAGGAGTATTAATTTAAAGACAGGATTATCAGTCTCTTAGACACTTGAAAAAAGAAGCAATGTTTATGGCTGATTTCTCTCTTCGATTAAAATAATAATATGAAGATTAAATAAGGCTAATGTAACGAATGTAACGAATATGAATGCTAGATTTGAGAATATTCATATCTTTCTGAGTAACTTTTCAGTTACAACGAATTTATTTTTAATATCATTTTTCCAATCAATAATCCATAAGAGAAATGTTAAGCATTTGATTGAAATAATTTTTTTAGAGAGAAAATATTAAATTGGCAACTAAAATACTAAAGGATGCACAACCAAAACTCGATTACTCAAGTAATCGCAGTTTACGATTACATATTCACTTTCCGCTAGAGACATTACACAAAATATCTAAAGTCTACTAACACTTTCGTATATTACTGAATCGTTGCTTGATTGCCTATTTCTGGTTCTCTTTAGTATAATCTATTAGTTTATTTTTGTTTTATTATAATTTAATTACACAGATTCTACAAGTTAAGATAACTAAACATACCTATCTATGTCATTTTCTTACATTTATTCGTTAGTTTTCCATAGTAACATTGTTTCGTTCTCGAACTTGAATTTATATTGATCGATCGATCGATTGATAGATTGATATTTTCCATATTAACAAATACGAATTTTTATTTAAAAAAAATAGTTTTTTCAATGGTTATTCTTGTTTGCTATGTATTTTCCATTACAATTTTTCTTTTAAAACTGTCATATGGCAAAACCCATAAACTATTACTTATTATTCTATTTTGAATCCGTAGTGAAATAGTTTTTTTATTACTATGCGGCTATGTTATTGCAAATTGTTTATCGTTTATTTTTCATAGTCGCAAATCTTGCAAAACAAATGTAAGTAGCAAAATCGAGTTTGAACATTGATGAAAAATGAACAATTTTTGTTAAAAAAAAGTGTTATTCCTAATCTGTTGTTAAGTAAATATGCACAGCCTTACTCTTTTACAATTCAATAGTGTCGCAATGTTAAAAATTTAAATGATAAACATAATATATAGATGGTCACCTATGTACTAGTTAATGTTAGGTTTTTCGATGACTGATTATTGCATCTTTGGTTTCCTTGTAGAGCAGGAATTGCACTTATGATAATTGAAATAGAAATCAGACTGACAAGTATTATCCATATATACCGTTTGATTGGCTTTGGACGTTTTTTCAACTTCAAGCAACGATTACAAATGATAAAATAAAGCCAATCTGAGATTTGAACTGCTGGTACATCAACAAATAAATAAAATAGATATGAAATAGAGAAAATAATTGGCAATGCAAATAGAAATAACCCTAAAATAACGGCTAGATCTCGACCCAAATGTGGAGCTGTCCAATGAACAAAAGAAACATCCACAATACACAAGATGATATAATGTGTAAGATAGATACCAAATGAGATTTTGCCTAGAAAATGAATCAATTTTGTTGATAAAAAATGTTGGATATTTTTTGATATAATTGATAGAAGTAATAAGCAAAATCCTCCAAAAGAAATTCAAAACCAACCAAACATCCAACGAAAAGGTGACCATAATGTTCCATTACCATTTAATACATCTGTATTGAAAACAGGATATGAACCAAAATAGATTGTTAACAAAAGTAGACTTAATTTAAGAGAAATTGACCAATGTTGTTTTATTGAATGGCAAAAATTTAGAAGTCCACACGCATCTAAATCACTTAATAGAAGTCCAAAAATGAATGGCTGAATATACTGAACCAATGTTGGAAGGGATCCGTGAGTAGAAATCCATACAATAGGCAAAATTAGAATAAGAAATGCATAAAATATTATGCGATAACGATGAATAAAAGATCGAGTTATTAAAAAAGATAAAAAAATAGATAAGAATCGAGCAGACGAATTCTATTTGCATTGACCATTGTATAGTATACAATGCTGGCATCCAAAAATATTGTCCGAATGTATTTAAAAGAACATATCCAAGGCCAATGTTTTCTGCGTTGACACTGCCCTCACCGATTTCATGACATTCATTAAAACCATAGAATGGTCGAAAATGTAGTATAGAAAAATATAACAACAGAGCAACACTTGAAGGGATGAAAAGTCGTGGAAATCGACGAATGGTACCACTAAATAAAATACTAATGTCATTGAAAAGTTCAAAATATCTTCTTACAAGAACACATCCAGAAAGTACAAAAAAACTAGCCACAGCAAATTCTCCTGCAACCAATAAACGTAGTGGCGAATGTTGCATCCAAGGCCGAAAAAATATTGAAAATTTCTCTTCATGCTTTGTCTCACCCATTAATAGAGCATGACTAAATACGACAATTAAACAAAGTATTCCTCGAAGACCATCCAAATATAATAACTTTGAAATTGCATTTGATCTCGTTGTTACTTCAGTTGTCAATGGTGTTGAAGATAATAAATCATTTTCTACGTTTGTAACTGATATATCAATGCATCTATTAGTAATTTGATCTATGCTACTGTTTTCTATTTCAACTAAATGTTGTTGATTAATCATTGGTTTTTCCAGTAAATGACAATGAATTCTCGCTCAGTCTGTGATATTTCGAATGATTTCATTGTCACAATACTATTTTGACAAGAAAGAAAAAAGAAAAGTGTTATGTCATGTTGTAGATTATTCATACGTGTTTGCCATAAAGTACTATGTCGACATGATGACGAAGTTTCAAAAAAAAGAATAAAATATCTACGTTTATATCTATCTGGTATATCAGATAACATTACATTTAAAGATATTAAGCTATAAAAAATTTTTTTACTGAAATATACTTTCGATAGTTCATCAATAATGTTTAATGATGAATTTTTTTCTCGTAGAAAATAATTCCCGAAAAGAATTTATTCCTTAAAAGAATAAAAAATTTCGAAAGATAATAAATATTTCAGTAGAAAAAGAAATTAAAAAATTTAGTTCAATAAATCCTATATAGAAATGTAGTCTAAAGTGAAATGCTTCATATTATTTTTTTGTGAAACACGATCTGAAAGGAGTGTTGAAGTATATAGGGTAGAAATTTGAACCCCCCCCCACCCCCACACACAGACCGTTACAGAGTAATTAATTATTTATTTATTTATTTATTTTCTCTGTAACGGTCTGTGATGGTTTCTAGAGACTCAATACATCATAATACAGACCGCGACAGAGAAGCTGCACAGAGCATCTCCGACCGTGATAGACGGATTCCAGAAAAGGAGTTTCATCGTGTTTCACATTTTAATCCAACAGAGATTGTGCTAACAGCTTTTTTGTTCATATCTATTAGTTTCAAAAATATCTACTCCAATTCAACAATTTATTTATAAGGTAATTCAACTACAACTAAGCGTTTTGAGTATATGTCTCGAAGATATCACTATTTCTGTACGAAAAATAAATAGGAAAAATATGGTTTTATGTGTTCTACAAATTGTAAAACTTAGTAATTATGTAGAAACTGTTCAAGTTCTACATAGAACATAGATAGAATTACACAACAACAAAACAATAATGACACTAAGTTCTATGTTTATGAATTATTTATCTTGCACGTTATCAGCACAATTTTACAATGTGATTCCTTTCTTCTTGGTAGCATATATGTCATATTTGAGTAGTATCTTCTATACTTGAACGATCATCATGTTCGTAGATTCGACTGTCATGATAATAGGACTGATGAACAGTGATAATACAGTTGTGTTCTGATCATATTACATGAATTCCTTTAATGATAAAATTATCACAATTCTAGTCATGTAGAAAATCAATCATCTAGTTTGTTCTATGTAAATATTCAATAGCATAGATATGCCATCATTAAAATTATGATTCAACATTAAATCATAAGTGCCCGTGGTGATCCATAACAGTTGATCCTCGTACTTGAAATATTCTAATGCATATTTACTGTTGACAACGTGTATAAATATGAAGATTTCTTACTAGAAATACTATTTCATGAAGATGCTCAAGACCATCCCATATGACTATGTAATATATAAAAACAATAGATTTAACATTGTATCATAATTCATTTCGAGTTAAAAATCCTTAAAAAGTTTCAATAAAATCCTAGGATAAGATGTGTTTTGCAATAGGTGTTGCTACTTAAAAGTACTAAATATTTATAACACAAGTCTCAAAATATGCTCGAATGAGTCTTTGTACGTCATTGAATTGAAATAAGTAATCAATTTTTGTACTCATCATTGCAAGATATTTGATGTGTTTGAATTATAATATGAATGCAAAACAAATTACAATAATTGATAAAATATTGAATATGTTAAATTCAAGTTAAATTAACTTTCTAATTCTGCACTAAAATAGTATTATTATTTCAATCTTTGATCGACGAATAAGCACGATATTGAAGTAATATTTTATGTTATTCACACTTTTAATGCATCATGTATCATTATTAGACAAGAACAGTGAATGTTGAAGTCATAGAAGAAATATAGTACATATGTAGAATTGGATCGAAGTTTTTAAGAACACGCGTAGAATAATTTCAATTACATCTTTAGTAGGTATCTAAATTTCAAATCTTTTAGGGCTGATCATACTTTTTATTTGGATAGTTAGAAATGGAATTGATTACATGTATATTTATTTTAATTGTTGATATTATAAATGTAGTATTAATCGATGAACTTACATAAGACTCATATCCATTCAATCTATCCCTTATGTTTCATTACGATGAAACTGCGGCGTAGTTACGGCGTAACTGTGATCGCACTGTGACCCGTAATTGCGGAAAATTACGACATAGTTACGCGTAACTACGATGAAAAAATCGCAG